GGAGGAGGAGGAGGAGGAGGAGGAGGAGGAGGAGGATGTGGAGTCGTCGATGTCTTTGGCGGATGAAGACCTGGAGAGGTTGCAGGAAGACGTGCAAGACTCGGCCGGGTCTGACGAGGAGGACGCCAGCGAAGTGGAACACGAGATGCATGAGGGCTCAGACGAAAATCAACGGCTTCCAACAGGAGCTACTGTTCAGCACGAGGAAGGTAGCGATGAGGAGGCTGAAGAAGAACATGACAAGGGCCAAGGGCAAGAGCACCGTCCCAAAGAAACCTTGCAAGTAAAGGGCACCGACGATGAAGAGTCTGATGCGAGCTCCTCTCCGGAAGAGGAAGAACAGTCGGGAGTGACACCCAGCATTCGGAAAAGGCGTCCCACAACCCTAGAGCAGGCTCAAAGCCTGAACGAAGCGTTGAGAGTGTCGGAAACGCCCATAGTGCGCCAGGGCACCCAAGCTCAGCCTTCCAGCAGCAGCAATATCTCCGCCTCGCAATCAGCTCTCCTCGCCAAGTCCCCAGCACGCGTGTCACAAATCCTCGGAGACTCGGCTCGACACGCAACGGTCGTCCCTATACCCTCGACTTGCCCCGACCCAAAAACTGGCCCCTCCTCGACCGAACACTCCCTGCCAGCGGGTCCTTCTTCAGCCCCTCCTCCCGCTCCAACCAGACATGCGACGACGACAAGCTCGGCTTACATTCTGCCTCCTGATCCCAACGAGCCCTACTCCGACCGCGAGAGATCCGCCGCCGCCGTCCGGCAGGCGCGGGGCGACAAAGCTGCGGGCAAGCTCAGAAAGAAGCAGCGACTCGGAGCGGAAAAGACGAGCAGGAAGCAGAGAAAGAAAGACGAGGAGCGGTTGCTTGGAGCCGGCACTTCTACTACTACTACCGTCGCTGCTGACTCCGTGCGCAGGAGGAAGACGGTGACGGAGGCCAACGAGACGTTCGATCGCGCGTACAACAAGTCTGGTGGTCTGACGCGGTACTGTCATCGGTGCGCCAAGACGAACCATTCAACTTGTCGTCAGTGCCCGTGGAGCCCCAACGTGGCGAGGGACATGACGACGGGGAAATTGGTGAATGTGGAGGCTACGAGGATCCCGCATGTGGACTTCAAAATTGAGAAGGAGCCGGTGGTGGCGAAGGACGGGGAGAAGGGGAAGAATAAAGGTAAGGATGAAGATGACGAGAAAAGAAAAAAGGAGAGTAAGAAGCAAAAGAAGGAGAGGAAGGAAAAGCGGAGAGAAAGGCAGGAAAGGAGGGAAAAGAGGAGGGAAAGGAAGGAAAGGAGGCAAATGAAGGAAAAGAAGAGGAAACAGAGGGATGAGGATGAGAGCGAAGAAGCAGCGGTAGGGAGCCCAAGTAAGACGTTAAGGAGGAGTTCGTTGGCGCTGTAATGTGCCCGGCTGTGGTTGTTCTCCATTCATTCACTTCCTCCTGTTCATGTCTGGTTTTCTTGTCGGATATTATCTTCCAGTCGTTCTTTTATCTAAATGATAGTTGTGCGAGTTAGCTTGGACCTCGAAATGTCTGGTCAATATTCACTGGTATGTAACAGCATATCTACTCATCAAGGATATAGGAAAACTCCATTCTTTCAAGCTCTCTCCTTGATATATAGGATCAATGTAACACGTATCTCATGTTCATGCTCGGGTTGCTTGTGGTGGGATGCGATAGACACGTGGGTTTCCTACTAGGGTCGGTGGTGTAGGTACCATGGGCTGCACAGCATGTACATACGATGATGATGCTTCATTGATGGAGGCCTGCTTGGAGATGACTCATTCCGTCGGTAGGATTTTGGCTTCAAACTATACTTCACGACGTCCTGGAGGCATATGACAAAGAGAGCAAGCCGATCAGCTCGATTTATACAAGGGTATCTTCCCACATTTTCATCAGAAATACAGGCTCATTGTCCAGCCTCAATGCAACTCAGCCCTACACCGTCAGCATCACAACGCCCACTCATTAGGCTCGTTGACCGGTACAAACGGCTCGTCGATCTGCTTGACAGCCAGTTCGCTGCATAGAATGCTGTTTTTAGAAAACAGAGGTACCGTTAGCTATGACCAGATTCGTAAAGGGGAGAAGATGAAAGGGAGCAACAGAGGCAACTTACCAAGCCGCCGCCACCAACTCGTCCAATTCCCTCGCCGCCCTCTCTCTACTCGCGCCGGTGCTCAAACCCTTCGTCACCTCCGTCTGCAACTTGCCAATCCTGTTTGCCTTACTCCTGCCCGACTGCTCGACGACGCGCTTGCCCAAGCACTCGGAATGGAACGCGTGCTGGCAGGGGAAAACAAAGAACTGCCTTGCCAGTAGCGGCAGGCGGCAGATGTAGCACTTCTCGCCCGGTTCGACGATGGCATAACGTGACTCGAGCTGCTTGATGTCGCGCTTGATATGCTCCGCCGTCTGCGTGCTCTCGTCCATCTCGCGCTTCAGCGAGTCGATCTGCCGGCTGTACTCCTCCAGGGCTGCACATATCTCCTCCTTGAAATCGTCAATGACGACAAAGTCCGGAAAGAACGGGATCAAGTCCTCGATACGCAGCAGGTCCGACCGCCGCAGGAACTCGATCGCCGGCTTGATACCTGTGCTTTTCGATATCACCTTCTTCGCCACCGCCAGCCAGAGCTTCTTGCGCAGCGCCGGGTTGGATTCAGGCCGGTCGGCGACGGAGCTGGCGAGGTCAATCTCGTCGTACTTCAACGCAAGCTCGACGGCCTGGACGTATTGCGACATGGAGCTGTAGATGTGAACGCAGCTTTGAACACGCTTGTGCTGAATGCAGAGGCGAAGGGCGAAATCGGCGTCGTAGTTCTGCTCCTGCGCATACGACTGAGCCTCGAGGTACTGAAGTAGTGCGGATTCATCTCTCGAGGGGTGGGATGCGTAAATCGAGATCAACGTGTTGTGCACGGCGGCATCTGCGGAGTGGTGTTGATTGATCTCGAATAGAAGGTAACGGACGGCTTGGTTCTGTAGAAGCCGTGAGCGGATTGCAGCCATTCCAGTTCAGTCCTTGGTTTACGTACCTGAGACAACGGGCCCTGCACCATCTTATTGTAGTTGAGAAGGGCAGGTATCAGCTTCCTAGCATCCAAATTTACCTGCCGCATAAGAATCTCAACAAACTGGACTGACACGTTCCCCATCAGGACAGAGCTATATTTGTAGAAGATTTCGGGGTCCGTCTGTTTCTTCAGCACATCCAAAGACTCGACCCAGCGTTCCCTTTGGACCCAGTAAGCGAGGACGTAATTGTAGTCGTTGACGACAGTGGCAAAGTAAAGCAATTCTTCCTCCCTTCCGTGGCTACTGATTATTTCATACACAGTCTTCCTGTCAAGGTCGGACTTGTGTTTCGAAACAAACTCCTGAAACTCCCTCCGGATGACTGACAATTGATCCTCAGTATCTCGGGCATTCATACCCTCGGATAGCTCGGCCTTGGTGCCAATGGTATCATCCAGCGCGTTGAGCTTGGAAATGTAAATCTCGACCAGCCAGGTGGCGAGGAGGATACGTTGCATGGTTGCGGATTTCTTGATGGTAGAAAGTTTGGTCATCAAGTACTTGCGCAATGCATCCTGCTCGCCATGGTCGATGAATGTCAGAGCGACTTGCTCAAACGGCTTAGTGCTCCGGCCATAGACACTTGCAGCCTCCAGGAACTGGCCTTTCTTGACAAGAAAATCGCCGGAAGCGGTGGCCACAGCATCCTTCTGAGACGGCGTTGTCGCGAACTGGGAAGCAGCATCGAACTGTTGCTGGTTCAAGAGAATCTTCCATACATCCCGACTTTCATCGTACGCGCTGATCTCGAAGACTTCCTGCTTGGTGAACAACCAGAAAGTGCTCTTTTTCTGATCAGCGACCAGATTCAGCGCGGTTTCACCTGGCTCGAGAACAACCTGATCATAGACGATATTGTCGTTGAGTCTGTTGGAGCAGACAACGCGTCCCTCTACCAGCTGGATGATATGCCAATGACTTAGGATCATCGAGCTTGCAGGATCTTGCATTGCCCTCGGACGGCCGCCAGCTGTTTGGGATGGCGGGATCCTGGACCTGGGAAACATCTTGGATCCTTGGATGACCATGTTCCCCAGGTTCGCGGAGTCAGCGTTGGTCAGAAGCTTTCCATGCACCACGCCGTGGGAGTTCAGCCATGCGAAAGCTCGTTCGTTCTCGGTGGCAGTGGACGCGGCGACTTCCTGCGTATCCGGAGACACAACAAGCATTGCCGGGCTGGGACGAGAGCCGCCGTTGAGCTCGTATGGAGTGGGCACCTCCGACTCAAAAAGTCGAGCATAAATAGAGCCGCTGCCCTCTCGGCCGTGCCGTCCAACCTTTCCCACAAAGTGCTGCATATCGGTCGGCGTGGCAACCAGAACCCTCCGCACGTCGGGCCTCCCCGGAATGGCATCAACCCATAGCCCAACAACGGGCGCATCGGCCTTGTAGACGGCCTTCAGGTATCTCTCCTCGCGGCGGTAGAATTCGGCGGAGGGCTCGATGTAGACTTCGTACACGGTGCCGTCGGAGCCGCCGATGAGGATCTCGCGGGTGGAGGCGGTGGGCTCGGAGGGATTCCACGAAACGCTTTCGATGGGGACCCCCTTCAACCTGGACAAGGCCTTGGGCTGGCGGCTCTGGGTGTGCAGGTAGTAGTTCTCGGCGAGAGTGGTGGTGATGATCAGGTGGGAAGCGGTAGGGTCAAGGAACATGCGGCGGATGACACCGATCTCGGATGGTCTTTTGGGAAGGTCAACATCTGCACGCGTCGGTGTTTAGCGGCATGCTGGGTGGCGGGGGATGGGCGGGCATACCGTCGATGTCCTCGGGGCTGTCGAGGTCGAAGCGGAGGATGCGGCCGGTCTCGAAAGCCAGGATCAGCACATTGTTGGCAACCTGGGCGGCGACAAAGTCGGAGGGCCGGTCGAATTTGAGATTGACGAGCTCGACGTTGAAGATGGGCAGCGAGGCGTCGGTGAGGTCGTGCAGGCTGCTGGACGCGACGTAGCCGCTGGACGGTTCGAAGGCCATGATGGGGGCGGCGCGGGTTACACGGCGATTCGGGCTGTCATGCTCAGAGGGCGCAGAATCAGATCATTGCCGCGCAGTGAAGTGGCGCGCGGCGTTTGCGGTGATGCAGCAGCGCTGGGCGGGAGCTGTCCGGCCTGGCTGCGGTGGTGGGCAGCTGCGCGCACGGACCCCGGCCGCACACCTCACGTCTTCCTTCCTCCGCTCACCTCTCTATCTGGATTGAGAAGCCACAGCCACGGCCAATAATGTCTACGTCATTTGCAGCAAGAGTGGGATGTAGCGACTCCCCACCATCTGCCAGCGGCACTCCTTAGCGTCTCGCCTCGTCCGTCACCCGCATCTTGCAGAGCCATGTCGTCCACCGTCTTTCCTCCCCGCGCGCCGCTTCCGAGCCCTGACCAGCAGGCCGCTGGGATCGAAGCTTGCCTCAGAGTGCAGCGTCTTGCCACGGCCCAGGGCAAGCGACCCTTCGCTGGCGCTCTCATCGGGCCTGACAACGAGACCTTGCTGCTCACCCACTGTTCCCTCAGCCACGTCGACCATGCCGAATCAAGTCTGGCGCGTCTGGCTGCTCTGCACTACCCCCAGGACTTTCTTTGGAAGTGTACGCTCTACTCCACCTGGGAGCCTTGCGCAATGTGCACAGGCACCATCTATTGGGCCAACATCGGGAGAATCGTCTATGCCGCCACCAACGACCAGCTTGCCGAACTGACCGGAAAGGGCAACCGCGAGAATTACACCATGAAATGGCATTGTCGCGACATCCTCGAGGGCAGCCAGAAGGATATCCAGGTCCTGGGACCCCTGGAGGGACTGGACAAGACGGTCGTGGAGGAAAGCGACGCGTATTGGAAGCCACTCAGGGAGAAGTCTCATGCCACCCAAGACAATCTTTGAACCTTCAAACCTTCTTGTCGCTTCGCTCCTCTCAAGCTATGCCTACGCTTGCGACAGGGATTATTGGGTCAGCCGTCTTACTTTCAATGGCACCAGGATGACTTTCTTGCAAACTGCATCGCCAGAGTCCTGCCTTACATATTCAGCAAGATTGGGGACTCCGACGGGTGCGCCCCATTGGCCAATAAGCCGTTCGGCTTCAACTCCCGCCACGCTTGCGAACGTAGAAACTTCGCCTATGCAGGCCACTCGTCCTTGTGCACCTTGAAAGGCAAAATGCCCGATAAGATACAAGCGGTCTTTCGGAGAGGTTTGAGGAACGTATGTGAGGCGTATGGCTGGTTCAAGGACTCTCTGTTTGCAGGCCCACTGTGATTGGATACAGAGTGGTTTCATTTTTTGGTTATCCTGATTGTGCACCAGATAGATATAACAATTGGCCGTTGGGTGTCTACGTCTACCCAGCGGTCTGGCGATCGGTCAGGATGGACGAATCAAGGGACGGAAGCGGAACAACATGGTGTTAGACTACTGGACAGATCTACTCATCCGCCCTCTTACACTCGTTTTCTTTTTTGTTCGTGGATTTCTCATTGATAGCAACACCAACTGTCCGGCTTTTCTTCCCACAACTAGACGGAGAAAAGGTACGATTGCCGACAAGAGGCTCCGTGCGACCCGTTGAAGCCCAGAATGGTCAAGTTTTACCCAAAATGGTTAGACTGCATCAATGGTATTCCTAGCTCACAAAACCCCTTCCAACGGGGGCTAACGACATCAAGTAAGAGTCGTCACTTCCTACCCCAGCACAGTGCGTTGGAAGATAAATTGACCCGTTTACATCCATCTCACATGTACAGCTTTCACACTTGCGTCTACTCAGGAGATCTCTACCTCGGGAATACGTGCACAGACTCAACAACTTCGGACTTCTCCACTGCCGCTGACATGACTTGAGCTTCAATCCACCACGCCTCAAGGCTACGCCCGCAAGCCGACATTATTTCGGCATATGCTCCCCCGGCGTCCAACAAGTCCACCGCTCATCACGCGCAGCTTACGCCACGAAGTCTTGGCCTCGGGCACACCACCCCGCCCCCACAAAATAGTCAGCCCGCCGGGCTCAGTGAGACCGGATCCACACCACCCACCGGAACCGGCCACCGAGCAGAACGAGCACAAACGCGGGGCATCCACAAAGCCCCATTCTCGCTCCAGCCCGGGCCAAGACCGGGCTTAGGTAGCTATACTATGTCGCCGCGTCGCGTGACGTGCTATTTTGGTCGACTGTACTCCGCTTTTCGCTGGATGTGGTGACTTGGATGATGCGGTGGTGCGGGCATATAAAATGGATGATACCTCACTCTGTGTAGCTTTTGGTTTCTCCACCAACAACACCTCATTCCCTGCCTCGTCACAATAATAATGCTCTTCTCCGGTTTGTTTGCAGCGTCGCTTGCGGCGCTGGCCCAGCTGGCCTCTGCCGCCAATTTCTCGAATCCTCTTAGGGAGACGGACGGGAGCGACCCGCAGATCGTGTGGTACGATGGATACTACTATCTCATGACGACGACGTGGACGGACGTCCAGCTCACCAGGGCCACGACGCTCGAGGGTCTGAAGACTGGGGAGAGGAAGACGATCTGGGTTGACAGTGATCCGTCGAGATGCTGCAGTGTTTGGGCTCCTGGTATGTTGGCCTTTGACGGGTTTGGTTTCTTGTTTCCCTTGCTATTCAAAAGACTTGGAAAGAGCATGGATGTCTTTGGGGCCACACGTGGGAGATTAGAGCGCTTCCTTACGGCGGACCATGTGGTTTCGCATGGCCGGAACTACTCGTTAAAAAAACTTCCCGCTAATTGACACTGACACGTATAGAAATCCATGAGCTTGATGGGACTTGGTACATCTACTACTCTGCCGGATCTGCGGAGAACCTGGACCTCCAACGCCCTCATGTCCTGGAAGGTGCGTTGCTCCGGACTGGCCCTGTTCAATCCCTTGCTTGGCTAACTCGTCGATGTTCTAGGCGGTGCTCACCCCTGGGACGATGATTACACCTGGGTCGCCACTCTCACCGATACGTGGGGCATCGACGGCACGGTCGCCACGATCGAGGGCTCTCGTTACTTCGTCTGGTCCTGCTTCGAGAACACCGACATCCAGTCCCTCTGCATCGCGCCCATGACCTCGCCCACCGCCCTCGGCGACACCGTCCTCCTCTCGCAGCCTCTCGAAGACTGGTCCGTCCACTCCCCCCAACCTTCCCACTAATGACAACGAAGAAGACCCCGTTAACCATTTCCACGCAGGGAACGCGTCGACACCCCCGTCAACGAAGGCCCGTACCTCCTCCGAAACCCCACCACCGGAACCTACTACCTCACCTACGCCGCCTCGTACTGCTGGACGACGTCCTACCAGCTCGGCCTGCTCACCCTCACGTCGACCGCCACCCCGCTCGACCCCGCGTCCTGGACCAAATCCGGGCCCGTCTTCTCCTCGGCCAACGGCAACCTCGGCACCGCGCACAACGCCTTCTTCACCTCGCCCGACGGCACCGAGATCTGGAACGTCTACCACGCCACGAACATCCCGACCGGCGCCTGCAACGGGAGCAGGTATACCATGGTCGACCGGGTGGAGTGGAATGCGGATGGGAGCCCGGACTTTGGCGTGCCGAGCCCGGTTGGGGAGGTCATGGCGGGACCGGCGGGGGAGCCGGATGCGTGAGGGGTTATGTGAATGAAAGGAAACAAGGAAATATGGGGGGAAAAGACTTCCTGCAAGTGAAGGAAGTAAGGAAAATTCCGCAGTCATGTGATGAACTGGCTGTTATTCAATGCTCTTTCTTTCCGACGGTGCCTTGGTGTTGAATCAACGACGGCGCTCCTGGGGAGTGGTGCAGTCTTCTCCAGACGGTTCTTCGGTATCATGGCGATCCTAGAAGAAGAGCTATCTTCCCGTGCTGTAGGGTTGTCTTCGATGCAACCGCCCAAGTATGGATGAACCGCATCATTGGGAGCTTTGCCTACAGAGCGGGAGCTCAGAACCACCACATCATCGTCCTCATCTACTTCGATAAATGCAGGTGGTTGAGTGTCACAAGATTGGCGATGCATGGAAAGCGACGAGGACGTTCCAGCTTCATGGCTCCCGCCAGTCTTCTCCTCATCCCCAAATCCGATGAAGCCTTCATCACTTATAGGTGGTAGAAGCCTCAGTTTCTTCCTGGGGGCCGATGCAATCGAGTTTTGCTTGAAGAAACCATCCACAGTGAACTCGTGCGTAGTAACTGAGCTGCTAAACTCTGTAGTCTTCGTTGTCGAGTGTTTTGGTGGACGTCCACGTTTTCTCTTCGGCGCAGGCTGCGCGCTGTCCATGGCTTCTGAGATTGGCTCGTTGGGAAACTTGCGAGGACGCCCACATCTCTTCTTGGTCGATGGAAGTTCGAGACTCTTGGGCGAGGGTGCAAGGGGTTTGGGATCATCCTTCCGCGTCTTCGCCGTGCTCTCTTCCCTGGCAGGAGATTCTGCCCACGAGGCATACTGCATGGGTGCCCCATGCTCGATAAGAAATGCCGGAAACCAGTCTCTGAATGGCTCACCAGGATTGTAGCGCTCCTTTGCGTCAAATTGAGTGTCATAACCAATCTTCCTGGGCTCGGCCTGCCAGTCGATGCTGACAATATCTGACGGTATGAACTCAAGCCGAAGCTCATCAGGAGACTCATTGGTGGCTGCATCTTTACTCTGTTTAATCTGAGTAAACATTCCCGTTGCATCTTCCCCAGCCTCTAAGTGACGTAACAAGGCACGCGAGAGGAGGGGCGAGCAAAGTGCATTGATAAACTTTCGGGCGAAGTGACGACCTTTCCAGTCGAAGTGTGCTTTGGTAAAATCATGCAGCCTTGTGATGTCGATCGGTTGATTCCACAAGATTTTCTCCTTGAGCTGCTGGAGATGTTCTCCCGACGACACCGATGGACGGAGATAGAGATCCAGAATCTTCATCTTAGGGAAATCGTTTGGGATCCTATCGGCTACAGCGCGGTGCCTGCTGCCAAACGTGCCCTTCTGGAGATCAGTCTTGAGCTTGTTTCTCCAAGCTTGGAGCTTTGCAGCGACAAACTGTCCCGAGTTTGCAATGGCGTTCAAAGACTTCCCGTATCCTGCTTTTGCGGCAGCCATTGCGAGATCCGGCCCACAGTTTGGGATTCCATGGTCATAATCGCCCCCCGCCATAACGGCGAGCAGCACCAAGTCTTCCTTGGATAACATTTCGCTTCCGCTAGAGGGCGAACTCGTCTCGAAGACCTGTACAGGCAAAACCGTTCTGCCTTTTCGGACTGCTTTGTTGCAAGGTAGGAACACTCGAACCGCGCCGAAGGCCAAGGCATCACCATCCTTGGTGCAAATTGCATCAACAATGCCAGCCTTTTCTAGAGCGGCACACTCTGCTTCAGCTTCCCCGGGGGCTTTCAACGAAGGGACTCCCAACAAGTCCAATACCTGGTGATAGAGGTCGACAAGATGTCCGTATTCGAATTCTCTCTGAATGTCATCCGAGCTCCGGAGCGATGTCGCAGCTTTGGGAGGGAGCGGAGCAATTGAAGGGATCTGGCGAGAAACATATTTGTCTCGCTTCGTCGGTGGTCTTTGAGGCCCGTCGAAGATGAAGATTGGTTGGACACCGGCCATCATGTAATGGAGGACATGATAGAAGAAGGTGCGGGTTGGATGGTTCATGCCACCTGAAGGACAGTCAATGATCGGCTGCTACTACGTTCGCGGGATCTTCGGCGAGAAGCTTACCCGCACCCCTTGCACGCTGTGTAGCATTCAAGTATTTGTACACGTCAATCGAAACATCAATAGCCACTCGCAGCGGTCGGCCATGCTGTCTCATGTTTCTAGCACTGAGAACAGCAAGGTCCACTTGTCTGGCCGAGGTCTTTTTCCTAACCTCATCCCACAGCCTTACGTCATTAGCTACGGAGCTTTGGAGTAGGGGGAACAGAAGCTTACCCATTGATCCCCATGGCGTAGAGCTGCGAGTTGGGACGATTGCTGAGAGCCAACGCGTTTCAATTCGGAAGACGTTGTCGACAGGGTGGTGGAACAGCCGTACTGAGGATGGCGAAGTAGACGTTCGGGCAGATCCCAACTCAGTGAAGTTGCCGGGAGGATGTAAGACAAAGGCTCAGGCCGTTGATGGTGTATGAAGACGTCGCGGGGATGTCGCAAGATTGGATTAAGGGAAGGAGCGGGGGATGGGAGACGCGACTCCCGTCATGGACAAGCCCGTCCGCACGTGACATCTGCGCCTGGGAAAGCGCTCGATGAGAAACTCTATACTTCTATGTCTTCGTCTCCAATCTTCTGGTCCGTGAAAATGAGACAAGACCTCTAGATTTTACTCTGGCCCTGTGTCTTGCGTTTCGCCGTATTCCTCTCCGCGCTCAAGGTGAAAACGACATGGTGGCTCAGCGCCACGATGTCACCGCTCTCGTCCTGGATAACGACCTCCAGGTCTTGCCGCCCGTTTTTGATCTTCTTCGCTCGCACCCGCACAAACAGCCACTCCACGCCTTCCGCCGGTAGCGACTTCTTCATGTCCAAATTCAGCAGCAGCGTGGGGTACCAGAACGGAGCATCCTTCTTCTCCGCCTGCCGATACGTCTCGACAATCTGCGGCCACAGATCCGACACCAGTCCGATACTTTCGTTCGTAAACCTCTCGCCCGACTCAAGCCGCAGCCACTCATCAGCGAGGCTATGCAGCGCCTGACCCTTGCGCGGCACATATATGCGCACGCGATTCCACACCTTCCGGAAGTTCGAGTATGGCTTGTCTATCACCTCGACCCAGCTGGTGTCTGTGTCGGTGGCCAAGCGTGCCAGGTCAACAGGGGGCGGCGCGGGTTGGAGCGACCAGCCGGTTTCGAAGGACACGCCCTGCTCCGCATCGAGGTTTGAGTTTGTAATGTAGCCGACGACTTCTTCGCGCCCGTCCTGCTCCAGCGACACGTGGATCGTAGACGTCTGCCGGCCGAGCTTTGCGTCCCTGACCCTGAAGGTTACGGGGCCTTCCTGCGTGCGCCGCATGAACTCGAGATGCAGGGTGATGGTATGTGGCTGCTTCTGGGCGGCGAGCGTTGTGCGGAAGTGCAGCGAGGCGACGCGCAGGAAGGCTGACGTTACGACGCCGCCATGAGGCACTGGAGCGCCGTCAGCATGTTGAAGTGGTAGAGCTCACACCAGGGTCTAACGACGTACCTGAGCCGACGCACCAATCGGAATAGAAGCTGGCCGAGTAGGTGTGAGAGTCGACGGCTTCCACTGCCGTGGCTTCTGCGAACGACGGTGCCATGGCTAGGGGAACGGAGCAAGAGGAGGGTTGAGAGACACACAAGGAGCTGCTTGTCGGAATCCAGCCGACATGGCGGTGACGCGACGGCGCGTGGGATGGAGGATGCGCGAAAGGCGGCGGCGCGAGAGCAGGCCCTGCCTCGGCTCATGCCTCGGTTCATGTCTTCCCCGGATTCTGGCTTCCCCCGCCTCCCATCTCCACCAACGGCGTCACTCACCGGCGCGGGCAGTGTCGGCTGCTGCTCCTGTCTGTCCGCGCCCGTGCTGTGGTGCCGCCTTTTCCTCCCCGCCTTCTCGCGTGCCCCGCCATTTTCGCCCTTCATCCACATTCTTCTTGTCACTGCCATAATGCCTACTCCGTCACCTTACCCTTCTATAGACGTGCCTAATGTGGATGTCTGGGCATTCCTTTTTGAGAGAAAGGACAGGCCTTACCCGGATGATCAAGGTATACAATTGCCCCTTTCATCGCCAAAAGTCTCGTCTGGCCGGCACACACGGTTCAATCAACACCCTGTCACCAGCGCAACGCGGCTGACAACACTGCCAGTAATCTGCCTGGACGCCAACACCAACCGCACCTACACCTATGGCCAAATCAAGAGCACGGCCGAGGACTTCGGCAAAGGGCTGAAAGGGCTGTGGGACTGGCAAAAGGGCGACGTGCTCGCCGTCTTCTCCCCCAACTGCATCGACACGCCCGCCATCACCTGGGGCTGCCACTGGGCCGGCGGCGTCGTCTCGCCCGCGAACCCCACCTACAGCACCGACGAGCTGGCCTTCCAGCTGCGCAACGCCGGCGCCAAGGCCCTCGTCACCCAGCTGCCGCAGCTCCCCGCCGCGCGCAAGGCCGCCCACGCCGCCGGCCTGCCGCCCGACCGCGTCATCGTCATGGGCGACGCCCGGGACCCGACCGGCGCCACGAAGCACTTCACCAGCGTGCGCAACGTCTCGGGCACGGCGCGCTTCCGCCGGACGCGCCTGGTTCCCGCCGAGGACCTGGCGTTTTTGGTCTACTCGAGCGGGACCACGGGCTTGCCCAAGGGCGTGATGCTGACCCATCGGAACATCGTGGCCAATGTGCTGATGAACTCGGCGCTCGAGGGCGTCAATCTCGACTGGCGGGTTGACAAGGTCATCGCGTTCTTGCCCTTCTTCCATATCTACGGTCAGTGGTTGGTGTGACGGAGTGCTCGTGTAGAGATGATATACGGAGAGTACTGACACTCTGCGCGCAGGCCTCACGTGCCTCGTCCATCACAGCATGTACACCGGCGTGCAGCTCGTCGTCATGGACAAGTTCGACCTGGAGAGGTTCTGCAGCAACGTCCAGACGCACAAGGTGACGTTCGCGTACCTCGTGCCGCCCGTGGTGCTGGCGCTGAGCAAGTCGGCGGTCGTGGACAAGTACGACCTCAGCTCGCTGCGCATGTCCAACTCGGGCGCGGCGCCGCTGACGCGCGAGATCGTCGAGGAGCTGTGGAAGAAGCGCCGGCTCAAGGTCAAGCAGGGCTACGGCCTCAGCGAGACGAGCCCGACGACGCACACGCAGGAGTGGCGCGACTGGGACGCCAAGATCGGCAGCGTGGGCAAGCTGATGCCGAACCAGGTCGCCAAGTACATGGACCCCGAGGAGAAGGAGGTGCCCGTCGGCGGCACCGGCGAGCTGTGGATCAAGGGGCCCAACGTCTTCAAGGGGTACTGGCGGAATGAAGAGGCGACCCGGAACGCCTTGACTGAGGATGGCTTTTTCAAGACGGGCGACGTGGGCCACCAGGATCCCGAGGGCCACTTCTACATCACCGACAGGGTGAAGGAGCTGATCAAGTACAAAGGTGCGGCGCTTCAGAGGACGTTATAGAGGGGGGTGGGCATGTTCTCTTTTGCTAATTGTGAAACAGGCTTCCAGGTGCCGCCCGCTGAGCTTGAGGGATTGCTTGTTTCGCACCCCTTGATTGAGGACGTTGCAGTCATCGGCATCTACGACAAAGAGCAGGCGACCGAGGTGCCCCGCGCGTACATCGTGCCGGCGAAAGGCAGCGAGGCCAGCCCGAAGATGGAGAAGGAGATAGTAAGTTGGTTGACCGAGAGGGTCGCGCACCACAAGAGATTAAGAGGTGGCGTTCGGTTCGTCGATGTGATCCCAAAGAGTGTCAGTGGCAAGATTTTAAGAAGAGTTCTCAAGGCTCAGGCGGCGGAGGAGGAGAAGGGCGGAAAGGCTAAACTCTAAGAATAGAACGGAAGAAAGAAAGAAAGAAGGAATAGAAGGAAAGACAGGTACGTCAGTCAACTACTTTGGATACTTCAAGTCGTTACGCGTTGCACATTCTCGTTGCGTTTGTCGTATGCATTTGCTTTCTCCCTGGCGAAACAAGGCTAGAAGCATGTGTTGTGTCCAACACGTTTAGGGAGGCCAGCAAAAAGCAGTCTCTAGCGACTTGTTGATCATCAGCCGACCCGCACGGGCGCAGTATCGCATCAATCCGCGTACAGATGCTATGCGATTCATGCAGTTGAAAACGGAGGCTGCATCGTTTCAAGTCTCGCTTCAGCGCCTGCTGAGTCGCTCAACCCTTGGTCGCAGCGGCTCAGTAGAGCCTCTGACAGATGATGGAACCACACGCTACACACCTGCAAATAGGCTTCGTATCGACGATGTGCAGGCCGCTATGAGGAGCTACTCCATGCCGTGGCTGTTCTCATCCAGGGGATCCCAGGCTTTGCAACATGCGTATCGAGGGCACACCATTAAAGCAGCACCAGGCCTTGCTACGACAGCAAGCAAAAAGCAGAGTGAATTGATCAGATTTGAAGAAGGACGGGAGTGCTCAGATCAGCACGTGGCCCCTCGTTTCCTTGGCTGCCCTTTGACTGAGGGTGGCACAGCAAGTGTCAGAGGAGAGGTGGGCTGACTGCGTCCCATTCTCTACCACGACGACGGCACCCAGCTCATTGCCGACAGCAACGATTGCTCCCGCCAAAAAGCGGGTCGAGCGGAACGGCTGGGGGTTGCGGCGCAAGCGGGCGGGGATCTGCCATGGAATCTCGGACAAAGTCTCATCTATCGACTAGTTTCGATCCTTGCAAGCAAGCTAAATGTGGTCGTGATGCAGCGGCGCCAGCTGATGGTCGGACAAGGCATGCCTGCCGGCGCACCCTTGGGAGAGAAAGAGAGAGGCAAAAGCAATATTGACACGGCGGGTAGCAGCTCATCCGAGCGTGGCTAGCCATGGCGAGCCGGGAAATTGCAACGCTCAAAACAGCTGCAGCGGCAGGGCCGTGCTGTTGGACTGACAGCAGCAACGAACCGAAGGGGAGCACTCGAGGCTGTATGAAGACTATATTTCCGACGAGGACTTAGGAAGGCATATAGCTGACGGAGGTGAGCAGGCTGATCACGGTGCTAGCGCGCTCTGCACGCGTTCCAGGCCGCCGTCCGTGTGCCGTGAAAGCATCGGGAGATTCGCCCTACGAACAAACCGCGCGCTAGCGGCGGGAGACAGCCGTGTGAGGCACAGACGCTGCATGATCGGCTCGGGGGGCCATGACACTCAACTGCCGCGTGAGGGAAGACGGTGCTGGGCTGCTTCGACCGTCCACCCCAGCGTTTCGCCATGTGCAGGGTTGCCGCTCCTGCGACGTGCCCTGCGCACGGAGTTTCGTTCTGTTTCGGGAGCCGTGTTGAAGAAATTGATGGTCAAACGTGCTCTTTGAATCAACCCTCTCCCCATTGCGGCGCCATGTCCGTCCTCCGTCCGCTCCTGTCAATCGGTTTCGGATTCTTCGATGCCGCTATCTTCTATTCGCTGCCGCGCCTACTAGGTATCCCTACCTACATATTCATCGCCCCGGCACACACGCGCGGTCCCGCGTTTGCACCCTCCCTCGTCCGATCCTCCTCCCGCCCTGCCCTGTACCTCCCCCAGCCACATGCCGCCCATCCATTCCTGCAGGAGCCACAAAGACCGCCTCGTTCGCCGCGGCCCCATGCCCAACCCTGGTGTCGCCACACTTTAGATTAACCTTGCCTAACCTTCTGCTTCCTTCCTTCCCGTAGCTGCAGATTCCGGGGTTCATATCGCTCCTCCGCTGCCCTATTGCACCCCACTCAGCTTCGACTGACTCGTCCTTCTTTTTATCTTCCGTTCTGCCACTTCATCCTTTCGTTCTTCTCCTTCTTTCGACCTCCCTCCCCTCCCTCCCAGTCGGCCATGGCGGCGACAACAACAGCAACACCCGCCATGGAAGCGCCCGCGGGGCAGACATCAACCTTCGACGGACCGATGACGGACGCGCAGTGGGAATTTGTCCGGACAGGTGCCGGGCTGGTCGGCGGAGCGACGGTGGCGCTGGCGCTGCGGATATGGGCGCGGGCGGGCGTGATGAGGCATTTCGGACTGGACGATTGTAGGTTCTTGCGAAAAAAGAAAGGGAAGAGAGAGAAAGAAAAAGAAAAAGAGAACGAAAGAGAGAAAAACTTCCCGATGATTACCGATGGTCGTTATGAAAGAGGGGAGATGGGGAATAAATGGAACGTTTTGACTGATTCGTGTCTTTTGTGCTTGAACAGATGCGGTTGTGGCAGCCTGGGTAAGAACACAACGAGAAGAGAGAGCGAGAGAACGGCACGACGAGAGACTGGCGGCTGATGCGAAGACGAACAGTTGCTGAGTGTTGCGTTTTTCGTTTGCGAGGTGCAGTGTGAGTTTTTTCGTCAAATTTTTCGTCTTGCAAAGGGATGCTGATACCGGTCGTAGGGATGCAGTACGGTTTCGGTGACCACCTGTGGAACGTGACCGTCGCGCAGGCGAAAGAGTACGCTCAGGTGAGTTTTCAAACCCGAAATCGAGTTGGAGTTGATACTGACTAGGACCAAGTGGAGCATACCAGTGCTCACAGCCTATTGGTATGTGCACCTCGCACGCTTACAGGACCGCCTGCAGCTACTGACCGCATTGTGATAGCTGGGCGCCGATTCTATCCAAGTTTTCGATACTTATCCTATATCACCACCTGAATCCCAATAAAGCCTTCCGTGTCGTGGTATACATCATGATAGCCATCATAGTCGGCTATTCTGTGGCATCGACGGTAGTGGTATGTAACATAAATGTCTTTCGGCAGTCTCTTAAGTATTGACGGTGGAATTTAGGTCGGCGCCATCTGCAGACCAACCGACGCTACCAAGAGCCAATGTCTCGACAACCTTACATTGATTCAGGCAATAGTCAACATCTCCACGGATGGCCTGGTGATTATAATGCCCGTGTCCATTATCCACAAGCTCCAGTTCCCGCTCGGTCAGTTAATGGTAGTAGGATTGGTGATGGCCGGTGGTTTTCTGTAAGCATATCTCCTCCCGAACTGCACTCAAGACCCCGCGCAGCTGACAGGATTACAGCGCCGTGGCCGCCGCAATAATACGACTTATCACAATCCAGAGCATCCGTGGTCTCGAGGACTACACTTGGGAGCAGACCCACGTCTCGTTGTGGTCGTGAGTGATTCCGCCCATCCATTCCAATCGCAGATGGCTGACCACAGAGTCACCCTCAGAACGATAGAGATCAACGTCATCATCATCTGCCAGTGCCTCATTTCGCTCAAGCCGCTGGTCAAACACTACATGCCGGGCATGCTCGACGACGGCGTCTACTCGAAGTCACCCAACAACCGCGGCCGCAGCCTGAGCAGACTCAGCATTCCCTTCGCCATGATGACCAAAGGAACAACCGGCGTGGTGGGTGGCAGCAGGATATCAAAGGGCTGGTGGAGGAGCCCGAAGAAGGACGAGATCATCATCACGAATACGTACGAGGTGGCAAGTACCTACGAGATGAAAATCGGCGGCGGCACGGAGAGTCAGGAGAATATCATAAGAGGGAAGCATTGAGGAAACGCCGTCCGTTCAATTTCTGTCTTGTTTTTGGTTCGTTATTGGCTAACGCCGGGGCGGGACCTGAGTGCGTTATCCTCTCATTGATTTTGTCTGGTAGAGCGACATATACCCCGGGGGAAGCTAGTCGTCGTAAGTCAGAAGAGGAGAGATGGTTTCAAGCACGAGTTTGCCGAAGCTTCGTCTTTGCATTGTGAGCTAATGGGAGTCTCTGTTTCCAGATGGCTGGAATAATCTGTGCTTGCAGAGCCGCTGGCCTATCACAGCACTCGGAGTTGCAAATACTTCTGCACCATCAATAATGCAAATCCCAGTCTCCCACTGCCAGGTAGATACGGCTCTTCTGCGCCGTACTTATCCGCAGACCAAACCTAAAAACAAACATTCTCGGCACATGCAGTGAACATCCTCTACCGCGCGGCTAGTCTCGCGATCCGCACACCAACGCCTTCGTGCACACCTGCAGTTGCCCAATCGGGTCAACGCTCCGGTACAAATCTCACCACAGCTAGCTCTCTCCCTCCGCACCAGCCCACCCCGTTGATCCGCGATTCCACCTACTCGCCTCGACGCGACCGTTCCGCAAAAGCGCCGCAGAGCAGCAAACCATGTGTAGCATCTCCCGCCCCCTCCTGCAAGGACGTGGTGCCGCCACCACATGATCGATCCCCAAACATCTTCGGGCCTTCTTCCGAAACGCCCAACGTCAACACCAATGCATCCTGCCGACCGGTCCCGGCCGTGTCACCAGTAGTGCGTGCGGATACTGGAACGCCGTCTCGATTCCGCTGGAAGCATGACGTCCCACGATGCCGGTCCTTTTTGCCGGTGCCTGACGTTCACTTAACATAGATTATAGTTTGCAGTTCGGCCGGGTGTGCCATGTGCGGGAGGCACGTATGATCACCACGTTATCGGGTTGTCACCAAGTGGAGGCAAGTTGTTTTTGATTCAGACCCAGAAAGCCGTCTGCGCGATATTGTAACGTGGAATGGGTTGGTCCATGAAAGGTACATACGTACGTCTTCAGGTCGGCTTTCCCAATAAGTGATCATGACCACCCATCTCTACTCCATCTTCACATCACCACACAGCCACGTCCAGATCTTCCCAAAGTACTCCTCATCCACCGGCCTTACGTTCCGCAACACGGGCGCGACCTTCTTCGTCTCTTCCATGGCAAAAATCCGCCGCCGCCGCCGTCCATCATCCGCCGACGTAGCCCCCGCGGGTGATGGCCGTTCAGCACCTCCCGCCGTGGCACGACCGGCCTCCCCTTCCCCCTCACCATACGCATTCTTCCAGTGCCCAAGAAGCTTTAAAGCCGGATGCTGCTGCCCCTCCCCCTCCCCCTCGACCGCCGCCATCCTCTCCTCCAACCGCTCCACCCACACCCCCGGCTCCACGACCTCGAAGTCCTCCAGCTTCCCCAGCCACTCCAGCAACCGCATCCAATCCGGCTCGCAATGCTCATTCAACACGTGATACACCTTGCACCCCGACCCCCCAACCACCACGTCCTCTTCTTCTTCCCCGGCATCAGCGGCGGTAGCAGCATCAGAATCAGAATCAGCAGCAGTAGCAACAGTACTAGCAGCAGCAGTACCAGCAGCAACAGCCTCGACAAACGCCCTCGCCGCCACATCCACCGGCAGCCACGCCAGCGGCTCGTCGCGCAGCGCGGGCAGGCAGCCCGTGCGCCGCACGGTGCTCAGCAGCAGCGGCCACGCCTCGCGCGCGTTCCACACGCCCTCGTCCGCGTCGCCGGCGAGCTGGCCGACGCGGAAGACGGCGATGTTGCTGTTGCTGCTGCTGCTTCTGCTGCTGCTGCCGATATTGCCAGTGCTGCGAGCGCGAGTGCGTTGCCGGTGGTGGTGGCGATGTGCGTTCTGGCAGATGAGCTCGGCGACGTATTTGGAGCGCGAGTAGCCGAGGGGGGAGGCGGCGGTGGGGGAGGGCGAGGTGGTTTCGGGGACGACGATGATGGAGCTGGAGGAGGAGGGGTCGGATGGGGGCCAGTTGGCGGCGCTGGCGACGGAGGAGCAGAAGGCGAAGAAGGGAGGGGAGGGGCGGGGGGAGCGGAAGGCGAGGGTGAGGAGGTTGTGGACGCCTGGATTGGTGGGTTAGTCTTCGTTTCCGTCTTTTTTTTTCATCTTTTTTTTTCTTGTTGAAGACTGCTTGCTTGCTTACCGGCGATGTTGTCCTTCTCGAAGCTGCGCAGCCGCATCCGGAAATTCACCGACCACGCGATGTGCATGATGATGGTGGCTTCGGCGGCGATCCTGGCGTACGTTTCCTCGGTCAAGCCGAGCTTGGCTTCGCCCAGTTGAGACTGCAGCACTACGATCTTCGAGTTGCCTGCGTGCTCTGACGTCACCAGGCCCGGAAGCCTCTTTTGGGTGAGGGCTTTGTCGACGCGTTCGCGAGCGGCGTGTGCATCGGAGCCACGGACGAGGCAGTAGATCTTGGAGGTTCGTTCAGAGTCACGGTATAGGTGCAGGATGTGGGCTCCCAGGGCGCCGGTGGCTCCGGTCAAGACCTGTGTTTGTGAGTGGATGGCCACCGTTGCTACACAGTACGATGCTACTCACGACGACGTCTTGATTGTCTGTCCCGTTAGCCGCACAATTGGTTGCTGTGGGATCCTCTTGCAGTACGGCGTCGAAGTTACCGTACTTCTCGATAAGGCTAGTCATAAGCTCTAGTTCGTCTTCGCTCTCCTCGTACGACTCCCCATGGCGCAGCTTTAGCATGAATGTGCTTAGTCTGCAGAGGCAAGTTAGCTGCATGATTTCCAAGCCTACTCATAAGTTGCAACAACCGTTTGACAGTACCGCAGTCTTCCACGACGCTCAGCGGTAATTCTAAAGAAATCTTTGGGAGGAGCTGCCACAGAAGTCAGCTACAGACTCGGCACTACCATGAAAAAACCATACCTGATTCAACCCGTATCGTATCTGCATGCACGCAACAGAATCGACTCCATAGGAGAAAAGATCGTCGTCTTCACACAGCTCCCCCGGCTTCGATACCACGCTCTTAATCAAACCAATGATGAACCCTGTCACCTCTTCATCCGGTATCATGGAGTCCCGGACACTGAGATTCCCGTAGCTACCGTCAATAAGATCAGCGTATTTCTCCTCGGCCTTTCCTCTCAGAATCGTCCCCTTGCTGCTTTTCTCCAGAGCCCCTGGATCATGGGGCATGGGCAACAGCATGTTCCGTGGTATCCGCGCGTGTTGCTGACTCTCCGCATTGAGCTTCTCAACCAGCGACTCCACCGCGCCAATCAAATCCTCATCAGACATGGCCGCAGAGCGTTCACTTCGGAACAGCAGCGCCCCGGGGAAAGGCCGCCCGTTCCCAAAGATCAAGACATCGTCGAGGAGCGGGCTCACCGCCATGGCCGACTCCAGAGGCGACGAGTCAAACTTCTTGCCCGTGATGAGCGTGAGCTGCGAGTCGGCGCGCGAATGGTACTTCCAAGCCCCCGGAATCGTCGGATGCGGCACCATCAAGTCCGCCGTGGCGAACGATCCGTCGTCCCTATTGCTCTTCGCCTGTTCGCACACGGCAAGCCAGTCGAGTCCCGTCAGCCCTCACAGCATCTCCGAAACCAGAGTATCACATCACAAGACAAAAACCCACTCACCATATACGGCCACCCCTTCAACACAACCAACTCCGCCAGCCCCTCCTCCCCCTCCCTCGGCTCAAACCGCAAAAACTCGCCACCACCGCCACCCCCAGCACCGCACCTCAGATACTGCCACTCCCGATCCCCGTCGTACGCCCGATGCGACGACATCAGAAACCCGCACTCGGCGCTCCCGTACCGCGACACCAGCCGCACGCCCTCCGCATCGACCAAGCGGTCGCCCACCTCTGCCGGCAGCGCGGCGCCGCCCACGCCGACGAGCGCCATGCGGCGCAGCGCGCGCACGCCCGCGCCCGACGCGTCCGCCTCCAGCAGCTGCAGCACGTACGGGACACAGGAGAAGTACGTCACCGGGGGCGGCGGCGGCGGCGGCGGCGGACGATGGCGTTGCGTCGCCGCCGTGCCGTTCGTTTCGATCTTCTTCCTCGCGTCGCCCTCTGGCCGGATGTCTGTCGAACCGTTTGATACTACCTCCACCTCCGCCTCCGTCTCGGCCGCGGCGGCATCCAGGCAAGCGCACACATTCGCCGCGGTGATGGGCAGCGCGTGCGCGGGGAACAGCCAGACGGGGGCGGCGGCGGCCCAGGCGCGGAAGCAGTCGGCGATGCCGCCGTGGTAGAGGGGCGTGGTGGTGAAGGTTGCGCCGTCTCCGCCGCCGTCGGTGGCGTCCGTGGCGATGGGCCGGGGCAGCTGGCCCCGCTGGGGCAGGGCGCACACGGCGCCGCGGTGCGTCTGCGGGATGGGCTTGGGCAGGCCGGACGAGGTGCCCGAGGTGTGGAAGAGGAAGGCGACGTCGTCCGTGCGCGGGTGCGTGGGAGGAGGGCGGGCGTGGAGGTTGAGGGCGGGCGGGGGTGTTGTGCTGAGGAGGGAGGAGAGGTCGGCGGGGACTACGGCCGAGGAGAGGGGGATGGTGCAGAGGTTGCCTGTTGTTTCGGAGGCGGCGTTGGCGGCGAGGGTGGCGAGGGAGGGGTCGTGGAAGAGGATTGATGCGTGGCAGCTGCGGAGCAGGTGGGCGATGGCGGGCGGTTGGCATTGCGGAGCAATGAGCAAAACAGGGTGCCCGAGGCGGATCAGGGCCAGCCAGACGAAAACGAAGGTCGGCGAGCTGGGAGATAGGAGGCCGACGGTTTGTGGTTGGAGGAGAGACTTGTCTCGGAGCTGGCGGTCGATGAAGTCGGCGACGATGACAGAGGCGATCCGGAGTTCTCTGAAGGTGATAGTCCAACGCTTGAGTGGTACGCCGCTCGAGGCGCTTTGGTCACTGATGGGTTCAAAGAAACCAACGGCCGGTTTATCTCCCACGGAGCATGCTAGGAGATCGATGAACTCGTTGATGTCGTTGAATCTCGACTTGGGCGCGTCCAGGCTGGCAGCTTGGCCAAGGGTGCATACGAAATAATTGAGATCCATTGGGCCGGTGCTGTAGAAAGGATGCAGCTGGGGCAAAGCGAGAGAGGCCGTTTAAGTAAGTCGCGCTGTGGAATGCGCTTTGAGTTTAGTCGGATGCAGCAGAGGAAAGTGATGAGATCATCTCCCCGGCACCGCCCACTCCTCCACCTGCTACCATCACGCCGTCCCAACTTTTTTTTCTTTTTGATTTCGCATCTCAGCTGCAACGCTACGAAGGCGCGCAGGATGTTCTACCGGGAGTGTCATCTGAACTGCGATGACGTTCTGCGCTTGCTGGTACGCCACCGGCGGACCGGCCCGGGTTGAGATGGGACCTGGATTTAGAGCCCAAGCCGATCGAACCATGGCTCATCCTCTGCTCATGTGAAAGTCGCCGAGTATTTATTACAGAACCACCACCCTTCTTCATCGCTCTCCCACGCAGTGTGGTGAGGGACATGTGCCCATCCTCTTCCTCATGTCTATCGACGACGGTAAAAGCAGTGTATTGCATGGCAATTTAGAAGGCGCTTTGGATTGCTGGATTTTGTTAATGATGGCTTTTGGGGAGGCTGAGGGTATTTCTTATCAGTATTGTTTGTGATACCTATCATAAACGGTGCGTAGTGCAAGGTCTTGTAAACAGGAAAGCGATGCCCTCTTGATATTCCGTGCAAGAGAGAAAATCTAACAGTGATACCCACAACTCACATATCTCGAGCCTGATAAACATGCATTGACCGTACATCGTGAAAAACAGCCCTGGATCGTCTATTAACTTTTGTCTTGGTTTTCGTACATCTCCAAAAACCTCTTTGTTAAATGCCCCATAACCTTCCGAAATCAATCCTGCCATCCACGGATTAGCCAAACCGAGCTTAAATATTACCCGATCTGTAGATTTCCGCTTCTCGGTGGCTGATAGAACGCTCGAAACAAGTTTAAATATCCTCTTCTTTAACCCTCTAGTACGTCCTCGAGTTCTCGATCTTCGTGACCAGAATATCGGAAGCGCCAATGCTGGTGAGATCATCCATGACGGTAGCAATCTTCTTGCGCTCAACCATGGCCTGAACGGCAACCCATCCGTTGTCTTCGAGCGAAGTAATGGTAGGGGCGCGCTTGCCAGGGGTAATGTCGCGGGCAGCAGCGAGTTGGTTGCGCTCGATGTTGTAGGTGCAGAGAACGTATTTTTGCGCGGCTACAAAGGCGTGTTAGTGACTGTAGCGTAGCATTGACTGTGACCAAGCTCTTACTGATGACACCGCGGATACGAGCAGCTATTAAGTCGACGAGCTGCGGGTTGGAAGGCTTCTTGGACTTGACGAGGATAGCGGTGGTCTCAACAACGGTGGAGATGGCCTTGAGGCCAGCGGCACGCATAGTCTCGCCAGACTCTGTTGATCACGAACCGGTTCAGCATCACGACCCTCGAATATAACCCTAATCCTTTTCCTCCACTCACCAACGAGATCAACAATGCCGTCCGCAACGCCCAGAGCGCATGCTGCCTCCACGCTGCCACCGACGTATTTGATGTTGGTCTTCAGCTTATCCCCCGCGCTGACCTCCCTGCCTTCCTGCTCCGCCTCCAGCTGCCTGAAGTATTGCTCGGTGAGGTTGGTGAAGCTGGTGCAGACATTGCGGCCGATGAGCTGCTTCGGGTCGGTGACGTCGCCCTTCTCGGGCACCTGGACCTGGAGCTTGCAGCCGCCGAAGTCGAGGTCGAGCACCTGCTCGACGCCGGTGGTGTCGGTGGGCGGCGAGACGGCCTCGTGCTCGGCGACCTGGTCGCGGCCAGTGATGCCCAGGTCGACCCGGCCCTCGCCGACGAAGGTTGGGATGTCGGCCGCGGGCAGGAAGACGAGCGCGATGGGGTGGTTCTTGACCAGCGCGATGTCGAGCCTCGAGTGGCGGTGGAACTGGATGTCGGAGCCCTTCAGCAGGTCCAGGCAGGCTTGGTGAAGGCGGCCCTCTGTTGTGTGTCGGTCACGCCGGCGTCAGCACGTTGTTTACTCGGGTCGGACGGGAAGAGGCTTTGCGCGGGCGGTGTACGGACTCTTGGGCACGGCGAAGAGAAGGCGGTCATTCAGGCTGGGAACAAGGTTAGCGATGCGCGAGAGCTGGCAGGCGCGCACATGCGAGGAGCATAACCCACTGGTTGACGAGATCCATGGTGTTCACTGGCGGAAGGAAGTTTGCGCAGAGTCTGTCTCAGGCTGTGGGCACGCGAAAGCGAAGGGTGGATTGGTTGAACAAAGGTCGTCGGTCTTGGCACGCCCAATTGATTCGAACGAACGGCACGGCGGAGTCGGCGGGCGTGGAAATGTTCGGCGTGGCGGGTGGTGTTGCGGAGCCACGATAAATTCTGAGTGAGTCAAGAACCGCACTAGTAGGGTCATTCCACAGCGACAATGACGATGGCTGTTACTCAACACGCGGTGCAGAACTCGGACATTATTCGCTGCGCAAGAGCCTCAACCAAGGGCCTTATACGTGTCTGGCCGAGGGCTACCGTCGCTGAGCTCCGGCGTCGGGCAGCGCCGTTTACGGCTTTGGGTAGTGCTGTTCCGCGACCCTATCGCGGGGGCCTCTTGCGTTTGGCCGGCGGCCGGCAGGGCTGGCGGCGGATTAGAGCGCGCCAAGATTCGCGCAGCCGCACTTTCGAAATTCCAGCTCCACATCTCGAAGCAACGCCCGCACCGACGAACACCCAACCGCGACACCAGACCGCTCCCGACCACCGCCCCTCTCGATACCGATACCACTTCGTCGCATTGACCGAATCCGCACAAAATGGACAGCGCCAAGGTTCCCGTTAAGCTCGTCAAGGTCACCCGCGTCCTCGGCCGCACCGGTACGCCGCCCTGCATCCCACACTGCCGCCTCGCTTTCCTTTGTGCTCTCGCTACGATCTGCGCCATCGCACCGACATACAACGGAGGACCTCCTGGCTAATATTGTACCTGTGCTGTGAATAGGCTCCCGTGGCGGTGTGACTCAGGTCCGCGTCGAGTTCATGGACGACACCACCCGTAGCATCATCCGCAACGTCAAGGGCCCTGGTATGCCGCTCCTCCCTGCCGGCCACTCACCACGAGAAAATAATCGCTCCACACGCGCGAGGCTCGGAAGCAGGAATGAATCGCTGACGTTTATGCCCCTACAGTCCGTGAGAACGACATCCTCTGCCTTCTCGAGTCCGAGCGTGAGGCCAGGAGGCTCAGGTAAACGCTGCCTGTCACTGCCCGCATCGCCGTCACCGTCCTCGCACTCCACAACTCTCCGGAATGGCTGGTCGCCATGGCGCTCTGCGGCTGGGTTGGTGGTGATTAAGGGAGGAGCGTCGGTGCTTTTGCATTTTTTTGTACGGACACCTCAAAAAAGATAAGGGCACTTCTTGATCGGGAACCTTGAAAATTTGGGTCGGTGTTTTTTTCTTCATTGCTTGCAACAAAGCGGCATCGGCAAACCCGGGAGTCATGCGGAAAAAGACATGGGAATGAATGCATGATCTGACACTGTGGCTCCTGTTTACGAAGTCTGGACACGTTTTGTGATTACGCCATTCCACAGGAGAGTATCGACGGAGATTGTATGTCGAGAGCAGCAGAACTCACATGATCGGATCCAGGAGAACGCATGAATTTTTACTCGTACCAGCTGATCGTGTTGCTGTTTCCAATCGCTCAGATCAGCCTGACTGATTTTTCGACGCAGGGCCAAATCCAATGCCCACTTTTTGAAAGAATAACCGTGAGAGCTGCTCTTCTAGCAAACATCCGACGGTCACTACTACTCAACCTTCAGCCGTATATAAATCCTGCGCCACTGTTGAAGCCAAACCCCAAAGCTCGATACCCCCTTCATCCGGAGCCTGCACCCAACAATCTCTCCAAGTCCGCCACTCTCGCACCCCTATCCTTCTTCTTCTCCTTGGCCTTCTCCGAGAAAGCCAACTGCATCAGCCTCCTCTTATCCTCCTGGATCCTCAGCACGTTCTCCTCGACCGTGCCCTCGACCACCAGCCTGAACACCGTCGTCTCGCGCTTCTGGCCGAGCCTGTGCACACGGTCGACGGCCTGGTCCTCGATCGCCGGCGCCCACCAGCTGTCGGCCAAGACGACCTGGCTCGCCGCGACGAGGTTGAGGCCGACGCTGCAGACGGCCAGCGACGCCAGCAGGACGGTGCACTGCGGGTCCGAGTCGAGGGCCTCGAGGGCCGCGTCGCGCGCGAGCGCCGACATGGTGCCGTCGATGCGGGCGAAGCGGATGCCGGCGGCCGCGAGCTGGGGCTCGACGACGTCGAGGAAGCGGGTCCACTGGCTGAAGACGATGGTCTTGATGCCCGCGTCCTTGGACGCCGTGGCCTTGAGGATCTTGAGCAGCGCCTCGATCTTGGAGCTGTTCGCGTCGGCGTCGGCGTCGGCGTCGGCGGGCGCGGGAGGGGCGGCCGCCGCCTCCTTGGGCGGCCGCACGAGCGAGCCTGTGCTGGGGAGCTCGGCGCGGCACATGGGGCACTTGTGCTGGCCCTCGATGGCGCGCTCGATGCAGCTGTAGCCGAAGGCGTGCGCGCAGCAGGTGATGACGGCGTCGTGGAGCGGCTCCAGGCAGATGGGGCAGTCCTCTTGCGACTCGATGCTCAGCTGGAGCATGGCTTGGAGCGCGGCGCAGTTCTCGGGCGTGAGGTCAACGGTCTTTTGCTCCGAGAGCATTTCCATGAGCCCGGAAATCCGCTCTTCGCCGCAGAGCTTCCAGTGGTTGCATACCTGGCGGAGCCGCAGGAGAATCTCGAGGAGGTGGCGATAGGTCTTCGCGGAGTCGTTGCCTGCGAGACTTTGACGGTATCGGTCGAGTGTCCCCTTTGCTTGGGCTTCCAAAGCATCGTATTTCTCCTGCTCGTGAGGCAAGAATTTGATACGGTGGACGTATTCCGATAGCTCTGGCAAACGAAGGTCGATGAATGGCATATCTTTTCTCCTCCTGAGGCAGATACTACTCATCAACATCTGCAGCAAGAAGCTGCCACGTTCGTCTCCTTGGTTGACAGGCCGAATCAGGGCGCCGTTGAAAAGCTCGAACCGGTCTAAACCACCCGAGAGACGGATGAACTTGGCCAAGGAGTACAGGTCTTTCAGAGTGTTGATGATTGGCGTTCCCGTAAGCACCCATCTTGAGCGCGCGAGCAGGTTAGTAGCAGCAACGGCTTTCTTTGACGCAGGGTTCCGGATGCTGTGGCCTTCATCAAGCACAAGTCTGCGCCAATGAACAGAGAACAGGCCATCCTTTCTGGGGACGCCTTGCGGGTTCTTGTTCTTGCCCTTCTTGCCCCAGAACTCTGTCATGACTGTCTCGTAGGTGGTAATGACCACGTCATAGTCGGCGATTGTCTTAGAGTCAATGGGCCTCTTTCGAGTGCCATGGTACGTCAAGACTCGGAGTTCATGCTCCGGCTTAACGTGACGCTTGATCTGGGAACTCCAGTTGCTCATGACGCTCAGAGGGGCGAGGATCAAGGTAGCATTGCTAGTGCGATCTTGGCTGTGCAAAGCACGGTCCGCCGCGATCAGAGAAATGATTTGGACAGTCTTGCCCAGGCCCATGTCGTCGGCCAGGATGCCGCCGGAAGCTAGTTCGGGGAGCGTGTCCTTGATCGAGTAGTTGGTGCAGATGTTGGTGAACACGTTTGCCTGCTGCGGTGCACGCCTCCACAGTTGCACAACATCGGCAGATCCTGCAGCAGGGAGCTGAGGATTTTCGTGATCCCGCAGCCATTGCAGGCCTTGCAGCTGGTACGGCAGCAGCTCCGCTGAAATCTCCATTGGCTGTTTAGCCATCGGAAGATTCTGAAGATCGGCCTCCTGGGCGCCGAATTTCTCAACCATTTGATCAACATTCCGCGGGTTGAAGCGTTCACTCTCGCCCACAATGGCATCGAGACTTTGTCCCTCGACTTGCGAAGAACCAGGTACCGCGCCGTTGGCCCACTGCTCATTGGACTTGCCTTGTCGTGCGGTGGCCTTCTGCTTTTTCGCAGCCAGATGTGCCGCTTTGATCCTCTCCCGCTCAACCTTCTCGTTTCGCATGAACTCATTCAAGGGAAGTCTATCGGCTTTCAGCTCGTTGACCAGAGTGTAGCGCTCGACGATGTCACTGGTCCCATATAGTTTGACCGCGAGAGGCATGTCGAATGTGTCTTTGTGGCCAGTGATCACCCCCTCTACGATCAGGGATCTGTTGTCCATGTAGCGGGCAAGCTTTGCAGCTATTTGCCGTGGGATATGGCCGATTTGCTGCTCTTGGACGTTGAGCACTCGAATGGCATTGCCATCGTACTGTAGTGCATTAGTGCGGTGTAAGCAGATGCTCTTCTGTCATTTCAGTGACTGAGAAGTCTTGGTGAAGGTATTGTTAGGATGCGAGTGTGACCAGAGTGCTGATTCTTCACGCCTGCTGGTTACCACATGTGCTGCAGTAGAGGGGCTTAAATTTTTCGGCCATCTCCTAGTGTTCGTAGTGCCCGGTAGGATTTTCCCGCAGGAACATTCCGGCCGTTAGGCGGTACCGTGATTGCAAATGCACTAAACCTTCTTGCTGACGACCGCAGTGCATGATGACAGAAGGAAAAGAGTGTAGGGATAAAGTTGTGGCAAAGGAAATCGGGCTTACTGGATTGTGCGGCTCTCTGCGCAGCATGACCATTTCACCAATGGTGGCGTAGCCGTTGTAGTATCTCACACCAACGATTTTGGCGTTGAGGGTACCTGGACGAGCATGTCTTAACATGCATTTCTGCTGGCCAAGAGGCTATAAATACCATAAAGCATGTACTGAATGAAGGCGCGATCATTGTACTCCTGCGAAGGGTCGACAACATCGTCGTCGAGGATACTCTCGTCCCATTCGTCATCATAATCTGAGCCGGTGCCAATTGAAACGTCGCCTAGTCGGGGATTCTTGCGCGTCTGCGGCCCGGTGAAGGGGGAGTCATCGTCGGACGCGGTCAGATCGATGACACGCTTGCGGATTGAACCTGCCATCGTAATGCACGCCGTCCGAAGCTGGGATGACGCGTTGATGTTGCTGTTGAGCAAACGGGGGGGCTGTGTAGACCAGGACTGGGTGTCGCGTCTCCCTGGGTGCCCGAACGTGGAAAAGCTTGAACCACACCGTTTGCGTGTCGCGGATCCGCGCAACAACGCCCTTTCACGTGATGAGGCTGAAGGCACGGCGTGGGAGGCAACGAAGTACCTAGTGAGACAAGGGCAGGCGACAAGGCTCTCGCTTGACCGGTGGTCCCCTTGCTGTCCCCGCAATTGCGAGGGCTCGCAGCTCGCAGGTAGCAACGCGCAGTCAGGGCTCTGGGTGGCCCACGCAGCAGCCTGTGGCCTGGAGCCAGGAGCCCCTTTGTTGTGCAGCATGCAGTGCGTGCGTGTTTGCGACTGACCGGCCACACCAAGAGCGAGCGTCCGCCCTTTGGCCACGCGTATGGAGGTGCTGGCCGTGGCCGGAGTCACTTGTCACTTTCCCATGCCCAAGGCCCGCGAGACACAGGCAGGCCGGGCAGGCAGGAAGATCGGGCGCAGCTGGCCGCATCGAGCGCACTGGCCGGCGGCCGCGGTCAGCTGCACCGCTGGCGAGCGTGCAGCGCATCCTGGGCCCGTGGTCGCAGAGAACGCCGGCTCGACACGCCTGCTTCCCCGCGACGCACTCCAGGCAGGGCAGGCAGGGTCGCGTCGGGCGCAGTGATTCGCCGGCGGGGCGCATCCTTGCGTCGCCGGGAGGCGTGCCACAGTGCTGCAGCGCAGGCAACCGCAAGGGTCTGCAGGCAGAGAGATTAGAGCGCGCTATCACGGCAGGCGGCTAGGCCGTCGCGGCAGCCATCGCAGCCATATCAGCAGCAGCGGCCGCGGGCGAGGCTTGGGCTGCGCGGCGATATTGCGGCATCTTCAGCGCGTCTGCTGCCAGCAACCGCACACTAGTGTAAGAAATGATGGCGAAGGCGTGATCACGACGGGCCTCTCGGGCATGCGCCGCGGGCGAGTGCTCGCAGCAGCAGCCGTCGCAGAGGCTGAGGCGCCGGCGCGGTGAGGGCGATGACGGCATCCATCTGGGGCTGCTCGCAATGCCTGTTCTTTTAAAAGTGCCCTCCGCATCGTTGCTACTTATCTGCTTCGTATCTTAGCGCCCTATCGACAACGGACCCGTGACTCGTCGTGCCGCCGCAAGCTCCCCGGCCGCAACCTCTCGACTGCTCGCCCTCCTCTCCCAACCGCAGCACACCTCCCCTAAATACGCCCTCTGCGTGCCCCCCGGCCTCGCCCTCCATCCCCGCGCTTCTTTTTCCTTTGTTCCTGCGCCCGTCCGAGCTGCAGCCGCGCCTCCAGATAGCTGCCCGTGCAGCTCCAACCGCTCGCTGACTCGACCGCCCATCCCCGTACAACGCCGCCGCCGCGTCCACCCTCGACCAGGCCAACCAGACGCTGTGCCCGAGCCGCGCTTGCCTGCGCTTGTTGCCGTCCCACGTCGGGCCCGTCGTCCGTCAAGCCTTACGCTCGCTCGCTCAAAGCTCCGCGTTATCGCCTCGGGACCAGTCGCCGCGGCCCATGTCCCACGTCATTGCCTCGTCCACGTACCCTCACCTCCGGTGATCGCAGCGACTCACTAGCCTCGTCGCTGTCGGCTGAGACATCGTCCAGCCCGCCGGCCGTCGTTCACGATGGCAACTCCAACACACCCGTCTCACGCCGCGAGCCCGCGGAGGTCGTCCACCATGCAGCCCGCCGCCGACAACTCGGACACCATGGTGGGCTCGTTCCGAAGGATGAACCAGATTGGCAAGGGTAGCTTCGCGACCGTCTACAAGGGCGTCCACATCGTACGTGACCTCGTCTTCCCGCCCCGCGCCCTCTGCCTGGCGCAGGGCCGCTTGATAAACACTCGGCCGTCGTCATCTAACGTAGCTGGTTACTGCAGAAGAAGCGGGAGCTCGTCGTGGCCATCAAGTCGGTCGACACGACCAAGCTCAACAAGAAGCTCAAGGACAATCTCTCGACCGAAATTCAAATCCTCCGCAATCTGACCCATCCGCACATCGTCGCGCTCATCGACTGCAAGGAGGTACCCAAGTACATACACATCGTGACCGAGTTCTGCGAGCTTGGGGATCTCTCGAGCTTCATCAAGAAGCGAGCAACCCTTGCAGATCACCCCGCAACCGCACACATGATGAAGAAGTATCCCAACCCTTCGGTCGGCGGTCTCAACGAGGTTCTTTGCCGCCACTTCCTCAAGCAGATCGCGAGCGCACTCGAATTCATCCACGCCAAAAACTACGTGCACCGCGACCTGAAGCCGCAGAACCTCCTTCTCAACCCCTCGCCGCTGTACTATCAGACTTATCGCCCGAACGAGGTCCCCTATGCTGCTGCGGCTGATTCCATGGTCCCGGCCGTGGGTATCGCCTCCCTGCCAATGCTCAAGGTGGCCGACTTTGGATTCGCTCGCTTTCTCCCCAAATCGTCTCTCGCGGAAACGCTGTGTGGCTCTCCTCTTTACATGGCTCCGGAGATTCTTCGCTATGAGAAGTACGATGCAAAGGCTGACCTGTGGTCCACCGGAACCGTCCTGCACGAGATGCTCGTCGGAAAGCCCCCGTTCCGTGCGTCGAACCACGTCGAGCTGCTTCGTCGTATCGAAAAGCAGGATGACAAGATCAGCTTTGGTGATATTCCGATCAGCAGAGACATGAAAAACATCGTACGAGCTCTCCTGAAGAAAACCCCAACAGAAAGAATCTCTCATGAGAAGTTCTTTTGTGACGTGGTCATCGCCGGCGATATTCCCAACTTGCACCCTGAAGATGCAGCCCAGGGCTCCATTCATGAGGCTCTGGGACGATCGGGTGACGAGAGACGTGCTCCAATCAGCGAGCAAGTTGCTACGCCTCAACCCACGGAAATGGAGATGACACCCAGGCCCAGAGTTGCTTCAGGAACCACCCCGCCCCATCGTCCCTCACCCCGCCCCACCCCTGCGGGACCATCATCATCCAACCAACACGTCAGACGCGTCAGCAACACTGCTGCCCAGATTCAAGATCGTCCGCCCTCTTCACATGCAGAGCGCCGTCCTACGGTAACACACCACGCTACTGCTCCTGCTAGAGCACCTCTAGTTCAGGAACGGCCCACTGCAGCAGCTGTCACCATGACCAGACGAAGCAGTCGTCATTCGCCGTCACCAAGCTCTTCAGCCCTCCGAGAACACTTTGACACACAACGCAACCCTCAAAGGTCTGATGAAAGGGCAGCTCGAGATGCAAAGGAACGTGCTGCCCAGGACATTGCCTTTGAGCGTGACTACGTTCTCGTGGAAAAGCGAACCGTTGAAGTGAATGCATTTGCTGATGAATTGGCGGCCAGCCCTCAATTCAGCAGGGACCATCCAACCCAGCAAGGAACAATGGTCCGGCGGGCAACAACGCAGGGTACGCCTACGGCCACGACTGGTGCTCAAAACAATAGTTCCCGCGCAATCCAGATTGCGACGGGCAGGCGTCCCGAACCACTTCATCATAGGAACAGCTCCTACGAAAGGCGTTATGCGGCTAGCCCGGGTTCTGCCACCTCAGCCATCTCCAAAGCTCTCAACATGGCCAGCTACAGAATTTTTGGCACCGGTGCTTCTCCTCCAGGCCGTGGCCCTTCGCCACCGAAAGGCTACACGCAATTCCCCATGTATCCGACGGCGCAAAGCAGCACGCTGGTCGTTGGAGATGGGGGCAAAACGACCAGCGACAAGCCGAGGGACAAGGATGTGAGGGTTCTTGAAGTTGTGGAAGAGCTCGCTCAACGCAGCCATGTCATCTACGGTTTCGCCGAGGTCAAGTACAGACAATTGCTTCCCCCTCCTCCCAGTGACCATGGACTGGGCATCCAAGCAGCTCACCCGCGAACCGATGATGAAGAGGATACTTTGGATGAAGACCTGACGACAGATGCGATATTGGCAATCTCAGAGGAGGCGCTGGTCCTTTATGTCAAGGCTTTGGCTCTCTTGGCAAAGTCAATCGATCTTGCGGGCAGCTGGTGGGGCCAACGCCACCGTGGAGAAGTCATCGGCGACAGCAATACGTCACGGACTTCTGGAAACACGAACGTCGCAGCGGTCGGCACGAAAATGAACCAGATCGTGCAGTGGGTGCGCACACGCTTCAATGAGTGTGTGGAAAAGTCGGAGTTCGTGGGGCGCAAGCTTCTCGAGGCTCAGAAGATGCTGCCGCCCGATCACCCTGCTCACCCCAACAACTTGCCGTCCAACTCGACTTCGATCACGAGCGCGGGCACTTCGGTGGAGAACATTCATCTCCCCACTGGCATCACGGCGGAGAAACTCATGTACGACAGAGCCATTGAAATGAGCCGAGCCGCAGCTGTTAATGAGCTGGTGGGCGAGGATCTCCCCGGTTGCGAGCTCAACTACAGCACGGCAATCCGCATGCTCGAAGCCATCTTCGAGAGCGAAGAAGAGATGCTGGGCCGTAAATCTGGCGGCAGGAAGCAAGAAGAGGATGTCATTCAAGGGCTGGAGGAGGAAGACAGGGCGTCAGTTCTGAAGTGTAAGTCATTTATTCGACCTATGGAGTATACATGTGCCGGCCGCTAACTACTTTACAGTGATCGAGAGCATGAGAGCCAGACTCAAAGCACTTCGCAAGAAGATCGAGATCCAGAAATCGCAGAAGCGAGCTTCACTGACAGGACCCGGCAGAAGCTCGCCATCAACAACGCCTGTGGTAGCTAGCGCATCACCTCGCTGAGTTACGGAGCATCCTACAATCAGGGTACAGCCACCCAAGGAGAGTGAGGTACAATAGCTTTCACTTTAGCATCATTTCACGATACGGAGTTTTCGGGCATGTCTTTTTTCCCTTTTCCCATGGAGCGGCGACGTACGACCGCTCTCCGGCCTCTTTCCTGCATGGAACAGCACATCCCAACCATTTGTCATTTCGACACGGCGCATGTTGGGTCCTGGCGCACAGGCAGACGAGGCCACAGTTGGCGGAACACAGAGCATGATACCACGGTCACCGGCGCAAGCATTACGAGCCTTTTTCTTTCTTCTCTTTTTTTTTTCTTTTTTTTGCGGATTGAAGGAGGAGCGGGTTCCACTAAGGCGTAGCAGGCATGTTGAGCGCTCCATTTCCTCTGCTCTTGCACAAGATGTTGATTTCTTTTTCCTTTTCTTTCCCTCAATCTTCTTCGCTTCCTTGGCTACAGAGTTCGAATTTGGCGCACAGGGCATTCGGCACAGCGTAGCGTCAGGTAGCCGTGGAGCAGCTGGACACAGTCAGGATGGGTTTCGGGTTTTATGGACGGACGGGAGGACAGGCGTGTACAGGGAAACAGGGCGCGGCTTCTCGGACGGCAAACACGGGGTAGAAAGGGAACACTCTTGTGTATAGGATGGGCAGATTGAATACGAAACTGAAGTAATTGCGGCGGAACACACTTGTCTGCAGTGATAGTCTCATGCATGAATCGCCTTCCAATCTCACATGTCTCACCGGACGACCCGATGCGGCGGATCATTGACGAAATCATCAGCTCAACAGCAGCGCATCAAGGTATGTTGTATGATGGATGGCTGGGGTGCATGCAGTGAGCTAATAAAGTTCCGGCAAAAGCCTATGCATGCCCTTCTGGCTTCATGGTCGAACGACTAGGCCGGGTTGGGGTGGCGGCGGGCAGCACCGGCGGGTCCCATTTTAGCATCGACTGCCCTGGCGCCAAAGCCTAAACTGCACACTTGCGGCGGCGGCGGCGGCGGCGGACACGCTCGGGAAGCTAATTCGTGTCCTTGACTTCTTTCCGCCATTTAGTACATACGTCGCGACTGCTGTTTGCTCCTGTCGCCTTCCGTGTTCCCATCGCTCACCCCACAGCTGCGCGCGCCGAAAACATGGGGCTCGGAGTGCTGGAAGATCGCTGGCTCGAGCGCGTCCCTGGTGCGTTCCTGAGCACTCCACTTGTCCTCCAACCTCACCATTGCCTCCGCCGACGCCTGTTGCCCCCATGCTGACGCCAATGCTGCCACACCCGCAGGCACCGTCCTCATGGACGAGGATGCACAGCGCAGAGACACCCTTCCCCTGGATCCCAACCTGAAGTATGACCGCAGCGGGCCGCATCCGATCCTCTTGGTCCCGCAACCCAGCGATGATCCAAACGACCCACTTGTACGTCCTTTCCTTCGCCCCCAAGCTCTGCCCATAGCCAAAAAAAAAAAAAAAAAAAGGTGTCATAGTCGACGGAGGCTAACCCACGCCAAATGTAGAACTGGCCCCTCTGGCGCCGCGACGTGAACCTGCTCGTGCTCTCGCTCCTCTCCGTCATCGCGTCGACGCTGTCGCCGCTGCTGGCGGCCAACACGCTGACGCTGTCGTTCGAGTTCCACCGCACCTTCACCGACATGGCGCTGCTGACGGGCTACCACCTGCTGGGCGTCGGCGTCGCGGGCTTCCTCTTCGTGCCGTCGGCGCGCATCTGGGGCAAGCGCCACGCCTTCCTGCTCGGCGCCGTCATCCTCATCGTCAGCAGCGCGTGGGGCGGCGCCAGCGGCCACGACTACGCCTCGCTGCTGTGGGCCCGCATCTTCCAGGGCGTCGGCCTGGCGCCCTTCGAGGCCCTCGTCAACGCCGCCGTGGGCGACCTGTACTTCGTGCACGAGCGCGGCAAGCGCATGGCCCTGAGCAACCTCGCCCTCTTCGGCGGCGCCTTCTTCACCCCCGTCATCGTCGGCAAGATGACCGACACCATGGGCTGGAAGTGGACCTTTTACTTCGTGGCCATCTTTGCTGGCTTGCTGCTGCCGCCGCTGGTCTTGTTCTGCCCCGAGACGGCGTATAGGCGCGACGAGCGGCTGAACCTGGACATGGGGGATTACCAAGGCGGCAGGGCGAGGACGAGGGACGGTGATGCGGGCAGCAGCTTGGAGGACGGCAGAGGGACGGAGCTGACGGAGACGAAGGAAGGGGCCGACGGCATCTCTCGCCAGAAAAGCAGCCAGGAAGGTTCGTTTGGAGAGAGCAAGGGATACGGCGGCGAGACGGAGACGCAGGCGCTGCATACAGGCACGGCGGCAGCGGCAGCGGCAGCGGCAGCGGCAGCGGCAGCGGCGTCTCCTTCGTCACGGCCGCAGAAGGACAGCTTCGCGAAGACGCTGCTGCCCTTCAACGGCCGCAAAACGGACGAGAGTTTCTGGAAACTGGCGCTGCGGCCCTTCCCGCTGTTCCTACAGCCCGGCATCCTATGGGTATGTGTCCCTCCCTCCCCCGAACTTGCGGCAAATGCAAGCCCCAACCCCGCCCAGCAAATACTCACATCTCCCACCAGTCCTGCCTCATCCAAGGCACCCTCATCGGCTGGACCGTCATGATCGGCGTCGTCCTCGCCGCCGTCATGCTCGGCCCGCCCCTCTTCTTCACCGAAGTCGAAACGGGCTACATGTACACGGGCGCCTTCGTCGGCGCCCTCGTCGGCTTCGCGCTCGCGGGGCTCCTCGCCGACGCGGCGCCGTCGCTCCTCACGCGCCTCAACGGCGGCGTCTACGAGCCCGAGTTCCGCCTCGTGCTCGTGGCGCCGCAGCTGCTGCTCGGCTGCGCGGGCCTCTACGGCTTCGGCGTCGTCGCCGCCGACGTGCCCCGCTACGGCTGGTTCTGGCCCGACTTTTTTTTCGCCCTCGTCGTCGCCGGCATGGTGCTCGGCGCCGTCGCGTCCGCCCTGTACGTCGTCGACGCCCACCGCGACGTCGCCGTCGAGGCTTTTACTTGTTTGCTCGTCTTCAAGAACGTCTTCTCCTTCGGCCTCACCTTCAAGGGCTACGACTGGATCGTCCAGGCCGGCGTCCGGAAAGTGTTTGTCGCCGTCGCCAGCGTGCAGGTCGCCGTGTGCGCCCTGACGGTGCTGATGTACGTGTTTGGGAAGTGGAATCGCAGCTTTTTTGCCCGCCATGATTTGCTGCGGTTCTTGCATCTGCGGTGATTGCGGCGCGGCCGGGGGCGGGGCGGGCAGGAGGTTCGTTCGAGGAGGGAGAGGGAAGACACGGCGGTAACGATGGAAGTAAATGCTTGTCGTTTGATCTGCTGAGGAAGACGAGGAAAGGAATCATGGCGCTTTCTTTTTCTTCTCCGTTGGGCGGACGGAGGGGAGGGGGGTTTATGTTGTATACCTTTTATGCGATCGCCATGGCTCAGCGGCACGGGGGGGTTTTTTTTTGGCTTTTTTTATACACCTAGAAATCTAATATCACGCACATTGTTTGCTGATTTGCTGTTTGTGTTCCTGCCTACGGGCCACTCTTCAATGTGAGGAGAGCGGTAGTAGTATGCTCGTAATCAGCAACACCACCCATTTGCTTCTCCAAGCGTTCCGTAAGCCTTGGCCATCGTCCACTTGACTAGCTCTCTTTTTCCACCATCGCGCCGTCGATTTCGTGTGCACATTTCACCTCCATAGACAAGGATTCTGACTGAATCAGAGGTCAAGCACGGCGGGTCTCTTGTCATTGAAGCACTGATGAGAAGAGGGTAATCACAGTCATCACCAGCGGCACTGTTAGGAATACAATCGTAGCAGTACTGGTTGTAGAATTGATTGTTCTATCGCAGCTTAATCAGACAAGTTCAAGAACTCTCCTACTCCGCTTTGGTTGCGAGAAAACTCGATGAAGAGAGAAAAAAAAAGGTAGTCTTTCATCCGAAGCAACGAACAAAAGGACCGCAGCAGAGACGCACTCGCACGCAATGAAGAGTGTAAAAACAGCAATCCAGGCCACACTAGTAAACGACGAAATGAGAGCAAAAAGAAGTTGAAAAGAAATCACTTTTTTTAGGATCCGATCCCATTGCAGCCCCCTCGCTTGCTGTTATATAATTTCCGCGCTCAGAGGAGAAATAAAAGAAGCAAGTCAAGTTCGTTGGCTTTTCCCCCTCTCTAAACGAACATTTTGCAGAAAACCCGGACCCAGGTGAGAGTTCGGACCTCTCCTCTTCTTTTCACCCTAACCCGAAGATCGAATAAAAGAAGAAAAGAGAACAGACCCGCGCTTTCTTTCGTTCGTCGTAACCTCGTTAAAAGCCAAAAGGGAAAAATAACCGTCACACCCGTTTTTCTATGGCGCTCCATCCAGCCTGAGAAGAAAGAGAAGGCCTCATGCCATGAGGACCCATCGCACCGTGCCCCGTCTATAAAGCTGGTTGAGGCAGCGCAACAAATCCATGCAAGTACTCTTTTTGGTATGCCTTCCCACTCGATATGAACGCCATCTGTGAACGTGCCCTGCACGACGGAAACCAGAGAAAACGACTTGTCGAAGAAGTCTTTCCCACCATCCCGTCGTCCATGTGAAACGATAAAAACGTGACCGGCATATGCAAGGGCTGCAGGATCGCTTTTGCGGAGAGAGGACCGTATTAAGGAAAAAAAGGAAAAAATAAGAAAACTAGTCGGCATCCGAAGGGCCAGTGAAGACGTGTCTATTTGCTGTGCTCCCCGGGCAGCACCGTCGATGGAGCAAAAGGCGTACAAAGTCGTGAAGCGTCAGCTGTCGAGCCTGCGTCGATCCTCCAGTCTCGAATCGAAAATGTTCATCGTGGAAGGTGTCGCAGTTGAAGTCAACGCTGTCTATATGCTGATCGGGGTATGAGAAAGCAAATGCCGGACCTTCGAATGGAAGTGACAAGTCCAGTGGAAACCAGAAGAGAAAGAGCAAGACCAGAAAAAGGAAAGACCTCTTGAGAAGCGGCCGAGCAGCGCACGTGAGGTGTCATGCACTACTGTCAGCTCGAGAGTGGTATTTACCACCAAGACTGGCCACCGGAGCCAGACGGGTTGCCGTAGCCACCGCCGTAGCCGCCGCTGTAACCACCGCCATAGCCGCCAGCACTACCGCCGCCTCCACCGCTGTAGCCACCAGGGCCACCGCCGTAGCTGCCACCGAAGCCACCGGCAGCAGCGGGCGGGCCGCCCCAACCACCAGCGTTGCCGCCACCGAAGCGACGAACATCACGAGTAGCGGTAGCGCCACGGCCACGGCCACCACGGCCGCCACGGCCGCCACCAAAGCTGGAGCCTTCCCGAGCAATGCTCTCCAGGAACGAGGGCACCTCCTGGTTGGCCTCCTTGAGAAGCTCAATGAGGTCGCGAACAACGCCGCGGTTGCCACGGTTGAAGAAGGCAGTCGAGATACCAGTGTTACCAGCACGGCCGGTACGACCGATACGGTGAACGTAGTCGTCAATGTCGGTAGGAAGATCGTAGTTGACAACGTGGGTGACGTTGGGGATATCGAGACCACGAGCAGCGACGGCGGTGGCGACGAGGATCGGGCAGCGGCCGCTGCGGAACATTTCCAAAGCCTTTTCACGCTCGCGCTGAGTGCGGTCGCCGTGAATGGAAGTGGCGGGGAAGCCCTGGTTGATCAGGAAGTCGGAGAGCGAGTCGGCCATGCGCTTGGTCTCGACGAAAATCAGGGTCAGGCCAGTGCCGACGGTGTGGAGGATGTCGAGCAGGACAGAGCGCTTGTCACCGTCCTCGACGTACTCGACCTTCTGGGTGATGTTCTCGGAGGTGGAACCGACGCGACCGACGGACAAGAAGATGTAATCCTTCAAGAAGTCGCGCGCGAGCATCTGAATGTCGCGGGGGAAGGTGGCAGAGAACATGAGAGTCTGGCGGCCATCAACGGGAGGCATGTCCTCACCCTCGACGATCCTGCGGATCTGGGGCTCGAAACCCATGTCCAGCATGCGATCAGCCTCATCAAGAACAAGGTACTTGATGTTCTGGAGGGAAATGCGGCCACGCTCCATCAGGTCGACAAGACGGCCGGGGGTGGCAACGAGCAGGTCACAGCCGCGCTCGATTTGACGCAGCTGAGAACCGATGTCGGCACCACCGTAGACGACGCACGGCCTGACCCACGAACGGTAGGCAAACTTCCTGGCCTCATCGAAGATCTGGGAGACCAGCTCACGAGTGGGAGCGAGAATGAGCGAGGTGGGGTAGGCCTTGCGGCTGCGGCCGTAGCCAACGCCACCACCCTGCTGGGGGATAGCGCTCGGGCCGTTCTGGAAAGCCTGAGAGAGGATGGGGAAGAGGAAACCACCAGTCTTTCCGGAACCGGTCTGGGCGCAGGCCATCAGGTCGCGACCACCCATGACAATGGGGATCGAGTACTTCTGAACGGGCGTAGGGACCTTGTAGCCGGCCATGTTGATGTTGGTGATGAGGTGGTCGTCGAGGGGCGGGTTCTCGAAGACGGAGACGGGCTCGGGAACGCCCTGGCCGGACGCCTCGACGGGGATGTCATCGTACTTCTCGAAGTTGATGCCGGTCTGTTGCTTGGAGGGGTCGTTGGCGACACCGAAAAGCTCGCGCTCGATACGTTGGTTGGCAGGACCGGGGATGTGCTTGCCATCCTTCCACGATCCATCACCAGAACCCCGTGCGCTGCTGGCACTGTTGCCACCTGTGGGTTTGCCGTAAGCAGTTGGATCGAAAGATGCCGAGGACTGGTTGTTCCAGAACCCTCCGGCGGGGATATTGTTGTGGCTACCTCTATCGCTGAAACCGCCGCCAGAGCCGCCGTTGCTCCAGCCACCGCGACCGCCCATTCCACCGCGGGGGGCACCGCCGTAACCACTACATTCTTTCGTTAGCCACTGTTGAGGGGGGTGGGGAATCGTGTCGAGTGGCGACTTACCCTCTGCCACCCCAGCCGCCGCCGCCGCCGCCGTTCACGGGCGGGGGGCCACCGTTCATGGGCATGGGGGGAGCAGCGTCCATGGCAGGCGGCGGCCTGTTGCGCAGGTGAGGCGGGATGTAAGCAGCGCGCTCGAAGCCGCCGTTCTGAGGGGCGTGCTGCGAGTCGTTCAGGGCAAGGTTGCCCATCTTCAGCTGGTCAGCCATGTTGGGCAGATGTCGCTGAGTTTTTGATGCTGTGTGCGTGTGTGTTGGCGCTTCAAGCGTGTCGTGTGTGCGGAAGAGCGACCGGCAAGTCGATTAAGGACGATTACGGTCGGCGGACGCGGACGGGCCACGCGATGGTCGAAAGGACAAGCTTAGTCTGTGAGGCAGAAACGCGCCTGAAACGGTTCCTGACGAGAAAAGAGAGGATGGAAAGGCCTCTATCTTCTCGAACGACAGGATATTAGAAAACCAAGATGCAAAGAAAAGCGGTCGTTGTTTGTGAGGAGGAGGGTGGGTGGGCGAGGGAGAGGTGGTGAGAAGAGAGCCTGGGCCCAGCGCTGTGAAATTTTGTAAGGGCCGCAGCAGGAGGCGAAAGCCAGCTGGAAGCGGTTTAGCGCCGCAAACGCTTGAGCGCGACCAGCAGCCGCGCGACGCTGCGGCTGCCACCCGACGCCGCGCCCAGCCAGTCACCCTTCGCGCTTGTCGGAGGGAGCGGTCAGAGCGAGAATCTTACGGCGCCCCCGACCCTTCCCCAGCCGCTCGAGGCAGCGCGTCCCTGCCGCTCCCGCCGGATGACTCTGCGCGCCCCGGCATTGTGTGCGGCGCGGCCTTTGCTCGGTCGCCGCCGCCGCTGACTGTCGGCAGCCTCTGATGGGGCGCGGTGCTCCGTCATCGTCATAGTTGCCGTCACATGCGTGTCACTCGTGCTAGGCACCCAGTCACCAGCAAGTTGGATTCTAGCCTACGGTCGCTATCTGGATTAGCCGCCGCCCGACCCATCGTCAAGCCATGGTCTTATCCCACTTTTCAGCCCTTGACTGGTGGTACCGCACGAAGAGGAAGACGAGCCCTCCAATGACGCCCAAGCCGAAGAACTTCTGCCCAGGGCTCAACCCGGTAGAGGAGCTGCTGATCTCCGTCTTGCTGGCGGGCTCCACCTTTGCGCTGCCCTCCTCGCTTTCTCCTGCCACCATTTCTGCTGTGTCGACAGCCGTATCTTGAGGTCTCGTGTATCAGCCGAAGGTGGATCGGGTGCTGGAAAGGCGCCGCGTCTAAAGCTCAACATGGATACCTTCTTCAGGGACTTCCAGCTCGCCGCTCTTGGCAATGACCACGTCCACCGCAGGCTTGTCGCCCGGCTTCTTCGCGACATTCTGGACCTTGTCGACGACGTCGTAGCCCTCGAGGACCTCGCCGAACACGACGTGGCGACCATCGAGCCACGACGTGATGGCAGTGGTGATGAAGAACTGGCTGCCGTTGGTGTCCTTGCCAGAGTTGGCCATGCCTGTATTTTGTCAGCGTCGTGTGCTTGTAACCACAACGGTCGTCCGATCCCGTAGTTTGGCAGGGGCACTCACTGAGAACACCCTTCTTGGTGTGCTTGAGCTTGAAGTTCTCGTCGGGGAACTTCTGGCCGTAGATGGACTTGCCGCCAGTACCATCGCCGTTGGTGAAGTCACCACCCTGGATCATGAAGTCCTTGATGACACGGTGGAAGGTGGAGCCCTCATAGCCGAAACCCTTCTCGCCAGTGGCAAGAGCACTGGATTGTGGTCAGCGATTGTGTTCTACAGCTCGCGCTAGGTGGCAGCCAAGGGTTGTCGTACCGGAAGTTCTCCGCAGTCTGTAGCAGGTCCGTGTTAGAAACGTGTCACGGAGCGGCGAGGCGCGAGGCAGTAGAACATACCTTGGGAGTGGTCTTGCCGTAGAGACCGATAGTAATGCGGCCCAGGTCCTCATCGCCATGCTTGAGGTCGAAGTAGACCTGTAGAAAGTGTCAATGCCCGCGCTCTGTGTCTCTTGGGCTTGAAGCCACATATGCGCACCTTGTGGGTGATTTTGGGGCCCTTGGCGGCCTCCGCCGTCTGGGCGAAGTACACGAAGGTGACGCCCAGGAAGACGAGCAAAGTGACGAGCAGCTTCTGAAGTCCGGCCATTGTGAATGAGAGTGCAATGGACTGGAAAGGGTGGTGAGGATGGTGGCGGGGAGCTTTTGTAGCCCCAGCGTCCCGCGCACCCTTGAAACGCAAGGGACCGCCCGCATCTGGGCACGCCGCCCCCGGCCGCCGCCTCGTCTAGAGGAGGCTACGTATCTGACGAAGCGCTGGCCATCGCGACTGCAACTTGACGTTCGCCGGATGTTTGTTTCAGTATCATTTCGTGCCCCAGAATTCCCTGCTGTGCTACGCATCCAGACCCTGAAGTGCCAGGACGTTGTCGCAGTGAAACCGGCAACCACTTACCCGATCAGGCTGCACGTGACGCGGAGGTCCGCGAAATTGTCTCCGAGTGCCGCGACACCTTAGTACGTCTTCTGGAGCAGTGAGCATCCCGCCACGACCACCGCCTGCCTCTCGTGGAAGCCCTTCGCCGTCACAATGGTACTACTCGACCTCCCGTACCGCATGCCGCAGTGGTGCTGATCAATTGCCGCAGGTCTTCATCCTAGGACTCAGCTTCGCCGAAGGGCACATGGTCAAAGTATGTATCGCGATGCCGACCTAGCAGCCCGCCCCTCGACCGCACCCGACTGACGTGCACCGTCGCGCAGAAAGCCCTCCAATCGTTCTATGGTATCGGTCCCAGTGTGTCAAAGCAGATCATGGGTCGCTTCTTGATCCACCAGCGTGCCAAGGTCGGCGAGCTCGAGGACCAGCAGGTCCTCGGCCTGAACGCCCACCTTTCCACCTTGAAGATCGAGAACGACTTGCGCCGCAGCCTCGTTGATAACATCCAACGCTTGAGGGACATGGGTACCTACAGGGGAAGGAGACACGCCATGAACCTGCCTGTGAGAGGGCAGAGGACAAGGTCACAGATCAGCACCGCCCGGAGGTTGAACAAAATTGAGCGTAAAGGCTGAGCAAAGTTGGCTGGTGTATGTTGTACAATTTTTCTTGTCCAGGCATATGGGCGGCGCCATGGGATTGGGAACGCAAGATGGAAATAAAGCTGAAACGGACTGAGGGAGGCCGTTCGCGCAGGATGCACTGAAGGGAAGAGATGCATAGGAATCACGACTCATGTCCAATCTGGACGCTATCCGCTACATTACAGATGCTCCTTGAACCACCGAACTACCGCCTGCTCAATGTCCCTTGCAGGAAGCCCCCAGAATCCATCTAGAGCCGCAGCTTGTTCATCCGGTTCAGCTGCATCAACCATGTGGAACTTTAGCGCTGGGTAGCTGTGCCTTTCTTCAACTCCAGACGGCTTCCGTTCTTTGTTGGTCATGACGCAAACCGGAACCTTGTAACTCCGTAAGCACCAGGCCGCTGCCTCAGGAACGCCAAAATCCGGAGTGCATAAAAAGGTTGCATCGGGAGTCAGACCCTTACGTGGTGGCATAAAGGCAGCGGCTGCGGCGTGGTAAGAAAAGTGACCAAGCCCCACCATACCAACGCTTGTAGTTCCAGGGATATTGCGCAACGCTCTCGTGAACCTCAGTAGCCTCAACCCACCGGCCACGAAGATATAACACTGTAGCAGCAGACCATTCATCTGGAAATCGGGATCGTTCCGGCGGAGGATCCGTTGCAACCACGGCGGGATTCTCAAGCTCCGTTGATCCAAGACTGGGATATAGCAGGTGAAGCCATTCTCTGCGCATCGCTCAGCCAGTCCTGCGACAGCAGGCAGTGCAAGACTTTGGACTGTAGGCAAGAGTGTGTCAGATAATAGTAAAGCGGCTCTCGGAAAGTAGTATACGTACAATCCACCAGGAAGACGATTGATTTTCCGGGAAATCGTCTATTTGGCTGAAGCACGAACGTGTCAAATCCCCCGATGGTCTTGAGTGTATAAGGGTCTGCCGCAGTCCCAACGGTGAAACGGCGCTTGATGAGCGGTGCGCGACTCGTACGGAAGTCCGGTCCCGAAATGGAATCAAACAAGAGCGTTGGAATCGGCACCGGTGAGCGCCGGATATGGAATCGTCGGGCGATCAACATGGCGCTCTAAGGAGGATGGCTGGCGTTCTGTCTTCAGACCAGAAGCGAGAGTTTGGCATTCGCCGAGTCAGCTTGAATATCGAGAAGCATGGGTATGCAGACATGGTCGCACAACAAAAGCGCGGCGTAGGCAGCGATATCTTGGCTGCCACAACATACATGTAGCCGGTTGAAAGGGGGTGTAGGAGTAAATTCTACGGGCCTGGCCGTGCCAAATCCACGTGTCACACCAGCTCCAGGCGCAGAAAGTGAAAGCAGGGAAAGCGGCAAAGTTGGCTGCAAAAGGAATTGGCCCATCTACATCGATCGCACGTCTTCAAAACTCGTAATTAGTAACGACGTCCGGATGTCTGTTTCGACTACCCACATGAAGGATGGCCTCAGGTCAATTCCTTACGTAAGCCACTGCGGCGGGAACGTCTTCGGCTGTGTACGAACAATCTAGGCAACATGTACCACCTGAGCCGCACGGTGCGAGTCGGATGTTCCGATGAGGTACTTGGGTTCTTCTGGCAACGACTTTTGGTGCCACCCCGAAGCAAGCCACCCTACCTCAGGGAAGTTACACATTGCCTACACAATCATGTAGCTTTTTGTCATTTGCCATTTTGATTTGAATGTTCGTGCTGGTTTGAAATGCCCAGGTGAATGTGGAAATGGAGGCTTTGCAGCACCGCATCTTCGTTTGTGCCCATCAAGGTGCTCCGTTTACAAAGCAGACTGAGGACTTCAAGGTGCTTCAATGCAAACGTCAGCTCACAGTCCACAGCCACTTGAGCTGCCCATTTATTCGGTCTTCTCCTTGCCTCTTCTCTTGCAACATTTCTTTGCTATCAAAAACCGAAGAAAAAAAAAAGAAATGGCCCATACAAGCTTCAAGAGCAGAGTCGACTCGTTCGCAGAAACCCACGGCGAGCCTCCTACCTCGAAATCCGGCGGCACAAGCACGAACAGGTGCAGCATCCTCCGAAGCGCGCCCATCGACCCCCAGTACTCCTTCGACCTCTTCCACGAGATCCAACGCGCCTGGTCAACAGAGCTCACTTGCTCCCCGGACCTCATGAACGCCAACAGCAGTCCACCATCACCCTGCAATCCCGCCGCCCACCAACCCCTCCCACCACACACCCCCTCCTCTAACCCCCTCGCCCAACCGCTCTCCCACCACCTCTCCTCCCCCGACTCCCTCTACCACTCCCTCACCTCCCACCCCGTCTCCCCCCAACCCCACTCCCCGCTCTTCTCCCACCTCCCCCCCGAGCTCCGCACCCAAATCTTCTCCCACCTCCTCACCTACCCCGGCGTCATCCTCTGCGTCACCTCCGGCGGCCTCCCGCCCCACCCGCCCTACAACCTCCACCCCTCCCTCCTCCGCACCTGCCGCCTCGCCGCCCTCGAAGCGCTGCCGCTCCTCTACGGCGGCCGCAACCGCTTCTCCGTGCCGCACATCCCGAACCTGCTCCGCTCGCGCGCGGCGCCGCCTTGCTTCGCGCTCTGGCCGCGCACCTTCGCGCTCGTGCGCCGCCTCAACGTCGACGTCCCCGACAAGTTCATCGACCGCTTCTACCGCGCCCCCGGGTGGAGCGCCGCCCCCGACGGCTTCGAGCGATACACGGAGATCGTCGCGGCGGTCGTCGCGCTGGCGGCGCGCGCCGGCAGGCTCGTCCACTTGCAGGTGTCGCTGGTCCGGAATTGCGCGTTGGAGAGCTACACGTCGTGGGGTCCGTATTTGGCGCGGGACGCGCCGCTGATGCGGGCGGTGGAGAGGGACTTTTTGCCGGGCGTGTTGGGGGATGGTGGTGGTGGTGGCGGCGGAGGGAGGAGGGCGCGGTTCTTGCTGGTGGTGCCGTGTGGGGCGGGGAGTGAGGCGGGGGCCGGCGCCGAGACGCAGAGGGCGTTTGATGTGTTGAGGCCGGATGGGCCGGCGGTGGTGCATGCGGTGGCGAGGAGCTTGGGGGCGCTTCAGAAGACGGCGAGGCTGAATGGGTTGAGGTTGGAGGATAGCTTGAGGGTGGTGGTCAGAGATGGGGACGGGGGTGGGGAGGGGTCGAGAACCGAGATTTTGGTGGATGAGGAGTGCCCTTTGGGCAGTGGGGAGGAGAGACAGATAACGCTGGAAGTGTCATGTTAGCGTGCATGCAGGAGACGCGTTCTGAGCGACAGTGGCTGCGAAAGCGACGAGTATCATTGAGTTCAAGTGGCGATGCGAGCCTTTCGTTCCAATTTACTTTGTAAATGTATAACAGCTGAGGGCCGAATGAGATAGTGGTAGTGTACGATAATACGTCTGTAGATGGCGGAAGGTGCAGGTGAAATGGCGAAGTCCGCTACCTGGTCTACCCGATTTTCGAAGATGTCGTGTGTGGGGACTAAGCAGAGAACCCCCGTCTCGCAGGCTTGTTGGCGGACATCTCTTTAAAGTCAAAAACGTGGATCCAAGGCGCTCATAACCTGTTCACGATGGTAGGATGCCATTGCTGTTGTAACGTTTCTTTCAATTACACGCCAGTCCCTGTGAAGGATGCGGACACGAGATATTCGCTGTGACCACGAGGGCTAGCTAAAGCTTCCACCGGTGTAGACGGACGACCTGCTGATGACCTGAAATGCTTGTAAAAACAAAAAAAAATTCTGGCCGCTATGAAACTTTTCGGGAAAGACGACGTACCATTTCTCCAGCGCATGCAGAAATACTATGAGATGGGGCTGATAAAGGAGAAACAAAGCGGGGCTCATGTAGAAAATCGCGGGAGCGGAAAAGGTCCAGGGGGAGGATGTGTGTGCTAAACGATATCTGTAGCTACCAGAGGGACCGTTATGGTGATCATAGGAGGGGCGTTGCATTGGTCTCTTGGCTAGAAATGTATTGCTTGACCGAAAGCCAGATGTGTTTTGGAAAGTTTGGGGGGAGAAGGCACGAAAAGTAATTCGTGGACTTTGGAATTGGGACTGTCAGGACAACTAGTCTATCATGCAGTGTCAGTTTGGTTGGCAGCGCCTACGATTGATGCCATCGTGGACGAGCCTCGAGGCATTGATCGAGCACATCAAACCAGGACCGAAACATAACTATTCGAATAGACAATGACGCTTGTCTGCCCCTTTTTCGAAGGATTATATTGATTAAGAGTTTAATGGTGGTGATGGCCTCCATACATGGACCAATTTGATCATGGGGTATTGCTCGTTTTCAGGGGACCCCGCTACCGATACTCACCTCGTGTGGAGGCTGTACTGACTATCCAAGCTTGGTGTTTCAGCCCGCGCTTGAAAGCCGCTTTTCCTATCTCGACTTTAGACTAGTTATGTTTTTGGTGTATGGGCTCGGGATAGGTAGGTGTTTCAAACGGCGTAGTGCTTGTTCGAAGGTTCCGGCGAAGTCTCCACGCTACCCTCGTGCAATGCCGAGCGTGGTGGACATGTACGAGAGGAATGCTTAAAACGAAGCTCGGTTGCTTTATCGAGAATCTACTACTGATGTCATTTGGTATGAATTGTTTCATTAATTGAGCGCTCCAGTGGAGGATGAATTGTTCCATACATGGCCAACGGGGCCAGATTTAGGACATTGTGGTCGGGGTTGGGACGGCTGCGCACTTGTAATCCCTCAAGTACTTGATAGATACTGTAGACGCTGGCCGACTGACAAGCGGTATGATGTCTTGGGGTGCCTATTCTGCCCGAAGCCGTACAGTGTGGATGGCAAATCCCTGCCAATGAACTCAGCCTATTGGACTTACTGATACTCATACTAAGAATTGGCAGCGAGATGGAGCGGGCAAGCGCTTTGATGAGATTGAGTGGAAAAGAGAGAGAAAGACACTGGGGAGTAGCTGCAAGCGATACGCTTGATCCCTTTTGACTGCCAGCACCACCGGCGGATTGCGGAGCCGTAACTGCATGCCAAGTGGGTATGGGCGAAGGTGGAAATCCCTTGAATATGACAATCCGGCGAAGAATGCGCCAGCTAGCTGGGCGCGAGTGGAATAACTATCGTTCCGAAACGCAAGGTGCAAGATATCGAATGCCGTGACACACCAGTCTGTTCTCATGGATGCCCGAAGCAGTTGGTGAGTGGCCCTTAACTTCAGCCAAGGTCTTGGCTAGACGTCCGAAGATGGGTGTATCCGGCCGGTACAGCCGACTAGCGAGCTTGGAAAAGCTTCGAACGGTCCAGATCGCGGGTGGGTGAAGCCAGGGAACGAGCTTGACATGCAGTGCTACACATGGCCGGACGGCAAACACACCTGTTTGGGTCCAAATCAGCCAAAGTCTTGGCCAGACGTTCGATGTTGATGCCAGTCCAACGGTTCGATGCGAGACGATGCGTGCCATTCTACGACGGCGGTTTGAGAAGAGTTGTGATAGAAGTTGTGGTCCGTAAAAAGCCGGTGAGACCCCGAACCATGGGCCCTAGTGTCCGGAAATTGGCATCAGCGCGTGGTATACTGCACGAGCAGATGACAGAATGGCCTGACATGCGGAGGATCGACCTCTGGCCTAGTGGTAGTTGGGCAGGAATATACCTCCTTGCATGCCCGGACCACCACGTTGGGAATTTCGAATAAGGTTTGCTATCCCTTTGCGCTTATGGCGCCGCTACTGGTGACATCCTTCCCGGAGCCATTAATATTATTTGGCTTTCCGAAGCACCGGTGCGAAGCAGCATGTGATTTGGCGCGTCCCAAGCTGCGCCGAACCGCGCCGCCTGCGCACCATTCCTGTGGCCAGCGCGGGTCATCTTGCACTGGAACGTGCACGGTGCATCGCATTTGCCAGGCTTCAGCTGCATCTTTGCGAACCCTGGATGGGATCTTCTTCAACTCTGGCGACAGCGCAATGCGATACGGTGTAAGAGAGAGGGAAAACTTGCAGGAACACAAGGGCTGACTCCAGGAACTGTGAATCTCTGTCGCATTTTTTTTATGGAAATGGAGCTTCTGGACGAGGGTTGTGTGGCATTGTTTCTAGGCGTCCAAATAGAGGAAAAGCCGCACCGGGAGCGTGCACTAGAATATGCTGGTGGAACAATAATCGAAGCCCAAAGACTCTCGCTCACCGAAGGATTCCCATGCGCATCCCGCGAAAGCGTGCAGCCGACTCTATCGAGATTATCCTTGGGCTCCATCCCGGCATTCTATCATCGAGCATAGGTGGTGTTGACGTGGATTTGTCAAGTCGTGCGAAGGGCTCAATGGTGGCGGGTAGCTGCAAAGGAACATCACCTTGATGACCCAGGCACAACGCAGCTCGTACCATGGCATTTGAATTTCGGATGTCTTGCTTACCCGGGGTCAAATAAGCCAAGTACCATCAAGAAGACGACATGCCGGCATCGATATCATGGAAGGAAATGTCGCTCACTTTTGCCAGGGTAAAATTTATGGATATAAACCAAACATCAAATTTCGATTGTTATCAACAACATTCTCCGTTATGGTCTAGGGGTTAGGATTCTCCGCTTTCAATGTCCTTGTTGACTTGATGATCCGGAGCGGCCCGGGTTCGATTCCCGGTAACGGAAATTAGTTTTTTTTGCGTTTTCTTTTGCTTCGCACTGGATCCTAGTTCCACTCCAGCCGATTTTTGCATTGAAGCACGTTGCTATGCCGTGGTACGAACATGAATCAATAGTGTAAAGGAAGCGTTTGAATCTTGCCGGAAAATCAGTATAATGATTTGTAGACTATGGTAAAGATATATTATAGTTATATTAAGTTTTTGTTTCTTCGTTTTGTATTAGAGGTACTGCGCAAGTGGAGAAGGTTTGGTAGTAATGTTTTAGAAAGGACATGTCTATACTTCTGCCTGTTGCACAATATGTAGACTGACACCTGTCAAGCGGTTGTCAAGTCTGTTGTCTTCAGCAGCTGAAGTGTGGTCAAGCCGGGGTGTCACGACGGAGAAGAAACCGGGTTGGCCACCTGATTCATGGGTACAAATAGGCTACATGCATGGGGTGATGGCATCATCAGCAGCAACAGTTCTAGACAACAGTCGGAGGTATCCGCAATCTCGGACGGATTTCGCCCCCAAGCTTCTGCCGCGCGGTGCCAATGCGACTTTGACTGCAACTTGGCGAGGCTTGCGCATTGGAGGAAAACACGGTGCCGGATCCTGGGGGAGCCTCTTCCCCACTTCCACACGCAGGAACTGAGCGAGCGACACGACGAGCTTCCCTGTTGGGCTGTCTAGCGCTCACACCTGCCTATTTGGGTAAGGCCGCCCAGCCCGGGCCCCAGCGGTAGCTGCTTATCAGTCTCGGTCTCTCGGACCTCCAACCCTGACCGCTGCTCAATGACGGCACCGTCTCTGCACTGTTGCTGCACTGTCGCTGCACTGTCTCTGCCCATCTCGCCGCGCTGCCTTTAAATATGCCCCCGCTTCGCCGCTCCCCCGTCTGCAGCGGGTACGCGCCCATTGACGCCTGCACTTTGTCTCCGACGCTCCTGCTTCTCCGCCTGCAGCCATGTTGACCCAGCTCCTGCGCAGCGCCGCCGCCGCCGCCCTCCTCTCTGCCCCCGGCGCGTCGGCTTTCCTGAAGCTGCCGCTCAACGCGAGACAGATCCCGGCCAATGCTACCGACGTCAAGACCATTGTCTCTCCCACCAATGTGACCATCCGCTACAAGGAGCCCGGCAAGGACGGCGTCTGCGAGACCACCCCTGGTGTCAACTCTTACTCCGGCTACATTGACCTTGCTCCGGACGCCCATACCTACTTCTGGTTTTTCGGTACGCTTTGAACTAGCTCCTACGTCTATATGTATGCTTGGGTGCTGACTGTCGCAGAGTCACGGAGGGATCCCGCCAACGATCCCATCACGCTTTGGCTGAACGGTGGCCCTGGCTCTGATTCCATGATTGGATTGTTCCAAGGTGGATTCCAATGACTCCCGAGTAGACGCTCAACTCTGACCCTTCCTGCCCAGAGCTCGGCCCTTGCAACATCACCGCGAACCTGACCTCGTCCCTGAACCCGCACGCATGGAATGAGGTGTCCAACCTGCTTTTCCTCAGCCAGCCGCTCGGCGTCGGTTTCTCCTACTCCGAAGAAGGAATTGGTAGCCTCAACAATGTGACCGGTTCCTTCGAGCCGGACAACAAGGGCTCCGACTACGGCCGCTACCCGGTCATCAATGCGTCCGCCATCGATACCACCGACTTGGCTGCCGCCGCCGCCTACCACGTGCTGCAGGGTTTCCTGAGCGCACTCCCCTCGCTCGACAGCGAAGTCAAGAGCAAGGACTTCAACCTGTGGACCGAGAGCTATGGGTGAGCAGATGGCTCCACTCGAACGAGCTCTTAAACGATGCTGACTCCACACCAGCGGTCACTACGGGCCAGCTTTCTACAATTACTTCTACGAGCAGAACCAAGCCATTGCCAACGGCTCGGCATCTGGCATCGAGCTGAACTTCAACTCCCTCGGCGTAAGTTGGCCCCTTTCCTCAGAATCGCAAGAATGAGGCCGCCTAACGAAGAAATAGGTTGGCAACGGCATCATCGACGAAGCCATTCAGGCTGAGTACTACCCGAAATTTGCCGTCAACAACACCTACGGAATCAAGGCCTACAACGACACCATCTACGACTACGCCATGCTCGCCCTGAACATGCCGAACGGCTGCCTTGATCTGCTCAGCTATTGCCGTCAATCCGACAGGTCCACGCTCTCGGGCAAAGCCCTGTGCTCCGAGGCCCAATCCATGTGCCGCGACAACGTTGAGGGAGTGTACTACAACTTTGGAGGTAGAGTTCCCCAGATCAACCACAACCTGTCCCAGTCCCGTTCTTGGGTAGAAGAAAGCCTGCCGAAGCGAAATGCTGATACGCTGTCTAGAACGCGGCACCTACGACATTCGTCATCCTTCAGACGACCCCACGCCTCCCGAGTACTTCCCCGACTACCTGAACCAAGGCTGGGTGCAAAACGCCCTCGGAGGTACGTACATCTGCGACCCGCAATCCCCACCCACCATCATCCATGCGAGACATCCATCCAAAGTCGCAGGCGGTGGAGCTAACAACACACAACAGTCAACCTCAACTACACCGAAGCCAACAACGACGTCTACTACGCCTTCCAGCAAACCGGCGACTTCATCTACGAATACTTCCTCGAGGACCTCGAAGACCTGCTCGCGGCGGGCGTGCGCGTCGCCCTCTTCTACGGCGACGCCGACTACATCTGCAACTGGTTCGGCGGCGAGGCCGTGTCCCTCGCCGTCGACTACGCGCACGCCGACGCATTCCGCGCCGCGGGCTACGCGCCTTTCGTGGTCGACGGCGCCGAGTACGGCGAGGTGCGCCAGTACGGCAACTTCTCGTTCCTCCGCATCTACGAGGCCGGCCACGAGGTGCCCTTTTACCAGCCCGAGGCCGCCCTGGCCATGTTCAACCGCACCATTTTTCACTTCGACATCGCTACCGGCACGGAGCCTGTGACGGCGGATCTGGAGACGGAGGGCGGAGCGGAGGCCACGCATACGGAGCCGTTTGTGCCGCTGCCGAGTGAGACGGGGAGCGGCAGCAGTGCTGACGCGGCTGGAGCGCTGGCGAGGGGCAAGAAGAGGCTGCCGATGTTGCAGGGTTGGTAGAGTGAGTGGGTGGATGTGAGATGGATAGGGTCTTTTGTGTTGAAAATATATCGTTATGTGGAAGGAGATAATGAGTAGATGAACGAATGATATGGGTAATACTATCAAATGTTATGTCTGTGACTTTGGGGTATTGCGGGAAGTATGCGGAGGGAGCCGAACTCGTAGTGGGTCTAAATTTGAATAGCTTATTTTGAATCGGGTTTGCATGTATGTACGTGGTGGCATTGCCTATGACGGACATGATATCCGTATACACCACATACACGTCAGTGAAGTTTGATTCCGATTACATTAACAGTACCCCTCTTCTCTCAGAGAGATAGAGAGATAGAGGCCTTGTATTGCGGCATGGCAGTGGGAAATGTCGAGTGTTAGTTACACTTGCCTTACGAAACTGAACACGACGACCGAAATTGAGTCAATTTGCTCTCAACCTAAGAGTCAGGGTAGCTCCTCAAGTCGCCAGAGTAGCGTGGCCACATGTTTCCGCCTCTTTCTTTCTTTCTCTCTCTCTCTCGCGTCCTCGCGATCCGGATACTCGGATAAGGTACGTGAAGAAGCTTCTCAGGGATGGCCACCGTGCTTGCGGAGCGGAGAATGTCGTTCCTACAGAGATGTCTGAGCCGAGCCGAGCAAAGCGTGCGAATGATTTGGGGGAAGCGGGGAGATCGGCCACAGGGGAGAAGTTTGCATCGATTGTAGGATATGGCGCGGCACGAAAGGAGATAACGAGTGAAACGATAAGCTCATAGTATAACTAGCCGGAGACTGATCGGTGGTAATTTCGACAAGAACAGGCACCAGGCATGATGGTTGAGGAGGACGGGGCCCGAAATTGGTGAGACAAGGTACCTATCTGAGGTGGTGGTGGCCTGGAAGTAGACCACACGGCCCCATGACACCACCCAAAAGAGGACGGCCACAGGTAGCAGTAAGGTCGAAGTGGTATGTGTGTACGCATATAAATAGCAACAGTCACTTAAAATGCGCCAGCAGCCGTAAAGCTTAGAGATCAAACAGCGAAGGGAGGAGATGGAACGAGCTCTGAAGGTACTATTCTCGGGGAGTTTGTGTTCTCGAACAGAAGTGTCCAGCAACCGGCCCGTGTGTCTGTGCCGGGTAGGGCTGTGCTACCTAGGAGCCGGCCGGGCTGTGAGCGGGGCATTTGCTGACGAAACAGACGGAGGTCTCGACGCTGTGGTGGCGGCCAGACTGCTTACTTATTACTAGCCGCTGCGGTAAAAATGCCAAGGGTTGCAACGGCGGATCGACTTCTCACACACCTCACGGCAGCGCTAAGGGGGAGAGGCGGCCTTGCGAAAAGCGTTGCCAAGAGCTCGTGAAGATAGGCATGTTCCGACGCCTTACGAAGGGGCGCGTTCGTAATTCGTACCTGGCTAGGCCCAGCAGCGAATAGCGCGATCTAGTGGAGCATGCCGATCTATTTGTTCCGACGAAAACTTCGATCTGCAGAGCAGGCGGAACGTGGGGCAGAAGGCATGTATTATACTGTATGGCGCAAGGCTCCCATGACTCTTGCTGTCCCTGGTTCGGAAGTTTGGCGGAAAAGGAGAATCTCGAATGGTTGTCAGCCAAAGGAGATGACGGATGCTCGGTGGAAGATGGTGGTTGCAGGTAGAGCAGGTGGAGAGGGGGAGGTACTCAGGGAGAGTCATGTCGAACAATGACACCGCTCGTCTCGTGTTCTTGAGTCAACTCTGTTTCGGCAGGAGATTCATCATCAGCATGAGTCGGACAGCGCCAAGACCAAGGCTGAGTCCGCTGGCGGAGCTCGACTGTGCAAACGCAGGCCTGGCAGGTGCCAAGGGCGGCAACCGTGGAGGAGCTGTGGGTCGAGCGTGCCGTGAACGTCGCCAACATGTTTGGGGTGCGCCTCGGAAGGACCTGTCAGCCCACTCAGGCTTTCGTTGGACAGGGGAGGCCACATGAGGGACGCTGGAATTAGACTCGAAGATTAGGCTTCCCGATCGCCCAATGCTTAGCGCCACCCTGCGGCGAGACGGCGGCGTGTCAGCAACAATGGCAGCTGCCAAGATGCGTGAAGTGCGATGGCGCAGCGCAGCCGGCGCAGGGACAGCGGTCTTGGCCACGGGAACATGGCGTGGTGTTGAGAGTGCCAAGCTGGATGCTGGAGTTGCGATGGAGTTGAAGAGGAGAGGGGCGAGATGCGAGGCGGGGCGGTCGTCGGGTCCTCCCCGTGCGGCTTTGAGCGAAGGAAGGCGGCGCACCCCGGGGCTTGTGCCTTCCTTTTCCATCCAATTCCCTGCTCCCTGACACTTGACACTGTCTGCCTTCCTCGATTGCTCCGCCATCTCCGCCATCTCCGCCATCTCTGCCATCTCCACCTCGTACCTCTGCCTCTGTCTCCATGACGCGCTCCGCTGCCAAGGTCGCAACACTGGCCGCGTGGCTGCTCCCTCCGCTGTTCGGCAATGACTCGCATCTGCTGCATATTCCGCTCTTGAGTCAGCCACTTCCACCTTGCAACGCCATCCCCGTGCTTTCGGCTTCGCTGTACCGCTAATCGCTGCTGTTTTTCCCCGGCATGGCTAAGTGCAAGAGGCTCCGGGTGCCGTGTGCTCTACTCCTTGGAACCGTGGTCAGCGCCCTGACCTTCATCAGCCTCGTGGCTCTAGCAGTTTGCTGTCAAGAGCGCTGGGAACCAGCCCCGGATATGGCCGTGGATTCGTCACCCCGGGCCAGGTGTGTGCGGCCAGGGCTACGCTAGCGCCCGGCGCGCCTGGAGATGCAATATTCGCACCCGTGGATATCTCCATCCAGCCTGACACCTCACTGGTCGACCCAATCCGCTAGCAACGGAATACCCGCTACCCCCGTTTACTGTCTACCGTAGCGAGGCTCTCGTGCACAGGGACGTAGGTGACAGGCACTAAAACAATATCTGACGGCCCCTACAATCTACTCAAACAGCCCGCCAAGTCTTCCTCACGTCTTTGGGGCAGTAATGTACGCCAAGCACTGCGCCTGGGCACCGCCTGGTCAGTGGATGGAAATCGCCGGTCGCCTCAACCAAGCTCCCCCACAGCGCCTGACGTTGGCCGCAAGTGAAATCACCGTGTTGCAGACAGGTTCTAGTAAGCTTGAGCCGTCTGGAGCCACGCAGTTGTGTTAATATGCCGTTTCCCCATCGTATAAGACATGTACCTCCTCCACCATCATCATCATTTTCAGCAGCACCAGCATTCCGTCTTCTCCACCAAAACCCCTGAAACCTTGCGAGCCGATCAAGCAAGCCACGGCATTTTCATCTTCTTACTTTACCCCTTACAAACCATCAACATGCTTGTCCATTTCACCCCACTGGTAGCTCTGCTGCCCACCATTCTCGCCTGCGCCGATCACTCATACTCCGCACGCAGTATCGTCCAGAAGCGAATGAAGGATTCGGACATTCTAGAGAGCCAATGGAGTACCCGGAACATAAGCTCCAGGGACTGGGCCTACGAGGCTTCCTACGACTGGGGCCGTGTCAACCCAGGTAAGTCCGCATATTTGGGTACTCCCGCAACTTGCAGCGAGAGCTGACAAAGCCACCAACAAGACTACGAGCTCTGCCAAACCGGCACCCAGCAATCCCCCATCAACCTGAGAACCGCCGCCGTGGGCAACAAGGTGCACACGCCGGTTTTCACCGGCTACGACGGCGAGTGGCAGGGCCAGTACTTCAACTGGGGCTACGGCGCGGCCTTCAACATCGACCACCCAAAGGGCGACTACTCGCAGCTGCCGTCGATGGAGTACGACAACCACACCGTCTACATGACCGGCTGGCACATTCACGCTCCCGCCGACCACCGCATCGACGGCGAGTCGCCCAAGGCCGAGCTGCACTTCGTCCACGTCGACGCAAAGGGCAAGGAGAAGGCCGTCCTCGGCTTCATGATGGACCCCGCCGGCGACCTCGAGGGCACGACGTACAACTCCAGCTGGGTCGACCAGCTGCCGACGACCATGCTGCACTTCGGCGAGACCCACCGCCAGCTCGCGATGCCCATGCGCTTCGATCTCGCTCTCGACGAGGTCAAGGGCTTCGAGGAGTTTTGGACGTACAAGGGCAGCCTGACGAGCCCGCCGTGCACCGAGGGAAAGCGCTGGTTCGTCGCAAGGGAGACGATGTGGACGAGTGTGCCGCAGATGCGCGAGATCCTGCGCGTGAGCACTTTCTCTGCGCGCGCCGTGCAGCGGGAGTGGCTGCACGATCTTAATTTGTAAGGGTTTTCATGAGCGGTGATGACTGTTTGGGAATCGAGCATTGGACTTGCTTGGGGCGAAGGCGTTGAGGAAGGCGGTTGAGTTTGGTAAGGGACGGTGGCCTTTTGGTTTGACTTCTTTTTTTTTTTCGTGTGAATATCTTTGCACTTTGTTTGATACCTCCTTTCTGCTTCTTCTCCTGTATGAGTTTGCTGCATAGCCTTATTCTTCTTCTTCTTTTCTTTCTTTCTTCTTCTTCTTCTTCTTCTTCTTCTTCTTCTTCTTCTTCTTCTTCTTCTTCTTCTTCTTCTTCTTCTTCTTCTTCTTCATTTTCTTCTTTTCTGTACCTTGAATTGGGTCTCAATTCTTTAGACTATACGTACATACTTCGTATCGCAGAAAGTTCGCGCATAGAAACGTTGAGATTTCGAAACACTCCGTCTTCAACACCGTTGCTGGTTTCTTTGGTGATGTGGTATTCCCGAATCAACAAATCTACCTACAACCGTTACTGTCAGCCCCACAAGAACAGACCGGCAAGGCGTATCAAATCCGACAAGGATGCGCCGCTTCAATCAGATCGCTGTTTCATGGCAGACTCCAGTAAACGATGGCGAGCAGAGCGGGATCTGGGCATCTGCCCCGTTCCGCCGCCGCGGCGTCGTCCCCTCTGGGCGCCAAGAAGGGGCGGGAGGCGGGCGGGAAGGTCTTACCGGCGCCAAGGAGAATGTACGAGGATGCAGCATGGAGCGATACATATCGGTCGGAGATTGCCGCCGTCGTGGTACGTACATATACACATGCTCAAGTCATGGGAGCGGGGATGTCGGTTGATCGGTTCACTAGGTATTCGTGCCGAGATTGGTAGATGAAGGAATCGCGAGAAAAGGCGGAACCGAGTCGCGGTAGGTAATTGCGAGTACGAGAGAGGTACTGGCTCTGGGCTGCCAACCTCATGGGGCACAGCATGGGTGAGTGGGTCGGTAGGCGGATGTTGAGCCAAGACCGCGGACGTCGGCCGTGGAGCAGACGTAGGAGTTGACGCCATAGATGGTGGCTGCATGGGAGAATGAGTGCTAGTGCATTGTGTTTGTAACAGTAAATAACGACTTTAGCTCACGTCGATTACAGGTCGGGCGATCATGAGATGCTGTATGAGAGAACAAACACAGGTCTTGTCATCCTGTACTTCAGTACAGGGAACGACAACCGGAGATATGTAGCCCAGGAGCTTGGAAAATAGCATTTTGTTTGATGCTTTCCTCCTGCTTGATGAAGATAAAAGGGGGGAAGAACTTAAAGTCAACGAGCAGAACATACCTTCCGGACCAAGATCGAGGAAAAAGTGCACCGAATAAACACTTCCGAAATCTGAGACAGTATAACAAGTAGTACATCAACCGGCCGCTTCGTTGAATTGGATGTCCATTCCTTTGACTCTTGTACTGGAGCCTCGGGGCTTGTTATGCCCTGAGCGGCCAAAATCCAAGAGTTGCCTCGTAACGAGATCCTACGTTCGAGCTTGTGACGCATTGGAAGTGAATGCTTCAAAAAAGACATGTCGTCCAGCTATTTTGTTTGTACACGAAATAGTGCAGTAAGCAGTATGTGCCGTCGACCTTTCGATTCAACGGTAGCCGAAACACCTCGTATGTATGTACATCACTCCTCGGAGAGAATGCCGAAAGAGCCGGGGATAGACAAGCAGGAAACCGCTAGAAATCGTAACGGATGTAGCCCAACCCCTGCCTTTCACGCGGCCCCTTGATGGAGGCTGCAGAGAGATGCATATCTCCGAGGTTTCGCTTAAAGTGAATTGATGCAAGATTTTGGGTTCCGGGATGGGGGGTTCCGGTACAGATTAATAAATATGCATGCATACCCACACCGCCTGCAAAGCAAGAAAAAACCAGGTTCTTGGGATGAAGGCGGAAAATGCCTTTTTCATTAGACTTTAAGAATGTGAGGTCCTGACGATGCGATGCAAGCCGAGAATGGTGATTGAGCACCGAAAATATTTGACTTTTGCGTTCTCCCTGTCTATTCTGCAAGGAACTGACCTTTTAGTGCTGCAAAGAAGAAAAGATAAAAAAAAAATAAAAACTTCACGAGATGATCATGTATACTGAAACAAAATGTGGCAAGATGGACATCTACATGCTCGAAAGATCATATGCTCAGCAATACGAGCAGAACCACTGCATAAAGAATAGATTAATGCCATCAAACGACGGTATACCAACACGGGTCATCGAAGGGTGAGGTAGGGCTGGAGGCTGGTAGACTTTGCGAAGGGAATAGTCTTGTCATTGGCGTCGCACGGAATGTGGTGAATGACATGTAGCTCTTGTTATCTGTTAAAGGCCGGCGCTTAGTACGACTGGATTCGTGAGCTGACGGGATGATAGTAGTCTGATATCTAATGAAATCACGCGGATGTACGTGAGTGCAATAGACACGTGGTGCACTGCATGAACCTGTGCCCAACACAAAGTGATACAAATGGTGCCTCGGTGGTGGGGTTTTCGAAAATGTATTTGGGTTTCGCAAAGCTCATAGGATTGCTCCAATAACAATGTAGGTTGGTGTAGCAATGCTATATCAAAACATCCACAGCTTTTGTGTGCGCAGTACTCCCGGAGGCTGGCGGTGTTCTTTTTGGTATGTATGGGTGAAGAATGCGAATGTCCGTTGGGACGATCATGAGTAGGGGCTGTCGGCGAAGTCAGCCATAGCGTCAGAAGTTCACAAAGGCACTTACTTTGGCTGTGTCTCGTAAGTAGTGCGCTGCGCAGGTTGCTGAGGGATTGGATGTATGGCGGACGCATTGGTGAAATGCCTCGGCTGTGGCGCCGGCGCCGGCGTGGCATGAGCGTGCCAGACTGAGGGGGCATTTACAGGCACCCCAACATCCCGGTGTTGGTGAGATTGAGGAGCCTGAGAACTAGGCGCGTGGAGCAGAGCAGACGCGGGATATCCGGTGGAGAAACCTTCAGACGCATGATAGTCGGGTTGGGCAGCGTGTGGCGTCAAGTCGGGAGGGCCATGGTAAGCCTTGGAAGTCGAGTAGCCGCTGCCATCGTAAGCAGCCTCAGGCGGGTACCAGGTTCGTTCTTGTCTGCCGACATAGGCCCAGGTTTCATTGCATGGGTTAGATGGATTTTGTTGGGCCTGCTGTTGCCGCGCCCGTGTGTAGGCCTCTGGCACTCCATCCAAAGTCCCCATCTCGGGAACGATAAGCAGCTGGTCGTGAAGGAAGAGGGAAAAAATGATAGTATGACATACCCGCATGAACACGCATTCGATGCCAAATATCCGGCAATGCTGGCATTTGCCGGATTCGTCTCGGCCATAGCATCGTATCTTCCGTTTCCTGCAATGCGTGCACTATTCAAAGTTTCGTGTCAAACGGGAGCAGCTCCGAGATTCGAGCGGGGGTCGGGTCTGAAAGGATTGGGTACAGGTATTCTTACCGCTATCATGGCGCGAGAACGTGAAGCTGCATCTGAACCATAGTCTGGATAGTCGTGCTGCATGATATGAACGAATTACCTCTCAGGTGAAGCGGACAATATCAGTATGGGGAATTTTGCAGCAGCGGTTGGCACTGATGGTGGGGCTTTTCAATTCTCCATGGAGCAAAGAGGAACAAGAGCAGACATCAGTAAAGTCCTTCGCCATGGGCTATATAAAGGCACAACAGTCTGTAATCATTCACTGCGAGAAGCACGGTCGGGACAGTCGCCAACTCACCTATGCTAGATTTATTTCTCATCCCAGCGTGATGTAGTATGACATAAATCTTGTGAAACTAGGATATCGGATGAGGGACTGAGCAGATAATTCGTGGCTGGCCCAGCTTTGGTAACGCAAGGCAACCGGAAGGAAGGCAACCAGAGCTACACACTCATATATTAACGCTAGAGTACGGAAGCCAACAGACGGTCCAGGATAATGTGGGTAGGGGCGGGGCGGGCCATTTTCCTCGGCGACGTCGGGTATGTGACAGGCGTGGAGGCATGGGCTGAATCATTAGGTTCTAGCGCGAGCAGTGGGACACTAGTCAACCCACGGAATGGCCGCTCTTCACAAAAAACTGCAGAGTTTAGCAATCTTTAGGCACGGCTCGGCCCAGCAGGGTGAAAATAGATTTGCGGAAAACCACTACCGTTCCGACGAAGCGAACCGCCTCTTTCAGCGCAGATCATGTGATTGTGTTGTTGTACAGTTCGCCGATGCCCAGAGCCACGAGTCTGGAGCGGCACTTCCACCCTCCGCTCTGCACGGCGGGCCAGAAGAGTTTCCAACGGTAATCGGGCGTGGTACAAGACAAGGGACGGTCGAGGCAGGTTGCCGTAGGAGGCAAGCCCCCCTGATCAATGTCAGGCAGAAGCGGACTTGGCATCATATGAACCGATAGCCACGCGCGCCCGCAAATGATGCATGCTGCAACTGTGTGGCAAACTCGGATAGTGAGTGGTCACATCACGGCGCAGCGGTAGAGGCTGGGCGGAGAATTGCGCTTTGCAGGAAGTTACGGGCAGCGGGCCGGACCGGATTAGGCATTGTGCGTAGACTTAAGCAGGAAAGCCATGAGCTGGAGCAGATGTAGTAATCGCTCTGGTGCTGACAGCATTGAAAGACGGCGTGAGAAAGGCCTTGGCGGGTGGTGCTTGGTAATGTTCCGAAAGTAACTTTGGGTGACGTGGGACAAAAAAAAAAGCAACGGCTGGGCGATCAGCAGCCTCAGCGAGTTGCCGCAACGAAGGTTGTACCCGTCGCATGGGAGCAGTTTGTCACAAAAAGCTGGGTTAGACCATGCCGGCGGCAGCTGAAGGGGCGACAGGAAACGGGCGGTTGTAGGCAACCGACAGGAGGCGAAGAATCGGACATGGTTGAGCCTTGAACACTTCTCCTGTCAGCCAGAGACATGCTGCGGGTAAGACGCGTGTCTATGGATGCAAGGGCGCGCGCTGACAGCGGTAGGGAGAAATGCGTGGCTCCGAAGTGCAAACAAGCATGGGTGAAGTCCAAACCGAGCGTGTAGATGCTGTTGTCGTCGAAACACAGCTCAGTGAAGACCAAGGTCATCAAGTAGCGGTCCGATTAAGTTCCCATGGACAGACTGTGATGGCGTGACACCAGACAGAGCACGCTGCCGGCGACCATTGAGGTGTGCAACCTCCCTCTCTCTTCAATCACCAAGCTGTGAGAGAGGCCTCCAAGTGATTGGGCATGCAGTCAGCCGCGAGGTAGCGAGCTGGCGCACGGCACACCTTAGCGAAGTAGATGGGGGTGCAGGATGCGCTTTCCGGGTTCCCGGTCGTCAAGAACGAGTCGCGAGGCTCTGGTTCACCAAATACTCTACCTTCGTTTGCGCACCCACGAGCACATGGCTCTGGCGGCGGCAAGCGAAACGAGAGTTGGTGAGAACAGATGCGGGCCAAAGTTTAGCCACCAGCAGGGAGGCTGGCGATAGCAGACTAAGTCTGCAGTGGACCGTGACCATACCGAGAAGAGACGAGCTGCGGCTTGTTGCGGTTCAGGAGTGCATCCCAGCCGAGCGTGCAGTGAGAGACTCGGAGCACGGCAGCGCTGGTGGTGTGGGAGTAGGGGCGCTGGAGGAGCGGTAAGGAGATGCTGCGCGTCATGCCCGGCAGTGAGAATGAAGCAGGAGCGATGGATGCAGCACCACCTCGCGCGACCAGAGAGGTGCGTTCGAAGACTTGCCGTGCCTGCATGCGCCGATGGAGACCAGATGGCGAGGGCGGTTGCTATGCTCGCTGTGCTCGTCCAGATGGGGAAGAGAAGAGAAGAGGAGAGAAGAGAGCGGGGGTCGCAGAGCGGCGATGCAAAGGTGGAAGGCGACGCAGTGGTTGTGGGGAAGGAGCAGCTATGGGCAAGGCAATCAGGCAGCGAGGCAGGAGCCAAGGCGGCTGCGTGCGGGCCGGGCGGGGATTGTGCCCGGACGGCTGCACGGTCGGCAGGAACGCCAGGCTGCCTTCTCGCCGTCGTCGTCACCATCTGCCGCCCTTTGCTGTGCCATCGGCTCACGCGTCCGGCACCTCCAGTCGCCCAACATGCCCCCACCAAGCCCAGATATGGATCTCCTCCTGCCGCGAGCCATTCATCGCCCCCGGCCATGCCTCCGCCTGCGCCGAGTGGCGTCTCTTCGGCCACCGTTGCGCCACCACGTCCCATCGTCCTCAGGTCAAACCTCGGGTGCTCGCGGCTATTCACAGTTGCTTGGTTGCCGAATCCAAACCTCGACCACTTCAAATACTCTGCTTCTGTCGTGATTCAACCCCCCACGCCGTCCCCTGTTCCAGTTTCGTTTCCGACCACGAGCGCAGCAACGCCACCAGCCCCCAAAGCATACCGTGCTCCGACGGCAAACAATCACTAAATCCACGTCGGCTGCGACATGACTGCCAGCCAAGACAGCCTCCCCGCTACCCACCGCGCTGCGGTCGTCGTGGTATGCCATTTTTGAGCGCCAGGAGAGTACGGCTCCGGCATCCCACTAACCGTGTTTGTCTCGTTACAGAAGCAGGGCCACGAGCCTCATTTCGAGGTCCGAAATCTGCCGCTCCCGCAGCCCGGCCCCAACGATGTGCTTGTCCGCCTGACTGCCTCTGGCGTGTGCGGCACCGACTTCGCTTTGGCCTCGGGCGAGCTGGGCCCTGTGCGACCCATCCTGGGCCACGAGGGCATCGGCCGCGTCGTCAAGCTCGGCTCGTCGCTGTCCGAGGCCCAGGTCCGTCTGGGCCAGCGCGTGGGCGTCGCTTGGTTGCGCGATGTGTGCGGCGAATGCGCCATGTGCATGCATGAGGTCGGCGAGACGCGCTGCTACGCCACGGTGCAATCCGGACGGAAGGTCGACGGCACCTTCGCCGAATATACCCTCGTGCCGCTGCGCTACCTCATGAGGCTGCCCGAGAAGCTCGCCGACGAGCAAGTGGCCCCCATCTTGTGCGGCGGCCTGACCATCTACAAGGCCCTCAAGATATGTGGCGCCACCCCTGGCGGGTTCGTCGCCATCTCCGGAGCTGGTGGCGGTGTCGGTGCGCTTGGGATCCAGTATGCGAAGGCCATGGGCTTCCACGTCGTTGCAGTCGATGCCGGCGATTCAAAGAGGGCGTACTGCTCGAGCCTGGGCGCCGAGGTGTATGTCGATGTCACCAAGGTGTCGGACGCGGCGGCGGCCGTGAAGGAGGCAACGGGGGGTCGGGGGGCATCGGCGGTTCTTGTAACGGCAGGAACCGGTGCTGCATATCAAGCCTCGCTCGGCATGTTGGCGCCGTTCGGCACTATGGTTTGCATTGGCATCCCTCCCCCCTCGGAGATGATGAACTTCCATCCCTTGAGCTTCATCGATCACGGCTATCGCGTTATCGGATCCGCGGTGGGGACGCGCGGCGACGTGCTCGAGGCCTTGGAATTTGTGGACCGCAACCAAGTCACGCCCATGGTGCAGACGGCCAGACTGGAGGACTTGACCGAGATGGCCAAGAAGAGCGCATCCGGACAGGTGGGTGACGGCCTGGCTCCAGCACCTCTCCCCTCGGCTCAAGCTGACAGTTTGTTCGGTTCAGGTTACCGGAAAGTACGTTATCAAGATGTAGACACACTTAGGATGCAACGAGGACGTTTGATGACTGCTTTGACGCCGCTCCGTTGCCGCCGCTCCGTGATCATCTTGCAACGCACACAGCAGTCGCAGCCGCCAGGCTGACTTGGGTCGGGTCCAATTGCGCCTTGCGATGCACGGGGAAGAGCTTCGCCATGAGCTTGTGGACTGAAGAGCGGGCCCCGACAGCACGGCATGCGGTAATCAGCAGCCTCGGCGCGACAGATTTCGCATCCAGGAGTGTGCATCTTCTCCAAACCCAAGGTCTTGCAACACGAACAAGCTCACATAAGACTGGGCCGGCGGGGGATCGTGATGTCCGTCAACGCGTCGACGACCCACAGGTGTTGCAGGAATAGCACCCGGGGACGCCTTGGCGCCGTCTCACATCCGGCCGATCCTTTCGCCGCACGGAAGTCGGCACCACTCGCTCTCTGCCCATTTGCCCTGCCGGCCGCGCGGGAAGCCGGGGAAGCGCTTGGCACCAGGCTGCGAGGCGCCCAAGGGTGCTTCGTGAGTGGTGGTTGGCGGCGGGTCAAGCCTCGGGCCATGGCCGCCAAGATTCAAGCACCCTCTCGGAGCGCGCCCTTCCCGCCCAGCCGCCCAGCGCTAGCGTCTCTGGGCGCCCATTGCCATGCTTCCATGCAGATGCTGTTGTCGGAACAGTGACAGCCAGGAAGGGAATCACAGTGCCCACGATCTGCATAGCCGTGCGGGGACCACGTCTCAACATGTGCTAGGCCCGCCCCCCCAACCGAGCCTAGTCGATACCGATCGGCCCTGTCTGGTGCGTTGCATGTCGAAAACCGTCAACCCTGCCCCGAAAAAGAAGCTTGAGCAACTGCTACGCCCCGCCTATTCCTATACACGAATTGAAGCGGCTGCATCGCCGGCCGCGACCACGTCGTGGCCCCGACTCCCACCTGCTGCACTCCACATACGCCCTCTGTCACGAGCATCCTTGGTAATCAACACCATAGTCGATAGCCGTTTAGAAATATCAACTCGCGTCGAGGTTTTAGAATGCTTCATAAAGCAAACGCATCTCTTCGCTCGGATCAGAATCTTCCATCGGATGCACTCCTCCCGGCTGAGTTGACTTGCACCCTCCCTTTCTTTCCCGCCCTTTTAACCTTCCTTTCACCTAATGACAGCTTGAGTCTGTCCCTTTTGTCCCTTTCCCTTCTCCCACCTCATCGTTGAATTACCAGCAGCTGGTGCTGCTCTTTGATCTTTTCCCTTACCCCTTTTACCCCCGCGGCCTGGAGCCCTAATACCATTCTTTCACCATGTCCGACACCACCGATCAGCGTCCGCAGTGCGGCAGCGAGGCTGGTTCTGGCGAATATGACCTTGGAATTCATGTCGTCGCTCTTTGTAAGCATCCACCGGGCCCGTCAGGTGCGAGAAATTGCTAACCTCTCCCAGTCCTTGTCGTCTTCGCTAGTATTAGCGGTATGGAATATCCCCGCTATATTGAAATTTCGCTTGAGCCAGTCCTAACATTCAAACAGGAGCCGCTTTCCCCGTTGTGGCAAAGAAGTTCCCCAAGCTGAAGATCCCTCCCATGGCCTTCTTCTTCTGCAAGCACTTCGGTACCGGCGTCCTGATTGCCACCGCCTTCGTTCATGTACGTCTGATCTCAGCACTCTGCCTCCGCACCGTTGAAGTTTTGATGTGACTGTGATTTGGTCGGTGTTGGTGAGACTACGGATTGCTAATCGAGGGCTCCCCACAAAATAGTTGCTCCCTACTGCCTTCGCATCGCTTAATGACCCATGCCTCCCCCCGCTTTTCACCGACGACTACCCTGCCCTGCCCGGCGTCATCATGATGGGCTCGCTCTTCTGCTTGTTCGTGCTTGAGATGTATCTCAACTCGAAGATGGGCGGCCACAGCCATGGCGGGCCCACCGGCGAGTCCATCAACGCCCCGGCTCAAAGTCACTTCCATGCCCCGGCCCAGACGCGAGACTTCACCTCTCCTCTGCCCGCACGCCCGGTGGCGCGGGAGCCTCTGGAGCCCATCAGCCGCACCGACTCGGAGGAGAGTTTCGACAAGTCATACGCCTGGGACGAGGTCAAGCAAGCTTACGTCCGCGAGAGCGAGGAAGAGCTCGCCATGGGCAACCAACAGCCCTCTGAGATGCCCGCGTGGTTTGTCGCCTTCTACTCGCAGTACGTCCGCCAGCGCGACGAGATGCTCGCCATCATCGACCGCCGCATGGCATCGACCCTGCCGAGCTACGACAGCAAGCAAGCCTCGGCCACGGATCATGAAGTCTCCTTCTTCGACGCCGACGACCACGATGTCGAGGAGGGTGGCCAGGGCGCGGTTGACCCCATGGTGCTGAAGCGCATGTCGCTCAACATCACCATCCTCGAGGGTGGTATCCTGTTCCACTCGGTCTTCGTCGGTATCACCGTGTCCGCCACCGTCGACGGCTTCATCGTCCTGCTCATCGCCATCATGTTCCACCAGACGTTCGAGGGTCTCGGTCTGGGCAGCCGTATCGCCGCCGTGCCGTATCCCAAGGGTTCGTACAAGCCGTGGTTGCTCGTCGTGGCATTTGGTACGACGGCACCGTTCGGTCAGGCCATTGGCTTGCTGGCTCGCAACTCGTTCGACATCAACAGCGCGTTCGGTCTGATCATGGTCGGCGCGTTCAATGCCATCAGTTCCGGCTTGCTGATCTACGCGGCGTTGGTGGACCTGCTGGCGGAGGACTTCCTGTCTGAGGAGGCGCAGGCGACGATGGGCAAGAAGCAAAAGATCTATGCGTTCGTCTTCGTTCTTATGGGCGGTAAGTCACATACACTCTCCCTTTGAAAACCGGAATACTGATTTTCGACTTAGCTGCCGGTATGTCCATCGTCGGTGCCTTCGCTTAGGCCAGGGAACTGGGCAAACATAGACCAAAAGCTTTCCTATCTCTCCTTTTTATGAACCGCGACAGGGGACTCGGGAATGCATGGACCGCGGATGCAGCGCATCCTTACGGTACATTGTCGGTGGGAGCCGTCAAACAGCCAGCCACGTCTTTCGTCATCCAGCCTTTTCGTTGTCTCTGAACGCGAACACCACATGCAAAGCACATCCGATACTCCTTCGCTTGTTCTGCGTTCCTCAACCAAGCAAAGGGGGGTAAAGGCTAGAGATGCTTTGTCAACGAAATGAACTTTCCTTAACATTTGAACACGTGTATAATTTATCTTCATACGAGAACAATCCTTCGATATTTCTGGATGACGAGGAAGGAGTGTGTCAAAGGGGATGGTGTTACAGGACTAGCCAGGTAGAAGCCTTGTCTAACGGCTCACTTGGGATTGCACTGGGTTTCCAATCATCTGGGTCACATATGTCTCCCTCCCCCCCTCCTCTCCTTGAACTTTTTCTTATATAGATACCAAAAGCACCGTAGAGTAAAAACGGGCAAGAATACCAAAATTCCGCTTCATCTCTGCATTCACAAACAATACACAGCTCCAGTGATGAAAGCGAAGTACACAAGCGAAAGTTCTTCACTGCCGCGCGCATGACACCGACCTTGCTGACCGCTGATGCAGCCCTGATCCAGACTCAAACAGAGTAATGCGAGAGTGATCACATTTCCTAAATTATTACGTACATCCAAGATGCCAGCTTGGCAGAAACCCTCGAAAACGACCATTCAGGACCGTCGCATAGCTGACGCCGAGGGTAAGCATTATGTGCACAAGACACGCCAAGAGTTATTTGATACGCCCAGGATTACTCTATCTTGAAAGCCCAGCTCCAGTACTTGGCCGAAGGCTCTGGGGAAGGCCGTCTTCTCTGATGCAGATCGTGTATGAGGAGGCTGACCAGTTGGCGGCTGAGCATGGATTGCCATGCTTTTGATTCATCGGAGCAAAGCTTATTTGAGACGAGTCGTTCATCCAATCAGCATATCTGTAAGCTGACCGCGAAAAAGGCAAATAAACAAAAGCATTTAGTCTTGGGTACTGCCAAGTAGCACGCCATTGACTCTGAGACGGCGATGTAACGCATCTGGATGGTGTTGTTCACGGTCTGCAATTTAAATACCTGGAGCTGCCAGAACCTATTGATATTGAGAGGGCGTAGAGCAGGTCAGAGTGGAGTTTTAGCACTCCACCACATATTGCGCGGAGGCTGGGCTTATTGGCTTGCGAAAGGGTCTTGCGGTAAGAAAATTAATTAATTAATCATTGTACTAAGCTTTTGTAAACTTCTTCAGTGCCTTTTCTTTTTTACAAAGAGCTACTTCAGAATAGATGCAGCTCCTTGTGAATATCCATCTCCTTTCAACTGCGGTCAACATTTCCGTGAAAGCATCCTTTTGTCTACAAAGATGACGGTACTGAGGAGCGCAAGGAACGGACAAGGCATGATCGCGAGACGAGCTTTCTCTCTTTTTATGCGATGTGGATGAATTAAGAGATTTCGAAGACCTGGGTAGGCGATAGAGTGTTCCGAACAAAAGTTTGGATGCTGAGAGAAAAGCCAAAGAAAAGGTATGGGCTGTCATCTGAAGCCCTCGTCAAAAGCCGCGGAGGCACGGATGGCTACGGCTATCCAAACGTCTGGTACGATTCGGAGTTTCGGACCGTCCACCGGTAGCCGGTCAACTGAATCAGAGGAGAGACTTTTGCACATTTCACGTGGATGTACGGATTAAGGGCGGCTTTGGTCACAATTGGATTTAGCGTTGCAATTGTGCGTTGGCTTTGGCGTTTGATGTTTTTACCTGACGGACCACAAAATGAGCACATGAAAGCATATTTCCATTCCATAAAAAGGCGGCAAGACCCCATGCAGGACGTGTACCTAGATTAACTCTATCTCTTCTACGCACATCATGACACTCCCCAAAACTCGGGTCCGGAACGTCGGAACCCCCCATCGAGCCCTTCACCGGCAATCAATGCATTCTTCCCGCCTCGAGCTGCAGCGTATATTGAGCAACGCTCGGTTATCTGCCCTCAAAACACCACAGAACAGAATTTCCGCGAATAGCGGTGACAGCTGCGCACGTATTCGCTGGCAATTGACCCGAATTGTGGCGCAGCCAAGCTCTGGGGCAACACCCCCTTCGGGGCAAACATGATGGCCGTGATTGCGGGGAACAGACAGAGCTGCGCCCATCCCATGCGGGACGCGGTTCCGCGTGGATAAACGGCGATGGCGTTTGCATATTGTGGAGTCCATCCCGCATGATTTTACCCAGCCAGCTGCAGGTACAAATAAGTGCGATGACTTGCAGCGCCCCGACCTCCCCTCCCCTATTTCTTTGGCGCGCCGAGATTCGACAGACGCCAGATCGCGACCATGTTGCGCAACGCCGTCCTCCTCGCCGCTGCGCTGTTGGCGCAGACGTGTGCCGCCACGGGCCCGTTCTTGAAGCAGCTCAACGGCACGACGTGGGTGATCGGCAACGACCATTGGAACGTGACGCAGAACGAGAAGTACGGCACGAAGCTGTACCGGAACGGCAAGGACCTCGTCGGCAACGCTGTCGGCCACTACGTCAGCTACAGTAGGCCTCAACTATATACTCACCTCGCACGCACATGACAGCACCGACATGCTGACAACATAAACCCACAGACGGCGCGGCCAACGACCTCGCGTGGCTCAACGCCTCCATCGTCCACCGCACCGCCGACTACATCGACGTGCAATTCACCGCGGCCGAGGGCGAGTTCCACTGGGTCATCTACGCCGACCTGGTGGGCGCGTACCAGTACTTTGTCAACCGCGCGCTGCCCGTGCTGGGCGAGTTCCGCACGCTGTGGCGGCTGGACAACGCCTCCTTCCCCAACGCGCGCACGACGGAGCGCGACGGGGCCCTGCCCGCGTACGCCGACTATCTCGACGCGACGAAAGTCCAGGACGAGACGTGGCTGAAGGCCGACGGCACCTACCTGACCAAGTACGACTGGAGCGCCTTCGTCCGCGAGCAGGACTACTACGGCGTGTACGGCGACGAGTTCGGGAGCTGGTATATCGTGAGTTATCCTGCTCCTCCTCCTCTTCTTCTTCGCTCGCCCACCGCCCGCATACCCTTCCCCCCCGTCCCTTTTCCCCTTCAGAGTGAAAGTCAAGGATTAAATCTGACCGCCCGCACCAGAACCCGGGCAAAGACTACTACAACGGCAACCACCTCAAACAAGAGCTGATGCTCCACCGCGAATCCCTCACCGGCGACGCGGTCCAGCTCAACATGATCCACGGCACGCACTTCCAAGCCTCCTCGTCCGACGCCTTCCCCGACGGCAAGCTCTGGGGGCCCTGGCTCTGGTACCTCAACGACGGGTCCCAGACCGACGCCGCCGCGCGCGCCGCCGACGAGTTCGCCGCGTGGCCCTACGCCTGGTTCGAAGGTACCGGCGCGGCGGCCTACCACGACCGCGCGCCCAAAGTCTCTGGCCGCGTCGTGCTGGCGGACGGAAGGCCGGCGGCGGGAGCGGCCGTGTTTTTGGGGGATAATCACCCGAATAAGACGGCGTTGGATATGGGGACGGGGCAGTACTATACGGCGTATGCGGACGAGGATGGCGCGTTTGTGTTTGAGCACGTGCGGGCGGGTACGTACGGGTTGCAGGCGTGGTCGAACGGTGGTGCATTGGCGGATGTGTCGACGGCGCTGTTGAGGAACGATGTTGTCGTCAGCTCCGTTGCGGGAGCGTCGCGTAGGCGCAGACGCGCGGCCGCTGGAGATGAAGGGGAGACGCTGGACCTTGGCGAGTTCGAGTGGCCGTTGCACGAGGGCCGCGAGCGCGTGTTTCGGGTCGGCGCGTTCGATCGCAAGAGCTTGGGTTTTGAGTATGGTGGTGCGCCTTACCAGCACGCATTGGTGAGCAAATGCCCGGCGGACTTGACGTTTAAGGTTGGGGAGAGTGTGGATGAGGATTGGTGCTTCGGGCAGAGCGCGCTGGGGGCGTGGGATATCGAGTTCGAGCTCGACGAGGTGCCGGCTGGTAACCGTTCGGCCATCTTGACTGTATCGCTGGCTGGATACTCGCAGGGCACAAGTGCGAACATTTTGGTCAACGGTGCGGAGAACAAGGTGGGCAATTTAACCAGTGGTGCCATCCTGAGTGATCAGTGCCTGTATAGGTCTGCGACGACGGCGGGCGAGTGGCATTTGTTCGAGTTTCCGTTCAATGGCGCGAGCGTACTGAAGGAAGGGTTGAATACGGTCACGTTCAACGTGACAGCGAGCACGCAGTGGCGTGGGTTTTTGTGGGATAGCATCATCCTAGAGTGGGCTTAGAAAAGGTCGTTTGAGTAGAGTCCAAATACAATTGCGATTATTGATTGTGCTTGAAACTTAGCCTCTATTTTGGTTTTCTCTCTAGTGACCCCCATTTCTCTGTTCGGCCTGTTCGTCAGTGGAATTACAACCGGAGTGTTCTCGAGTGCCGGACAGCTATAGTTTCCGGACTCCACGAGCGTCTGCTCTGTGAAGAGTGTTCTTGAAAAACGGTTGACCAATACCCAGTAGTAACAGGTACGTCAGCGTACACAGGTTCCCGCCGGCAAATCGGACTCCAGTCCCACGGCATCTGCAGCTCCGCAGAAAAGTATTTCAGATTTGTTTGCCGGCCATGTTGGAAGCATAGCCCTATCTGGGCAGACTCAGACGTTAGGGCGTTCCTTCAAGCATTGGAAGGAATGCCCTGTGGGTACGCTAATGCGCGAGCAAGCCGATCCAGCAGTATGTATACAGCACTGCTCCTCCTGAGTGCGTCGCAGAGGGCGCGTGAGCATAGCCCTCCTGCCTGTGCCAAGGGACATGGCGTTGCTGGCCCGCTGATGATGTCTTGTAATGGCTGACATGGACACGCACGGGGTGGGATCCTGTTAGGCAGTTTGCCGCCCTGGGTTGTGGGATTGAAGTTTTTGGGATATCAGACTCAGCTGGTTGAGTCTTGGCGGATTGGATTTTGAGTCATGAGACGATTGTTTGTTTAGTTGATTGGGTGCGGTAGGGTTGTGACGATGCATGTGCTTGGCTGTTGGGGCGAAGTGATGGGCCAGTGTCCTGCAGATGATTTGCAGTGTGTGTTGGTTGGCCCATGCGGTACATACATCTCCACGGACGAGCGCTGAGGATCTTGGCGGCAGTGTAAACTGCCGGATCATATTCATATAGACAGTTCATGTTTGGTGAAGGGCTTGCCGGTTCGCACATTCGAATTTTCTGACGTCCGTGATGGCACCTTCATTTCCAATATTCGAAGAAGCAGAATCAACTCATGGATCGACTACACAGTAGGCATCGGCCCATTGACTCTCTTTGCTGGCCAGAGTAGTACGCAGTGCGCGACCGCTCTAGGAAATAGCTGGTGCCTGGTGCGACAGAGACAGCAAGGATCCGCTCGATTCAGAAACGGCAATACGCGCCCTCACCGCAAAGAAATCGGGTCCGATGGCCGGTTGCGGAAAAGCGCGCTCTCTAGAGGTGGTGGGGAGGTCGACGCACACGGTGTGGTGGAGTCTGCCTTGACGCAGCGGCAACTCATTTCGGGGCGACTGTGCGGTACGAGAATCCTGCCAGCACCAGACGAGCCTCGGCTTCCCTAAAATGGCGCCTTGGAGGGCTCCATCGGGTGAAGAAGATGCATGCAGCGTGGCCGGGCAGCAGCGGGGCGAGCGAAGCAACACAGCCAAGGCTCCGCGGGCTTAGTCAGGTCAGATCATGGGACGAATCTGGCGGACTGGGTGGAGTTCGCTCGGAGACGGCCAGCGACGCACGGAGGAGACGGCGTCGAATGACGGGAGCTGGTTTGGAAGCGAGGGGCCGACGGGCCAAGGCTGGGGTGCGTGGGTGCGTGGGTGCGCAGTTTGTTGCATTTGTAGGTACTGAGTCGATCGGCAAGCGCGCCGGCCACAATTTCCGGCCCGGCAGCGGGTCAACCTTTTTGCTCGCGGCTCGCGGGCCCCCAACTTTAGTAGGTAGGGCCCCAACACTCACAGCCTGCTCGCAGTCTCGCACAGCCGCACAGCCGCCCGACACGCTCGTCGTGCTCGTGCCAGCTCCCCGCCATCAACCACCAGGATCGGCCTCCGCAGAGGCGCAGGGGCGCAGGGGCGCGGGGGCGGCGTCCAGCTGGAGGCACAGCGGCGGCGTGCCGGAGCGGTCATTAGCCCAGCCTCCCCCCGGCCCGAACAAAACGCTGTGGCTCTCCCCGTCGCCGACCCGCAAAAAGACGCAAGGCCTGTGCCGAGCAACGGCCCATTTTCGGGGCTGTGTCCATCGAAATAACAGTAACACGCCGTACGCGCAAGCCACCCGCGCGACGCCGCCGTTCCCCGTCGCTTTCGCACTGCAGCGCCATGCCTCAAATGCGACCGACTCTCTCGCGCCGACTCGGACGGCTACACTGCACCTCGCCAAGCACGTGGGCTGCCGGTCGCCTTGTCGTTGCTTTTAGCGTGCCTCTGAGTCGTGCGTCTCCGCACACCAGTGCCATCCCCGCCGCCGGCGTAAGGGGCAGGGATGTCGGCAATGCTTCCCCATTGAAGAATTGCATCAGCCAAGCAAGATTCGACGCGCAACTGCCGTCACCGTCGTCGCGCTCCTCACCGTCGTCGCAACCGGCAATCGCTAGCAACGCGTCGAGTAAACCTCTACTTCTGCCTCCCGTGTCCCCTGCGTGCCCGAGGGGCTCATCGCACAGCCGCCTCGCGCAGGATGCATGGTGCTTATTATAGCCCGCCCTAACGTGGCTTGGTACAGCCCTCTGCCTCCCTGATGTGTTTCGAAAATTGGGAGCCTCACAGCACGCCGCGCTACAGCCCGCTGCAGCCCGCTGCTAGCCCTGGCCCTGGGCGCTTTTGCCGTCTGGGGGAAAGAGCTAGGCCGACCGACAAGTGACGAGCCGCCCCTCGGAGCGTGCCTGCTGCTATAGAGGATCTGCAACCATGGCTCTCGAGACCCGATCGGCAACTGCCTGTTGGCTTTGGCCGCCTGCTCAGCCCTGCTGCTGCTGAGATGACCAACTTCTCCCGGTGGGTCTAAGGATCTGTCAAATGCGGAGCTCCAGGTGACGGCCGTTCCACCCCTTGATATGTGGGCCGGCCGTTGGCAGTCTTCGGCCTCTCGACCCGACGCGGCCTTCTCTCCACTGCACCTGCCCTGCCCCCCAGGCCGCGAAACCTCTGCGCCCCGAGGTCCTTCGCCATGGCTCTCCTCCTCAACCACCTTGTGTCGTTTGTGTCGAGAGACGAGATGTATCACAGGGGGAACGCCGACTTCAATCGGCCCTCACACGGCCTGATGGCCGTCAGGTTGGTTCTCCATGCCTCCACCCTGCGCTCGCTCTCGACTGACTCTGCAAGCCTGTGGACGCTTTCTGCCTCCATCTCCGTACTTTCCACCAGGTTTATCCTAATAGAACTCAATTATCGTACGCGTCCCACTTTCCTCCATCGTAGACACATGACTAACATGCTCCTGTAGATTTTCGTATGGCACCCCCCGCTGCTTGTCCACTGCCCCCCCAGCACTGACCGTCCCAGCCCTTCACCTGCTGTTGCTCGACCTCTTCGTCCTGTCGGCGATTTTGGTCAGCCACAGGTTTGCTTCTGCCATCAAGGCCCGCTACCAAACACCCCGTTGGTTCCAAGCCACCGTCGAGTACACCGGCGAGTCGAGTCCTGATGAGCGGTGGTACTATGGGCTCCCAACCGCCATTTGTGCAGCTGCTGCGCTTCCACTGTTTATGCAAGCTATCCTCCACTGGGTGAACCTTTCCACCTTGGCTCTCATGCCGGTAAGAGTTGGCTTCCTGGTTGTTGACGGGCGAAACTGATAGCTATCAGGCATTCGCATATCTTTTCTGTGAGATCTGGACAACAATTTCGACTAAGCAATCGTCCATCTGTTTCAAGTTTCTCGAGGTTATCCTCCAGTCCGCATGTTGTGCGGTCATTCTTTATGATGAGTACCGCTTGAGCCCCCAAGGCATCTTCTGTTCAACCATGGCGATGCTTTTCACAGGACTCGCAATGGGATTCAGCAAGAGCCCCCGTCCATCGTTCATGGAGTCTTTCCCTAGCCGGAGATCTCCTTCTCTCATCACTACAGTCACTCTCTCATTCTTCATCACCTTCATCTGGTGCATCAGGGAAGAAGAGACCCTGAAAGCCGCGGAACACATCCTCGACGTGGACCCCATGCTCCTTGGCCTCAACGTCGGCTCCACCGTGGCAGCTGTTCTCTTTGGTGATTCATTCATCTTACCGATCAGCGTCGAAGACCACTTCTCGCCGGATACAAGCAGACAGCGCGTCCTGATCGCCCAGGTGTCGGCTTCTTTTGGGTTCACTGCCATCGTTGGTTTCGCCTCCTCCTACTTGACCATGCGGTCATACGCAACGGTCTTGCAGGCGGGCGCCTTTTGTCTTGCTGTTGTATGCATCATCAACGGACCTCGGCCAGCCGAGGATCAGGATCGAACAATGTTCCAGACCACATTATACGACCTTGAGCGCTTTCAGCCGTCGCTGGTATCCCTGGATTCGGAGTCCTTGGAAGATGATCGAAGCAGCCCCGCGCAAGGATTGCTTGGAAACGAGGACGGCTCTGACCGCTTTGACTACGAAAGGTGGATGAGCAAGTTCGATACTCCTTCAGTTCTCTCGATTGCTGCATATGCTGTAATCATTCTTACTTGGATTGGATTCTTGGCCTGCAATTTTGTTTCGAGCTCCGACGTTTCTGAACCAATTCCCCAATTGGATCTTGCTTACGAGCCCACCCACGGTTTTGACGTCGTCATCAGCATGTACAACGAGCCTATCGAAGCTGTCACGTCCATTATGGAGGGCCTCTCCGCCATCCCGGCCATCGGCGAGCGTTCACCGAGACTGATCCTGTACACAAAGTTTGAGGATCTGAGTCCTTCGAATATCACCGAGCTCCAAGCTGCTACTAATGCCCACAAGGTCATCAACTTACCGAATGTCGGTCGCGAGGGTGAGACGTATCTCGAACACATTCTCCTCAACTGGGACTCCCTTGCAAAGCACACACTCTTCGTTCAGGCCGACGTTCACAATCCGCGCGAATTCTTTAACCGCGTTCAAGACTACTATGCGCCAAACACAGGCATGCTCAGCCTTGGGTTCAGCGGAAAGTCGTGCGACACGGCCAATTGCGGCGACCGTTGGAGCTGGTACGAAGAGAGTTCCTTGTTGAACGATGTTTGCAGACGTGTAGGCGGAGAGGCTTGCAAGAACATCCTCCTCTCGTACAAGGGGCAGTTCATCGTCTCGGCGGCCCGTGTTCGTGCCGTGGAGCGCGAACTGTACGAGGATTTGAAGACGGCAATGACGGACCCGAACAGTTGGGCACACAAAGAGCCGTATCTCAACGGCCGGCAGGATTCGCTCAATGCACCCCAATTCGGATATACCATGGAACGGTTGTGGTCCGTGGTGATGCAGTGCTCGACCGAGGAGATCGCGTGGAGTTGTCCCACGCTGCTGAGCCGCACGAGGAGAGGCGGTGACCTGACTGACTGCCAGTGTATGGACCCGGAGGATGATACGTCTCTTGGATTCAACTCCACTGTTCCCATTTGATCAAAAGCTACATGATACCCCTAGAATTGCATTGTTCTGTTTTTCTTCTTTACGAATATTGGACCTGTGACGCCCTCTCCACAAGGAAATCCGCTGCGTCCTGGAAGTATTTGTTGACGGTGCCCTGATGCACCGCAACACTCTCACCACTGTTGCACACCACGTCGCCGCTGTCGTAGTACGACCGTACCCGCCCGTTGTACCAACGACATTGCTCCACGTTCCGGTACGGATACGTCTAGCCCGCCACTCGTCAGCGCACCCGGCACACGAACGAGACACCCAGCCCTGGATCCAAGCACTCCCGCAAGAAACCAGACTGGACCGGACAGTAAAACCTCACCCTACCACGCGCCGCCGTCCCGACATCCCACGCCGTCTGACTCCCCCACGCGTCCCGGATCCGCCATCAAAACCACAGCCGTAACTGCTTCCCGCCGCCGCATCAGCACACCGCCTGCCCGCCCGCCCGCCTGCCCGCCCCGCAGCGCGAAAAACCCTCGTAACGTCGGAAGACAAGAGGAGGAGGACAGAAGCGAACGAGGGGGGCAGGCACTACACTACTCTCACCCTTCTCCTCCCCCAACGCCCTACCTATCCAATCCCCCCCCCCTCCCCCCCCCCGCTTCCCCCATTTTTCTCGCCGCCCCGGGCCGCCCCGTACCCTACTAGCGCCACGCCCGGGCCGCCGCCGCCGCCGCCGCCGCCACGAGCGTCGCATGCTGCTGCTGTGATGGCGGCGGCGAGGACGGAGGCGTATGCGGCGAGGGAGGGAGCGGAGAGGTGGGAGAGAGGGGCGTAGTGGGGGACGGCGATGGTGGGGGGGTTGGAGGAGGGGAGGAGGGCGAGGGTGGCGTTGAGGAGGGGGTCCGGAGAGGTTGGGGGTGGAAGGGAACGAGGGGGTGGAGGAGTACGGGAACGGGGTGACGAGGATGAGATGCGGGTTTGAGGGGAAGGTGGGATATCCGAGGGGCATGAGGGCGGTGGTTGGGAGCGGGAGAAGGAGGAGAAGGAGGATAAGGAGAAGGAGAAGGGTGGGGTTGGTTGTTGTTGGCTTTTTTTCTTCTTTCTCTTTCGACGGTGGCTTTGGAGTGTTGCAGTGATGGATGTTGCCTTTGGGCTTTTTATCTTTTTTCTAATGGCACGGAGCGAGATGAGATGAGATGAAGAGGGTCAATAGATGGGATGGGGAAGTATTTATTAAAATGTGTGTGTATTTTTTTTGTGGTCATGACGTTCTGCATCAAGCTGGGAGAGGGGCCCTTTCTAAGTCAATGGCGTTTTCTTTCTGGTTTCATGGCCCTGCGCGTGACGGATGGGGAATCGTGGGTTTGACAGTCTGACACCCAAGGGACGGAGGAAAAACATGGCGTTGACAGGCAACGCTCGTGTAGACGTTCAATCATGAAGAAGGATCTTCATACGTCATCGCTCCGATGCAGTGAGGTGTATATTGGGTGTGCGAGCGGATAGCGGTAGCGGTAGTGGGCTTGGCGAAGTCCCCCGCGGCTTTGCTGTGTGGTTGGCTGGAGTGAGTCTGGCAGTTTGGGGGCGCGCCTCGGTCACGCGAAGGGGGCGGAGCTGAATATCAAGGGGTGTACAAGGGATCTTGGCGCTGGAGGTGGCGTTATCATGTTCGACTGGATGGACTACTCCAATTGCTTACGTAGCACGCGCTTATGGGAATGAGTTTTGGCGTGACTTGGTACAAAGGTGATGATGATATAGTTTATCTCTATAGTATCGCGTTGGTTCCTAGGGTGGGTCAACTTCAATCTCGAAGTGTGAGGATGGAGAAATACTGCAACTGCTTCTTTCGGTTAGAATGTTTTGGTCATTGACCAAGCCAGCTATTTGCGTTGTGAAAGGATAAACTTGAATTGCATGGTATGAGGCTATGCGACTATGACCACGTCCGAGCATTGAGACAACCACATCGAAGTGCGTTTACAGTGAAGTTGACAGTTCTGTCCACTCCCGAATGACTGGTTGTTGATGGGCTGTTTATCAGATGCAGATGTTCAGATTGCAGCGACAGACTCCACCGTGAAAGTGATGGCCGCCATGACCACGCTGTGACCGCTCAGTGACGTAGATATGGTGCGGGCAACGAAAAGGTGCGGGGGCCCCCAGAAAGCAGACCAGGGCGTTTCCAGCTCTCGTCAAATCATCAATCGCAAATGTCAGACTCTTGCAATTCCCGTCGCATCGTCATCAGCGGCGGAGCGCGGGGCATCGGACGCGCCCTGGCCCGCCATTTCCTGGAACAGGGCGACCGCGTCTTCCTGATCGACGTCGACGAGCCCGAGCTCCACCACACCGTCCACTCCCACCTCGCAAAGTACTACCCGAAGACCCTCTCCTCCGCCCTCTGCAACCTCCGCGATGTCGACGACATCCGCGAGAAGATCACCGGCGCCGCCGAATACCTCGGCGGCAGCATCGACATCTTGATCAACAACGGCGGTGCGCCTCTCCACATCCCCGCACCTCTCCCACCCGGAGCTCTCTGTCCCTTCACCCAGCAGCTAAACGCACAGCACAGGCATCGCATCCCCCCAATGGAAAGACAACAAGACGATGCTCGACCCCTCGACCCTCACCGAATGGCGCGCCTACGTCGAAACCAACCTCACCGGCCCCTTCGCCGTCTCCCAGGCCGCGCTCCCCTACATGCGCTGCGACGCCGCCGCCGACCCGCGCGACCCGCGCCACATCGCCAACGCCGGGCCGTGCATCATCCTCGTCGGGTCGTCGCGCGCGCACCAGAGCGACCGCAACCAGGAGGGGTACGCGGCGACCAAGGCCGGCCAGCTCGGGCTGATGCACTCCATGGCCGTGAGCTGCCAGCCGTGGGGCGTGCGGGTGAACATGGTGGCGCCCGGCAGGATCAAGGCGACGCACGAGAGCAGGGAGGGCGACGAGAGGGGGGCGAGGTGGGTGGATGCGCTGGAGGTGAGGGATGTGGAGCAGCACCCGGCGAATCGCGCGGGGATGCCCGAGGATGTCGCGCAGGCGGTCGAGTATTTGGTTGGCGCTGGGTTTGTGACAGCGCAGGAGATGGTGGTCGATGGGGGCGCGTTGATGAAGAAATGATTGGTGGAGGGCGCCGCGGTGTTGGTAGGGTTTTGAGGTTTTCATTGTTGCTGGAGATTGGTAGAGCCTTAGAGTTCCATATTCTCACGTCTAGTTGGGTACGTATCTCCATGGTCGATCGCTTACACGTGTTTTACTGCCAGGATGCTCACCAACTGTATCCGACGTGCGCGAGCAGGGATCAGGCTGCTGCCTGATATGTATTTCCCCGCCCCAGCCTTGTCTAGATGACACGACACCTTTCTCACTCTTTCTACCGTAACCAAAACCAAAAGAACTTCCTCTTTACGGTTCCCAGAAGACAGTCATAGCCTGCTTATCAGCACTCCCAGCCATGGCTACAACGTCTAACTTTTGCACTCCTCAAAACGACCGATTCTATTCCAAAAAGCCGTATGGGGGGTTGGACAGGTTGAAGAAAGAAATCCGCCTTATACGAGTCCTGCAAGACGATGGCTCCGGTCAAATCCGCTGCGAGCTCACGCGTGAGCTGCCGCTGTCAGAAGCCCAGGATAAGTACGCCGCTCTGTCGTACTGCGCAGGGAGCCCCCAAAACCCCAAGCCAATCCTGGTGAGGGGCAACGAATCGGAAGAATTTCACGAGTTCAACGCATTCGCGAACCTGGAGCTGGCCATAGCCGATGCGTGCGAGTTCTGCAAAAAGCATCGCGGCGATGAAGAACCCTTGCTGTGGGTCGATCAGGTTTGCATCAACCAAAATGACGACCGCGAGAGGTCGCACCAAGTCGGTTTCATGAGGGATATCTACCAGTGTGCCCGCGAGGTCATCGTCTGTCTGTCGACGGATAAATCGACAAGCTTGGCCGTGGACTGGCTGCTGGCGCCTGATAAGCCGGAGTTGGACGAGATGTTTTATGACGCGCGAGCTGGAGAGCTATCCGTCACATTTCAAGAGCAAGTAAAGCGTTCGAATATTCACGCGAGGACCCGTGTCCTAATGCGAACCAATTCATACGTGGCACGAAAGGTCTCATTGCGAAACAATGCCGACACGATACGAGAGGACGACTTCGTCCGAGCCAGCATGTCAGATAATGAGTTTTACTATGGGTGGCTTGATGTCCTTACAATGCTTGGACAGCCTTGGTGGACACGAGCCTGGATATATCAAGAGTTCATGGTCTGCAAGAATGCGCAATTCTTGTTTGGTCAGAGCAGTATTTCCTGGAGACAGCTTTCGGCAGCCCTGGTGCCTTTCATTGAGATATTCCAAAGTCGCATCCCACTGGCCAGATACTACTGCAGCAACAGAGCTCGTATCGGCGCTGCTACGCCACTAGTGGAGCGCATGACTACCATCTTGGAACGCGAAATCTCCGTCGAAGATTCGATGACGGCTGCTAAGTCATTACTGAAAAACAAGTCATCGTTCCAGATCGGAAGGGAAATTTTCAACACCGTGCTAGCACACTCGCGGCTTTGCCGAGCAACAGACCCACGAGATCTCGTATACGCATTCATCAGTCTTGCAGACATCGCGTGTGGCATTGAACCGGACTACAGCCACGACAACACCGTCCACAACGTATTCATCACGGCAGCCCGTCGAGCGGTCGTCTGCTCGGGCAATCTGGACATCTTGTCGCACGCCGTCGCCGTTCGGGGAGATCTTAGCCTTGAGTTGCCGTCATGGGTGCCGGACCTGACAGCCATGGAGTCTGCAGTCCGTCGGGACAGAAGCCTAATCCTGCAAGGTCTGAGCTCGAAGAAGGTGGCGCCTCTCCAGACGACGCCACGCTTCCCCATATCGTTTTCCGAAGACGGCCGAATACTCTATGCTAAGGGGTCCTTTGTCGTCAGCCTGGAAAGAAGAATGCCTGATGGATTTTCACCTTGGCCGCCAGTACCTCTGGGACACCTCGGTTTCGAGGCCTCTGGATATGTTATTATTACGACGGATAGGACGGCAACACTGTCTGACGAAATCTGGATCCTCGATGGACCGCGGCGCCCCTTCGTACTGCGGCGAAGTGGCGATCACTATAAGCTGGTCTGCATGGCAGTTGTTACGCACACTTCGCAACTTCGGGATTTCATGGACTGGGAGAATGTTAAGAAAGCGAAAGCGCCAGTTGCATGGAAGAGCATAAGCATTTGTTGAGTTTCTGGAATCACTGTACTGCGATGCGTGAGAGACTCCGTTGTACGACTTCCCGGCCAACGGAATGCCGCAGCCCATGGAGCAGCGGTATCCCAGCCCGGACGATCCTTGATCCCAGGGCGATCGGTCGAATACGATGCTTGCCAGGAACTATTCGTGTGCAACATCCGGTACTCCGGCGGACACGTCGAGTGCGCTCGCACGCGGAACGAACGTGTGGGACACTCAATGCTCGGCGCCACCCAGCTTCTCCAGCTCCTCCAGCTCCTCCGGCTCCTCCGGCTCAATCGTCTTGATTTCGCCTTTTCCATTGGCATTGGTTGGTGCTGAAGCTATCGGCGCGTTCATTAACGGCTACAACCGCCTTTTGACGTCGCCAGTGTAGTCTGGCGGTCCGAATTATTTCAAGAAGAAGGACAGTGTCCCGCACATCTCGGATTGGTCAGTGGTGGACAGCACCTCCTCGTAAGCCTAAAAAAGAAAAGGAGGATGTGAAAAGGGGCTGATGAGGGATTTTGCTTGTTCGAAACGAGCAGCAAGTCAACAAGTTCGGCCTCGCTAGCGGCCGTGACTATCTACTCGATTCGAGAGACAGGTGCTGGACGCTACCAAGACATCAACCAAGGCAGGGCACGAAAACACAGCCGTGTCGTTCAATAAAGTAGGAGCTCCATACCCTGGTATAAGCCCTCTACCTGAAGCAAGAGACATGTGCTGTCTCATTCCAATCTCCTCATACGCCTGATATCCTGGCCTAGGCATCTCTCCTCAAGGTTGGCTCAAGTGGTTGAAAGAAGGGAAAACTCGAGAAAGTTGTGGCTAGACCAGAGGACTTTCCAAGGGGCTGCGGGAGAGCTTCGTATTCACTCTGCGATCTACAACGGGAGTTGCGAGCCGAGCCTTCGCTAAGCCTTACGAAATGACGGTGGGAATCCTTCTGCACCTGAGTAAGTAGCGCATTCGATCTACCTGACTCGAGAGCATGCGTTGGTCAAGGTTCATGCTCGATTCGGGAAGCATATCGCACAGGGAACCGAAGCAACTTTCTGACAACACCACAGCCGTGGCCTTCGTCCGGACGAATGCTCATGCTCACGCTCTGCGGGGAGTGACTGTGACGGGCTTTCCTGTATTCACTCCGATAGCGGCGGCGAAACGCTGTGCGACTTGGATTGACGATCTGTAGACATCATGTAGGGTTGAGAGAAGGCGATATCGAGTGAGTCGACGTCACAGCCAATCAGAACTTGCCCAGCGACAATATGCAGGTAAGCATCAGGCAGCCCACAATCCCGTCCAGACTGTGATTGATGGGACCAGCAGACAAATGGCACCATGTTCGCCTGACCGGATCGGACAGTGGCTGCCGCCATCACTTCATCCTCCGCTTTTGTCATCAGCTTCGCCGGGTTGCTCCAGGCATGAACAATGGGAATGAGAAGACTGTTGCATGATTCCCTCCATGAGCGCCCACCATGGCGGGCCCGCTGCTATTCATATGGCCGCTCCCGTGCGAGAGAAGTCCGACTACCGAGGCTACTCCACTGTTCCGTTGGTCCATCCGGGACGGTGATGCAAGGCACTCTGGCCACGACTCTGCGGCCTGGATCTCCCCGAAATATGGGTCGGCCAGACTGAAACGGCGTCTACACAGCCTTGCGTCTTTTTCCGTCATGGCCCCTCGATCGGGTACGGGCCGACCCTTGCGCCTCACGTCGGGATGCACGGAACCCGAGCAATCAAGCTCAACGGACGGGCTTGGGAGGCTTGGCTCGACTCCTTTCGAGCAAATCAGGCGGCACTGTGATTTCCCTGGGCGCTCTGGATGACGTGTCGGGGCCCTCAGGGATCTCAGGGATGGCTGTCCAGAGGTCCATGCCAGCCCACCAACCGTGCCCAGGCCAATCTCCACTCCTGGATCTCTGAGCGTCGGCATGGAAAGATAAGACCAATGTTTTGGCGAAAAAAGGGGAGCCAAGCGAAGTTCGATCACCAGCCAGGGCCTGCGAGAACAACACCACAGAGATCCCCTACCCGCTCCCGATCAGCCACCTATCCCCGAGCTCATTCCGAACCCAGACGGGCCTGGCGGGTAGCGCAGCAGACCATGGCTGGCTTCCGTGGAACAACGCGCGCGATTGTATGCACCTACGCGCTCACCCCCCCCCCCCCCCCCCCCTCCCCCCCCCCCCCCCCCCCCCCCCCTTTACCTCCCCGAGCACGAACGCCGAACCCGCACTCGACTGTCCCAGCACTGCGGACTCACGAAAATGTCGCAAGCGGGAGAACTGATGGTGCTTGCAGCTTTCACTACACGCACGGAGATATCACGGGCTGAGGAGCATACAGCCAGCCAGGACGACTGTGTATAAAAGAACAGGATGTCTGCGAGGTTCAGTCCTCATCAACAACCAAAGAAAACGGCCGGTCTTCCATCATTCTCAAGCCACAAGCCAGCCGATCCTGTCTCATTCTTCAGCCATGGGTTCCGTCGCGGAAAGCTACTCTGGAGGCCTTTCTCCCTTTGCCGACAAGCTCATCACCCGTCGCGTTGACGAGCTGGCGGCTTCCTCCCCATTCCGCACCTGGGTCTCCGTTCCTCAGACAAATGAGATTGACGGCCAATGGCGGGACATCACCTTCCACGAGCTCGCGCAGGCGGTCGACGGCATGGCAAGATGGATCGAGAAGACCATTGGTGCAGGGACCGCTCGGGAGACCGTGGCATATCTCGGGTAGGGACCAACTGCAACGAGTGAGAGGATGGGAATCTGACGCGTCGACAGCATCAACGATGTGAGATACACGGTCGTCATCCTGGCCATGATCAAGGCCAACCGCAAGGTAAGAAGCGTCCAGTCCAGACGACGCGGCAACGACTGACGGCTGGCGGCAGGCACTGCTCCCCTCGCTGCGCAACTCGGACGACGGGCAGACCAACCTGGTGGAGCGCACGGGGTGCAAGCACTACCTGTACTCGGACGGGGTGGACAAGAACCTCAAGGCGTTCGGCGAGCACCCGGAGCTGTCGGGGCACCAGATCCCGAGCTTCGACGCCATGATCCTCGAGGGGGCGCGGGGCCCGTACCGCAACGTCGAGGTGGAGAAGCGGCCGTACTCGCAGTCGGAGGCGGTGCTGGTGCTGCACACGTCGGGCAGCACGGGGCTGCCCAAGCCCATCTACATCACCAACGGCTGGCTGGCGACGCTCGACCACCAGCGCTTCATGGACGCGCCGCGCGGCCGGCTCAACGCGCTGGCCATGTACATGACGACCAACCGGCCGCTGTTCACCATGCTGCCCTTCTTCCACACCATGGGCATCATCACCATCCTCAAGTCCATCTACTGCGGCCCGCTGATCCTGCCGCCGCCGGGGCGCATGCCGACGGCGGAGCTGGCGGCGGAGATGGTGCAGCTGAAGAAGCCGTGGTCGGGCCTGTTCGCGCCGTCGGTGCTGGAGGACATGGCCGAGACGGCCAAGGGCGTCGACGCGCTGGCGGCCATGGAGTACGTCTTCTTCGCGGGCGCGCCGCTGGCCAAGGAGGCGGGCGACCGCATCACGCAGGTGACGCGGCTGACGTCGATGATCGGGTCGACCGAGGCGTGCTTCCTGCAGAGCCTGGTCAACCGCGACCGCGGCGACTGGCAGTACTTTGAGTGGTCGGCGCACTCGGGCGTGGCCATGGAGGAGGCGGGCGAGGGCGAGGGGCTGTACGAGTGCGTGGTGAAGCCCGCCGTCGAGCCGCGCTACCTGGGCGTCTTCTACACCTTCCCCGACCTCGCCGAGTGGCGCACCAAGGATCTGTTCGAGGCCCACCCCACCAAGCCCGGCCTCTGGCGCTACAAGGGCCGCCGCGACGACGTGCTCGTGCTGAGCAACGGCGAGAAGTTCAACCCCGTCAGCTTCGAGAAGACGGTCGAGAACCACGGCCTGGTGCGCGGCGCCCTCGTCGTCGGCCAGAGCCGCTTCCAGCCCGCGCTGCTGGTCGAGCCCGACTGGGAGAGGGTCGACGCCGCGGCCAAGCAGGACCTGGCGCGCCTGCTGGACGAAGTGTGGCCCGCCGTCGAGCTGGCCAACCGCGACGCCCCCGCCCACGCCCAGGTGTGGAAGAACAAGATGGCCTTCACCAAGCGCGACAAGCCCTTCCTGCGCGCCGCCAAGGGCTCCATCCAGCGCCGCGCCACCGTCGCCGCCTACGACGCCGAGATCGACGCGCTGTACGTGAACGAGGGCCAGGCCTTCGGCGAGCAGCTGGCCGCCTTCGACCCCGGCTTCGACGTCGAGCAGACCAAGGCCTTCCTCCGCACCGCCTTCCGCCTGGTCGTCGCCGACTTCGCCAACACCCCGCACGCCACCGACGATGCCGACATCTTCGACCTGGGCGCCGACTCACTGCAGGCCATGGCCCTGGCCAGCGCCCTCTCGTCGGCCATCAAGACCTCCGCCCACGGCGCCGCCATCGTGCCGCGCGACATCTACGCCCACCCGACCGTCTCCAAGCTGGCCCACGCCATCGTCGCCAAGCTCTCCGCCACCGACGACGACGGCCAGAAGCCGCTGCCCGAGCTGGCCCGCGAGACGGCCATGGCCGACATGGTAGCCAAGTACACCGAGACGCTCCCCACCACGCCGCCGGCCGCCCCCCTCGCCCCCATGCCCGCCCGCCACACCGTCGTGCTCACCGGCTCGACCGGCGCCCTCGGCAACTTCATCCTGCAAGAGCTCCTGGCCTCCCCCGCCGTCGAGCACATCTACTGCCTCAACCGCTCCGACCCCCCCACAGCCTCGACCCGGCAGGCCCAATCCTTCGCCGAGCGCGGCGCCCCCACCGCCGACTTCCCCCACCGCGTCACCTTCCTCCAAACCGACTTCAGCCAACCCCTCTTCGCCCTCCCCCCGGCCACCTACGCCGCCCTCGCCGCCTCCGCCACCCTCTTCATCCACAACGCCTGGGCCGTCGACTTCAACCACGCCCTCGCCTCGTACGAGCCCACGCACGTCGCGGGCGTCCGCCGCGTCGTCGACTTCTCCCTCGCCGCCCCCCACCGCCCCCACATCGCCTTCGTCTCCTCCGTCGCCTCCGTCGGCAACTACCCGCACCTTGTACACAACAACAACCACCAAACCCCTGGCCTCGCCGCTCAACCCGTCCCCGTCCCCGAAACCTTCATCCCCACCGACGCCCTGCCCCTCCCGCAGGGCTACGCCGAATCCAAGCACGTCGCCGGCCGCATCCTCGCCGCAGCCGCCCGCCGCGCCGGCGTGTCTGCTAGTATCGTTCGTTGCGGGCAGCTGGGCGGGCCGCGCGGCCGCGGCGTCTGGAACCGCCACGAGTGGCTGCCGAGCATCGTGCGGTCGAGCGTCAGCATGGGGGTGATTCCCGCGCACCTGGGCAACTCGGACTGCGTGGATTGGGTGCCCATGGACGCGGCGGGGCGGGTGGTCGTGGAGGTTGCGTTGGGGAGGGCGAGCGGACATGAGCGCGTTGTTAAGGGTGAGGGCGAGGGTGATATGTTGGAGGTGTTTCACGTGCAGAATCCGCGGGCGGCGGCGTGGCCGGGGCTGGTGCCGGCGATTTGCGGGTGGTACGGGGCGCGGGGGCGGAAGGTCGAGCCGGTGGGGTTTGAAGAGTGGCTGGGGGAGCTGAGAAAGGTGCCGCTGACGGATGCGGACGAGGTGGCGCGCAAGCCCGGGGTGAAGCTCGTGGACTTTTATGAGGGGTTGAAGGCCGAGGGAGGGGCGTTGCCGCGGATGGAGACGGCGCGGACGCGGGAGGTGAGTCCGTGCTTGAGGGAGCTGGGGCCGGTGGATGCGGTGTTGTTTGAGAATTGGATGGAGCAGTGGGGGTTTTGAGAAGTGACTGATGGAGAGGGGGAGGTGATGGAACGGGTATACTTGGGTGGGAACGGTTAGACTTGGACTGTGACATTTAGACTGGAACGGCTTTTTTTAGGGAACTGATAGAGTAGTGCATATCTTTGGCTTGAATCCAAAAATTCGACACTCTAGGGGATGCGTCTGTGGATTGCTTTGTGACCAGGAGATTTGACCACCTGCGGAAGGCTTGATTCATTCAAAACTTACACCCTATTAATTTTATAAAAGGCAATGTTCAAAACGGTCGACGAGGAGCGAAGCCGAGCTACCTGCAAACGAAGAAATACAAGCGAGAGAGAGCAGCTCCATCGCCTCCGGTAAATGATGATTCGCTTGGTGAGCCCAGCTCCATGAGGAATTCGATTCTCGATTTGATTTGATTCATTACTTACGAGCAGCAGAAAAAGGATGCATAAGTGCAGGAGACGTGGAATTCTGAGAAGGACATGTATGTTCATAGGTGCCACGTCATTCATCAGAAGAAGAATTTTATTGAAGGACTCAGTATAGAAGCTGTCACTAGAGTCATGAGCTACGTGAGATGGAGTACTGGAGATTCGTGATGTGATGCAGAGAGATTGAGCAAGCGTTATCGTATCGGGGACGAGTTCGGAAAGGAGACGTTGACTGAAAGGATGGAGGAGAACAGTGATTGGGCAGGGGTACTTTTCTGTGATATTCCGCATTTCCCCCCCAGAAAGTGGCAAACAAATACGTATTCAGCGAGCTGAAGCGGCCTTTTGTCTCAAGGCACCCTTTCAAAATCCGGATTCATTCCTTGCGTAGGAGATGAGGGTGGGGATGTAGTCTGGGTGAACGATGCCCAGATCCTTGACTTTGACGTTATGTTGAATGGGATGATGGATGGCAAAGTTGATGCGAGAAGCCTCTGAGAGCGTCACGGAGCCCGCGGAGGGATTGATGGGGATCGGCACCTTCTGCAAGCGTTGCTCGCCGGCCACGTACTGAGGGTACGTCCCTGCGATGTAGACAATGGCATGCTGTTGTGGATCCAATCCACGTTTGGTCGTTGCACGCCCGCCATATGTGGAAACCGGGCTGCATCGGCTCAGTGCTGGCCGTCATGGGGGAGGGGGGGTTCGTGCAGAGAGGAACTCACCAGGCGTAGGCGAAACCTCTTCCTTCCTTCACCACGATGAAACGCCGGATGTTGCTGAAGACTCGTTGGCCGAACATGACGGTCGAGATGTTGTCGACGTGTCTGCCGGGGTCCGTGGTTTCTCCACACGGTTCGGTGAAGAGGACTGAAAACATCTGCCGGCGGGGGTCAGCAGGGCATATGCCGATGAGGAGGCCCAGGGCTTACCCTGCCTTGGGTGAAGAACCTCCGGCTCTGAATCATGTACCCTGCGACGCACCATCAGCGAATGCAGGTGGGGAAGGGGTCGACGGGCAAACCAGGGTCCAAGGATTCGGAGTCGATCTCCTCCTGTTCGCCTCGAATCGTTTCCCCTAACCCTCCGGCCGCCACGCCGTGCAGATCTACGCTGAATCAGTGGCTTCGTCGGTCCGCATCCGTCGAGTGCTCATACCGGACGGGACGGAAGGCGCGAGGGAGTCGCGTCGGACAAGGCCGCGGTCTCTAGGCCAATGGTTCAGCAAGGAAGGCGGAAGGAACATGGCTGGTATGGGGGCGGGCTTACTGCTCAGCCCATATGGTGTGCCAGTTTGCTACAGGGCCGTCAGCAACGAAAAGACAGTGAGACTACAGAGGACGTGCCGCCGTCGTACTCCTGGCGGTAGTGGTTCTTCACCTCCGGGTGCCACACCCAGCCTCTGGTCGGGTCGGTGTTCTGGTTCATTGTCGGCAACTGGTCTTGTGTCGGGAAGGCAGAGCAGCCTGCAGCAAGCTAATATACCCCTCTCCTGCCGCCATTGCTGCTGGCAGAGCCGCACTAGGCCCCAAGGCGAGCTGCCTCCATCTGCCATCGCAGCAGCGCTGATCCTGCGATGGAGGGTTTGCGTGTGGCTCAATCACAGCGTGCATGAACGCCGCCGCCAAAGCCGTCCCCGCATCGTGGGTTCGGCAGCGTGGTACAGCGGTGGGATCGACAGACACAGCTAGCCGAGCGCTGCCGCCGCTTTAATGCTGTGCTCTGCGGTACGTGCGCGGCTGCTTTCAAGCCGTCGCACACTTTCCGCTAGGCTGCGCGGTGCAAAGCCAGGTATCCTCCGGCCCTTGGAATGCAGCCACGTATTTAATAGCGCACGCCTGTGTTGCAGACATACCCCTGGCCCTCTTGCTGTTATCTTCGGGGCGAAATGCGCGGGACTTCCTCCTATGCCAGCGGCCTCGCCATGCACGCCAGAGTCAGGATGCCCGCCGCCGTTGCCGCCGTTTCCACGCACACTCCCAGGTCACCGTAGCAAGCGACATGACTGTGCCAAACGGAGGCCTTCTGGGCCAGGAATTGCCATGTCCCAACAATGCCGAGCGCAAAGACAGCTTGTCAGTGAACTCGGACCACAGTCGCCAGCCCGCAGACATGGCACGCGACAGCAGCTCCATGAAGAAGACGCCCCACCAGATGCATGTAGTGCCGACACTGACAAACGGACGGCTGGCCGGCCAGCACGAAGACGAGCCCGGCGAATGCCAACCCACTCGAAATGGCGGTGGATCCCCTTGCCCTCCGGTCGACGTACCCGAGATCAGTGTGTCTTCTCCGGACCACGAAGGAACCGCTCAGAACGAGACCCAACCAGAACCACAACCATCACCTCCTCCCTATCCCGGACCAGCTGCGCCGGCCACAGCCTCGACCCGTTCAAAACTGCGGATACTCCCGCCGCACCTCATCCCCCCACCCCCGCCTCCTTCCATCCCACGCCCACCGTCCCCATCCTCCACATACCCATCACCCCTCTCCCAGCCGCCGCCGCCGCCGCCGCCGCCCAACCCCCTCCCACCCCATGGCCAGCCCGCCGCCGCGCCAGAGCTCTCCCCCCGCCGCCTCCGGCGCTTCATGTCCTTCCTCGAAGAGACGCGCGACCAGCAAGAAGACCACCACGAGCGCCGGGAGCAGGCCCTCCTAGAACGACAAGCCCTCCACGCCAAGCGGCAGGCGCTCCGGGCGCAGCGGCTGCGCACGCGCGACGCGCAGGCGGGCCTGATCAGCGAGCTGCGCAGGACGTGCCTCAACGCGAAGCCGCCGGAGCCGGCGGCCGTGTTCGCGCTGTTCGACGCCGTCGAGCGCGCGCACGACGCGCTCGGCGCCAGCGAGGAGGACTACGACGCCGACGAGCGCCGCTACGACGTCCTCGAGCTGCAGTGGACCAAGAACGAGGGCGACATCGTCGGCAACCTCGTCGAGGACATCGAGGAGCTCGGCATCGTGCCGCCGCCGCGTGCCCATGCTGGTGTCGGAGAGGAGAACGATGATGGTGATGTCGACTGCCAGCGTCACGCCGTCGACCCTCGGCCTGCTACCAGCCCGGACTTTCGGTCTACGGAGGAGGCGTTTCCTGCGGGCGAGGCGGCGGCGGCGGCGACGCCCGGCACGCCGGTGGGGGAGGTGCGGCAGGGTCTTGCGGGGTACAGCTGGAAGAGTGACGATGATGATGCTCGCGCTGGGACTGCCGCTGCCGCTGACGCGTTGGTTGAGGGTCGGCCGGGAGGTGATGATGCGGGCCTGGAGAACCACAGACACCAGCTGTGGGAGGCGGTGCGGCCGCACATGGACGTGCTCAAGGGGGTGTCGACGGACGAGGGCAGGCGGGCGTCGGAGCCGGCCAGACGGCAGGGAGAGTTGATCCAGGCGGCGGCGGCGGCGGCGGCGGCCGCGGCGCGGCGGCCGCGGAGTGAGGCGGACCTGGCAGGGGTGCTGGAGCCGGGGTGGCAGAGCAATATCCGGAGTCAGGTCAGCCAATGGATCATGGACTCGCTGAAGGGCTCGCTCGTGCAGAAGGCGCTGGCCAAGGCGCAGCTCGAGGAGGACGGGCTGGATGAGAAGGACTGGTGGGTCGCGCTCAGGCGCGTGTGGTCGACGGACGCGGCCAACGACGAGCCGGAAGCAGGCGGCGGCGAGGAGGAAGAGGAAGGGGAGGAGGAGGAGGATGACTATGTCAACATTGTGTCGGATTCTCGGGAAGGCGTTTCGGTTGATTGGAGTTGAGTTTCTTTCCTTGGAGATACCCTGCCACATGTACAACAGAGGAGCCTCAATTCACATGCGTGGTCATGCACGATGCCGCGATATCACGCTCGCTCGCGCGGCGACGCCGCTTTAACGCGTCTGGCCCCTGTTTCGGGCTAACGACCCAGGCTGGCTGCCGGCGCAGCGCTGGAGTCGTGATTGGCCGTGTCTCTCCCGCTGGGCCGTCCCGCTGGTCAGGTGGGGCCGCGCGGGAAGCTGCAGCTTTTCATCTTTCCTGCCTGCCTGCCTGCCTGCTTGCTTGCCTGGCGCCCTGCCTGCTTGGCTCCCTGCCTGCCTGCCTGCCTGCGAGCTGTGTGGCTGCGGCTGCGGCTGCCTCGCTCGCTCCGTCATGCCTACATACGGCCACAGATCCATCACCTCCCCGTGCTCGCTCCGAGACGGAAGCCCAAACCGTCTGTTAGGCTTTCGGCTAGAGCACGCCTCTCAGCTAGCTGCCTACGCCGGTCCATGGCGGCCAACACGTCAGCAGCCAGCAGTGCCGGTGCCAGCGCAGCCTGTCTGTCCCGCCGTGAGTGGACGCCCACGCTCGCCGAGATCGACCGGCTCCCGTGTCTCCCTTCGGGTAGAGCGGACGCTTAGAGCGGACGCTAGGCGCGGCACGTCCGGCGGCGACGCTTGTCAGACTGAGCGTGTCGCACAAAGGGGGGAAGGCCGGTTGGAGCCATCGGAGCCATCGGAGCCATCGGAGCCATCAGCCTTATCGGCCTTCTTCACAGCCCTCAATTGGACCTGCCATTACAGGCTTGGCCCGCCTTTCCCACGCGACAAAAACATGTCCACCTGACCTATGCGTGGGGGAATCAGGGTGCTGACGTGGGCCCGGCAGACTGGGTGGTCCGTTTCCTGGTCTTCCCTTCCCACCATCACCCGCCGCCCCATCGATCTCACTTCTCAACCACGCCCGCCCGCCTTGGATTGGTCCATGCAGTGAGCAGCTGGACGTGCGTGTCCCTGCATGGAAGCTGAAGTCAGCAGTCCTTCTACCTATCTCGTCCGAACAGTCGAACCCAGCGTCTCGTTCTGACCAAGGCTGGACAGTGCACCACCTCTTCCGCCTTCATGCCTTGGAACTGTCGGCTGACTGCGCAACACGAATCGTCTGCCTTCTACGCTTCATTGTCGCTTGGTCCACGTGCGCTTCACATGAAAGATGGCAGCTTCGCATTGAAGTGATGGAATGCTGGGTGGCAAGCCAGTCGCTCGTTTCCAGCTAATCGGTTGAGCGTGTCCACAGCAGTCATGTCCGAAGCACGATACGTCATGGCTGTGACCCCGCACTCCAGGGATGCTGGCAGGGAAGACGGCCAAGAGGCCCTGACAAGCCATCAGCCCTGACAAGCCCGCCGCTTATTCGCGTCACTGCCCGAATTCTATGTGATGGCACGCCCGCAAACTCGGGCAGCTCACCGGTAAAGCCTACGAACAGGGCACCTTCTCCCTTAAAGCCCTCGAGTCGGCCGCCCGAGCGAGCTGCTCGTTTCCCTCCAAGACCCACGAGTCCGAGATCCATCTTGCAGTGCCACGCGACGCTTTTACGAGTGACAACGCAACACACGATGCAACCCGCCCGCAACCACCGATCGCCCTCTCCAGCCACGCCCACACGTGCTTGACCAAAACGGGACTGCTCGCGAAGCACGAGAGCTTTCCAGGCATGCGGTGACGCAACGCTGCATCCCGGAGCCATCCGAGCAAAGCAGGTTTCACCGCCCGACGACCCAAACCACCTTGACTAAACACTGCCATCCAATGACCCTGCCCGGACCCGCCGCCCGCGGTGGGGGACGCGCCCGCACACGCTTTCCATTGCCTTCCGTTTCATCCATTCCCCCCAGCTTCCCCAAACCGTTGCCGAACGAGCCAGTGACCGTGGCGGCAGTGCAGTCGCTTTCCATTCTTCGCTTTCTCTTCTCCCTCTCACGTTTTCCTATCAGTCCAAAGGGAGTGCGATCGATTGGAAGCAGAAAAGGAAAAGACAAAAGTTCAACTCACGGGAGAACAAAAACGCAACACGGGCTTGCCGACGGGCTGCCGCGCGCTGCTTAGATGCGCGCGATTCGGATCGCCAGATGTGCGCGCACGCCGCGCTTGCACCCACGCCCCTCAATCCGCCAACCGTGTGGCTGGCTCCCCTCTTCGACCGGTGAAGCTGTACAAGAGCATTCTCGGGGAACAATGATATCATAACATTATGCCATCTTTCGGGGGCGGTGGCGCAGAAGGGGCAACAGATGAGAAGACGCTGCTGCTGCTGCTGCTGCTGCGCATTGAAAGGGGGTTACCTCGTCGTCCGCTCGCCTTGGTGAGATATATTACCAGGGGCTTTCCGATTTTTTTTCCTTCCTTTCCCATTGTTCTTTTTCCATCTTCATCCGAGACTTCTTGTCGCCCCCCTTTTCTTTGACACTCTCTTCCCCCCCGAGGATGAGCAGCGCACAGCCGCCGTCCTACTCTGACTGGATCTGGTCGCCCGAGCATCAACGGTACTACTGCTACCGCTACACGGACGACGGCCGAGCCGAGTGCAGGTGGAGCGACGCGACGGCGCCGCAAGCCCATAGCTGCGTCTCGTCGTGGCAAGGAAGGTAAAGCTTTCCTAGCCCCAGCCGGTGTGCGATAAAACTTGGTATGCGTAACGGAGTGAGATGCTTTCTTTTTTGGGTGTGTATGCGGACGCTCTCACTCTTTCTCCACGTCTCTCGGTGGTCAACTGCCATTGACTATTTTTATTCACTCTCTCTCTCTCGCTCTCTCTCGCTCTCTCTCGCTCTCTCTCGCTCTCTCTTCGAGTTTCCCCCTCTTGTTAACGTCAGGTTCCTGGGCACAGGGGTCCGCGAAGCCCTACCACTACTGCCACAAAAACAACAACAACAACACCTTCCGAAAACCACCACCACCACTACGACGACGGCACCACCGCCAACAACCCACAAGCACCCGCCCCCACAATGCCGCCACCCCCTCCCCAGCAGCCCAACCCCCCTCCCCGCCCGCAACAACAACAACCCGCAACCGCCACGACGACATCATCCACAACCAACACCCGCGGCTCCGCCGACGACGTGCGCCGCTTCCGCGACGGCGACGAGGCCAGCCTGGCCGTCGAGGAGCGCGGCCAGCTCGTCCGCGCGGCGTTCGTCGTGCGCCGCGCCCGGCTCGACCCCCGCGGCTCCGGCCGCTGGCAGTACCAGCTGTGGCGCGAGCCCGACGGCACCCCCTTCGAGGCGGGGAGGTGGGTGGGGGAGGGGGAGTTGTCTTGATTTTCTTTTTTTTTTTTTGGCAGAGTTTATCGGAGTTTATCATTTTTTTTGAGAGGGGGGGTTTGGGGCTTGGGGTTTCTGGGGTTGAGGTTTTGTTTTTGAAGGGGGGGAGGGGGGAGGGGAGGGATTGGGTTGGGTTGGGTTGGGAATTGAGGTTAGGGCGGGGTTTGAGGAGGCGAGCTGCTACTACTAGGATATGGTTAGGTGCTGCTACTAGGATGAGGATGTGGTAGGGTGCTGTCTGTTTTGGGGATGGGATAGGGGGAAAGGTTGCTCGGTCTGGTGTACGGCTGTGTCTGTGTCTGTGTCGAGGGGACCAAGGCCAAGGCATTGGTATTTGTGTTGCTGCCTGGGCTTGGCCTAGCCCCCCTCCCTTTCTTTTTCACGTCTTGTACGAGTTCTGTTTGGTCATCATGTTTTGCGATTTGATAGACGACGACGGACGTACCGATTTGTCCGGCTGGCCGCGCCTTTACGTTTGGGATGACGAACGACGACGGCCGCCCTCCCCCCCCTTTCTTACTTCCTTTCCCGCAATTCTTTTGGACGACGACGGCCGCAGATCACGTTGACGTTGTACGGCAGAGCATTCATGCACACCCTCTCTGACATCCATCAAAGAAAAAGAAAAAGCCTGTACACTTTCAGCCTTCACCGTCCACGCGCTTAGAACCCGTGCGTACGTGCGTGCGTACGTACGTGCGCGCATGCGGCAACCGTTTGCCTACTGCCTACCGCGTTGCCTGTCATGTCATCGAGGCTCGCCCCAATCCCATGCAGCAGCCTGGTTGCCGGCATACCGGTAGGGCCACACACGGCCCCTGACCCAGAAAGCCGTGGGACCCACTTCGAACGTTCCGCCGCCTGCATTAGCTCCCTCCGTCCCATGGCAGCCATCGCGTACCAGACGGCCGGGCTGGCTGGACGTCGGGGTGGACATCGGGGTGCGTGCGTGTGGAAGCGGGGGGGAGAACGAAAGAACCCATGCAAGCCACGTTGCTGCGAGCTGTGGTTCGCGATCCTGCGCGTGGCGCACGCATTGCTCCGGCCGGTGCTGACTGCCTGAGCTGCGGACGTTCAGCTGACCAGACCCAGACGAGATGGTTGATTGGTTCGGGCGCGCGCACGGCTTCGGGGAGGTGCGAGTGTGACTCAAGGCCGGAAAGCCAATGGCTGGGGGGATAATCAGGCGGCCGGCCAGCTGGCGCCCGCTGCTCATGACAGCAGCAGAAAGCAGGGGAAAGGAGAGGGCAGCAATGGATTGTAGGCGTTTGCGTGTTGTCGTAATTGACAGGGGGGTTGCAATCATTGGTAGCTGAGGCGGCCGGATAAGCTGCCCCCACGTGCACAGTCATGGGGTAGGGTTTTTTTTCTCGCAGTCCGCTGATTGGATCACTCGATGTGGAAATCGCCCGAGGGCTGAAAGCAGTGCGACGAGGATGACGGTCGCCTGGCTTGCATGGGTGTACGTCACCTCCCACGTATGTGCACGAATGAGAATTCGTTCGAGATGTATATTGTCCTGGACATGTTTCAGAGCCTCACGGTCCCGGAACTGGCAGTTCGAGCTGAATTTGCTACGTATCAAACGTTGAAACATGACTTGGAGAACACGAAAGATCTGCCAATCTTTGATCAAGACCAGCTGATCAGGAATACGTGATATTGTACATCGAAAGAACGGCCAATGAAAGCATATCTCATCGTCTCAGGACGGTTTCGAAGTCTTCTGGGGTGGCTGCTGGCTCGTTTCGGTCTTAATTGTCACTCCTCGTCAACTTCTTCCCAGGATCGTTCCGAACGGGGGCCGTTATTGGCCCCGGAGCTTGACTCATTCTGTGCATGTCCGCTGATTGAAGAGTTCTCGCTGTCTTGAGCTTCCGGGGCTTCAGCGGTAGCTTGGGATTCCGCGATCCATCTATGGATCCTCTCTCTTGGGTTGGCAAACTTGGGAAGTGTCGGCGTGGGCAATTGCGGCATGCGGTGGCCTTCGGAGAAGAATGAACACTCAAGGTGCTTTCCGGACTCGGAAGCGTGCACCCAAGATCGAGCTTTCCGTGGTGCCTGCTCGGATGCGACTGCTGTGTCATGGTTGATGCTTGGTGGTGCCGGAGGTGGAGGTATCAAGCCAAGCTGGACGCACCTGGACTGGAGCCGGCTCACCTCGTTTCTGGTCTGGGCCAGTTCGGCCTGAAGTAACTCCCGGTCTTGATGATACTGGCTGTAGAACTCCAGGTCAGGGGGAAGGATTGGCTGCCCGAGATTGGCTCTGGTTTCTCTCTGACTGCGCTCGACACCAAAGGTATATTCGAGCTCTGCAAGCCGTTCCTCTAGGATGGGGACGTCTGAACTCTTGTCGTGGAAAGCCTGTAGGGTCGTCCTTTTGACATGGTCCAGTCCCTCGCTCCCAGTAATGTCTGCTGGTGGTGGATGAGAAGCGGCAGTCTTGATTATTGATGGAAGAGCAGCGCTGAGGCGCCCAAAAAAGGCATTCTCTTCTTTACCAAGTCCGTACTCAAGCTTATTTAGTTGTTTTTCGAGATTTTTCGTTTGCTCCAATTGCTGCGAGAGGCTATCTTGCGCGCGCTGGATGCTATTTATTGCCGAAGACAAGGCGGCCTGGAATTCCGCATCGGCCGGTGTAAGACTTCTGACTCGGACCAGAAATTCCGTCTGTTCCCGCTGAATAGAAGAGATGCAATGCTGCAATTCCGAGCGCCGTCCGACGAGGGCGAACCGAGTGTCAATAACCTGCCCCCGCTGTCCTTGCAAATCATGGTGCTGCTTTTTCAGATTGTCGTAGTCATCATCGGTCATTTCTGCCATCCTCCGCTGGCTCTGCGTGGCGGCCTCGCTCTGCAACCGCTCTCTGGCGTTTGATATCTGGGGCGTCCAGAGGGCGCTGGGCTCATGGGAAGTCGATGTTGTGTTCGCCAGGGAGGGCGCATTCCGTTCATATATTGCATAGCTTTGGCAAATTCCTGCGCTTTGTGAAACGTCGTCGATGCGCTGGTCTCTCATTTCTGGCGGTGTAGCTTCTGCTTCAAACACATCCACGTCGCAGGTCCTGACCCTGCATGCGAAACGCAAAACTTTAGCGGCGGGAGGCGACAGCTATAAATCAGGCTGCTCACCCAATAAGCCGGCCTGTTCCCTCTACTGGGGCATCGTTGCTGTCCCGAGACATTCTGGTATAGCTGCTGACGAGATAGCACGTATTCTGGGCTGCGCCACCGGGGCTGAAGAAGTGAGCTGGAGAGTTGAAGGATGAGGTGTTTCAGCCGGAACGGGCTACGTGCATATTTCAAGGCCGACGGTGTGTGCCACCACACCATCAGCGGTACGGCCCGTGGTACGATTCTGAGAGTGAGTGCCGGCAGGGGCAGGGCTGCCAGCTCGGCAGTGTACGACCATGTGACGCCCCCCGTGGCTGTCAAGTTGGTCGCCGTCTGCACCCCGCTCGATAGGCGCTATCTGGCCAATCATCCGGAACTCGGCTGCAATGCAACCTGCGCTGGCCATGGCAGCATGCTGATCTGCACATCGACTGCATCATGTCGCTTTCCATGATACAGCTGTTCTGCAGAGCCGCACATGCTTTTTAAGCACGCGTCAGCTGGCGCGAAATCGGCTTCTCTACCTCCCCTAGACATTCTTGCCAAACAATGCAGCAGGCCCAGCAAACCGTCCAATGGCAGTATGACTTCAGTCGGCAGGATTACTACTATTTCGATCCTACCGATAATTGTTATGTTTACCAGAACCTTGGGCGCGTGTACCCTGAGCAATACAACAATGCTCAGGGCGTTCTGACAAGTGTCGAGGGTGGGCCGGCAGAACAGATGACAGAGCCTCGAGCTCTACAGTCAGGAATCAGAGCCCACAGACGGGTGCGCGGAGGGGCAGGCGACGCCGAAAGACTTGATCCACGTGAGTCCAATGCCATCCCGGGTGAATTACATACTGACTGCAGCGCTCTAGGATTTGTAAAGCACACCCCGGGAAGAGACTTCTACAAAGTTGGCAAGGTTTTCAAGGTTCTCTGGCCAGAACCGGCGGGAAACGCACATGCAGGCGCGACTTTTGTGACTGGAGCATTCAATGAGCCAATTTACAACAAGATCCGTTGGTTCGTGGTTATTCGGGAAGGCCGAGACTGCTGCACTTGCCTGTAAGTACGCCCTCACATGGTACCAGGACCCTCGGGCTGATACCGGACAACCCCCAGGTCGATCCAGACGTACAACAGGCAAGGGGTAGCCAAGCCAGGGGTGGACAAGACTGAGCATTCCATCATGTACACTGGACCCCGTCCACCGCAGATTCCCGAATGGGAGGACCCGTACGGGGAGATGCTACAAGCGATTCCGGTCGTTGCCACGGATCCAACACAAGCCAAGATGGATGTCATGTCCCGGCTCAACTATGCAAAACCATACACTGTCGAGCACAACGTCAAGTCGCTCGATTTCGGAGACGTTGCTCCAGGTTGGACAGACTACCTTCGCCAAAACTTCCTTTCCGTCCTACAACGAGACACGACTGAGGACGGCGGAGATGACTCAGGTGGTAATGGGCAATACCACCAAGGATGAGGTGGTTCTCTTTGATAAGGTGCCGCTACAAACAGCCAGGCGATATACGTATTATTACTAAGTCATCACGTTTCACCGTAACGAGTCTACTTTCCTTCTCACGAGATTGGACTTCTTCTTTGTATATGATTCAATCAAAAAAAATGAATTCTATTTGCAATCTTCACCAAAGCAGTGCGGTGACACTTTGAGCCTCTGCAATGCTTGACACATGCGCTTCAGCAGCGCACATGGCATCTTTCGCAACCCACTGTACCGGTACGTCGCGAGTGAACGCCCCCGTTGTTCAAGGTTGAACTAATAACGGAGGTGATTTGGTATCGCTTAGTTTCATGCGGGGCTTGCGCTTAAATTCTGGGCCTCAATTCCAAACAATCATTTGCCCAAAACAAGTTTCTGCCATGCCTGTGGCGGGGCCTATCAGAGAGATTCCTCTCCACCTTCTGGAGCTTCACCAGAGTATGCCGTGCCCTACAACTTCCATCGACAGCGATGCGTCCGGACGAGTCACTAATAAGGGGTCAACTTTTTTTTCTACTGTACTCCCAAAAGAGAAGCATCATTCGGCTCAATCCCTTCGGCTGGCCGTAAACATCCGAGTCTAGGCCCGGGGTATCCACCCGGCAGAGTCAAGCACCCCCCACAGAGCATCACACCGGACAAAATGGCAAAAAGAAGGATGAGGATGATGCGATTTGAACGCATAACCTTCAGGACATTCCAAGATGGATCTGGAATCTGACGCTGTGACGGGAATTAGTATATGGAACTTTTCGTGGTCGATGTCGCTTGGAACTTACCGCTACCGTTGCGCCACACCCCCATTGATGCAGGCAGAATCAACTGCAGCCGAACTTATCCTGAGGCATTCTTTCAGACATGGCTTGGAGGCAACGAGAATTGATAGCATTGGGTCCAAAGAAGACAAGCCAAGTCCGTGTTGGAGACTCGTTTTAACCGAGTCGGCCGGCTTTCTGACCGCCCCAGTGCGACTTCGGCCGTGTTGCCTGAGGCACAAAGATTACGTGATTATCATCACCTCAACATGAGACTTGTTCAGCAGTCCTTGAAACGTGCACCGGCGCTAGGTCATCCATCAGACGACGAGTCTTCTAACCGTAGCTCACCAATCAGTTAAACGCTAGGGCAGGCAGGGCTCCCGTGAGGGTCACCATCCAAGCCGAATCAAGCTGCGCACAAGCTATCCGGCCCGTGCATAAGTTATCCAGAAGGCAGACAATTAGTGCGCGGCACAACCTAACACTACCACAAACATGGGTTAGTGCCTGCTATCCGCTCGTGCTGCTGAACAACTCCATGATGGACGAGTGCGATGCAATACCAGTCCAAAGCACGGTCAAACCATACCTGCTCCGCCGTGCCAAAGGGCAAAAGAGTTCATTAGAAAAAAAAAGGGTATCTCTCTCCGACGGGGAACAGAGACGCCGGATAAGAACGGGGTGGAAGGGCGCAAAAGGATGGGATTCTACCGGGCGGCGATGGAAACCGACATTATTATTGCCTACGTAGTACCTGAGCCTGGCCAGGAAAGTGGTTGCCGGAACGGCCACCTGGTCAGGATAATTGGTTGCCGGAACACGCAAGTAGGCGGACGGGATATTAACAAGCCGGAGTAGGGCCGCTATCACGTGGAGCTAAAAAAAAGGATTTTCTCTCCGACGGGGAATCTGATATAGGTTAGTAAATATCCATAGGGGGGATCGAACATAAGCGCTTACCGAACCCCGGTCTCCCGCGCTTGCCATTAGCAGTGTAAGATACATCCGCCAAGGATGACAAGCGGAAATCATCACCACTAGACCATCGAAGAAGACGGACCTGAGGCCCGGATGGTGTGGTTGACTGAAAGTCAATTGGTATGGGATAGAATTGCATTTGTTTGCCCTATATAGAGTATGATATCCCAGAGGTGATTACTGCAGTGGAGCTGATGAGAGACGCGATGGAACTAGATGCAAATTGCAGAGATTTTAGCGGCACGGGCGCATGGCCAGTGTAGACCAAGAAGCTCCAGCTGAGGGCTGAAGGGTGGGATGCGCGGATGCTCAGCGAGGGACACAACGAGAACGCCTGTGCGGGGCGGTGAGATTCTGCCATCCCCAGATCCCAAAAAATGTCGTCGGCCGCGACTCTCCATCCGACACCAACACCCGCCGACTCAATTCCGATCGCACACCATGGGCAAACGCAAGCTTAACGAGCACGATGTTCCCGAAGACGCCGAGCTTGTCGCTGCCTCAACCCAGCCAGCCCAGCCCGAGCTCCCTTCTTTCGACGCCCTCGGCCTTGATCCCCGCCTGCTCCAAGGAATCGTGCGCCAAAAGTTCTCGACCCCCACCTCCGTCCAAGCAAAGGCCATTCCTCTCGCTCTGGAAGGCAAGGACATTCTCGGTACGCCTCCCTCACCCCACTTCTCCCACCGCATACTAATTCTCCGAAGCTCGCTCCAAGACCGGCTCCGGCAAGACCGCCGCCTACCTGCTCCCCATCCTTCACTCCATCCTCAAGCGCAAGGCCGACGACTCCTTCACGAAATGCACCTCCGCCCTGATCCTCGTCCCGACCCGCGAACTGGCTGGCCAGGTGACAAAGACAGTCGAGGCGTTCGCCGCCTTCTGCGGCCACCATGTGCGCGTCGCAAACATCACCCTGCGTGAGGACGACGCCGTTCAGCGCGCCCGCCTGGCCGACTCCCCGGACATCGTCGTCGCCACCCCTGGCCGTGCTTGCGTCAACCTGAACGCCGCCGCCCTCTCGCTGGACCGCCTCGCCCACCTGGTCATTGACGAGGCCGACCTGGTCCTGTCCTACGGCTACGACGACGACCTGGAAAGCCTCTCCAAGTCCATTCCCAAGGGCACCCAGACCTTCCTCATGAGCGCCACCCTCAGCAGTGACTTGGATGACCTGAAGGGCCTGTTCTGCCGCGATCCTGTGCTGTTGGAGCTGGACGAGGAGGAGAAGGACGAGGCCAAGGTCAGCCAGTACATCGTGAAGTGCGCCGAGGATGAGAAGTTCCTGCTCATCTACGCCATCTTCATGCTGAAGCTGGTCAAGGGCAAGGTCATTGTCTTCGTGGCCGACATTGATCGCTGCTACCGTTTGAAGCTGTTCCTCGAGCAGTTTGGAATCAAGAGCTGTGTTCTCAACTCGGAGCTGCCGGTCAACTCGAGAATCCACGTGGTGGAGGAGTTCAACAGAAACGTTTACGACATCATCATTGCCTCGGACGAGCACGAGGTGCTGGGCGACGAGGACAAGAAGAAGAAGCGAAAGAGCAAGGGCGGTGATGAAGACGGGGAGGAGGAGCAAGACAATGCCCACGGCGAGCAGCAGGACGCAGAGATGCAGGACGCCGACGGCGCAGAGCCAAAACCCAGCGCGACCTCACCCGAACCCCCCAAGAAAAAACGAAAAGGCAGAAAGAAGGACAAAGAGTACGGCATCGCGCGCGGCATCGACTTCCAAAACGTCTCCCTCGTCCTCAACTTCGACCTCCCCACATCCTCCAAATCCTACACCCACCGCATCGGCCGCACCGCGCGCGCCGGCAAGAACGGCATGGCCATCTCCTTCGTCATCCCCAAGGACCAATACCGCAAGCACAAGCCCACGTCCATCGAGCTGTGCAAAAAAGACGAAGAGACGCTCGCCAAGATCACAAAGAGCCAGCAGAAGAAGGGCAACGCCATCCAGCCCTACCTCTTCGACATGAAGAAGCTCGAGGGCTTCCGGTACCGGCTCGCGGACGCGCTGCGCGCCGTCACGCGCATCGCCGTGCGCGAGGCCCGCGCCCGCGAGCTCCGGCAGGAGCTGCTCAAGAGCGACAAGCTCAAGCGCCACTTCGAGGAGAACCCCCAGGACCTGCGCCACCTGCGCCACGACGCCGAGGTCCGCACCGCCCGCCAGCAGCCCCACCTCAAGCACGTGCCCGAGTACCTGCTCCCTGCGGGTGGCCGGACGGAGGTCGAGAGGGAGATTGGCTTCGTCGGCTTCAGGAAGGACGAGGGCAGGGACAATCGCATCAGGAAGGCGAGGGCGCAGAATCGCGGCAAGGGGAGGGGGAGGATCGCGAAGACGAAGAAGGCGGATCCGTTGAAGACGTTTAATGCGAAGGGGAGGGGGAAGAAATGAGTGGGAAGTGGTTGGTTGGTGATCATGCGTTTGCTGGGTTTGGTTCGGGCTTCGAGCTGGAGATGTGGTTGCAGATTGGGTTAAAAGTTGAAGGGCGGAAGGCATTGTGGGTCGTACGTTGGATAAAAGCATTTGTAGGCGTTGCTAATTGCTCGTCGTGGAACCAGTCGGGGAGGGTTGTCTTATCATGTCATGGAGTAACTTAAATGGAGAGTTGAATTTGTGGGCTTTTTGCGAGTATTGCTGCCTGTTGTCTGAGCTTGTGGAAGTGAAGTGAAACGAATATGAGGAAGGGGGTCTTCTGTCTCTGTCATGTGCTCGGCAGGGTGTGGGTCGGAATTGTGGTATGCACATCGACTCTCGGAAAGTCGTGGGTGTCAGAATCATGGGTTTGCGACGCAGGTTCGGCTTGCATTCATTTTCTGCACCTGACTGCCTGTGTTTGGGAAATGTGTAGCGCTTAAAGAGGACTACCAACCGAAGATGGTGTCACTGAGGTATGGAAGTTGGTCGGGTGTGAGATGGGATTGGCCTTACACATAGTATACGTCTTCATGCACGGAAGCTCATTGTCCCGATGTTGGAGCGACAGAGTGAGTTTTTTCTGTGAGGAGTGCAGCATGCGTTGTGGATGTCTTGCGGTGAACAGACGGGCATATTGGATTGTCCACACCGGTTCAACACTGATACCGGAGGTTCGAGGGATACCAACGGATGGCCGCGGGTTGGGAGAGAGTTGGACCTTCCTAACATGTGTCTCTCCGATGTTATTGCTCTGGTGATACAGTTATACCTACGCCAGTGTACTTGCTACAGCTACCCACGAACAAAACAGTTCTCATATGCGTTCAGGCCACGGTAGGATAAAGATTCAATCCTATGTGGCCACAACCACTCAATCACACTAGTCGTCGAGATCAGCCGGTGCAAATCTTTATAAAGTGCCCGTTCCGCCATTCGTAGAGATCCTTTGTCTCCTTATCCAAGCGATGAAAGCTTACTAAGGAGATGAGCTCAACCTGAACTGCCCTTGTTGGCAAATTTGCACCACAAAAGTCACCCCCGAGGCTACCGTCCACAGCCAATCCATTCCTCTGCGGTCGCTTCGATCAAATCATTTGTCAATACGCTTAGAGGCTAGTAGCACTGATAGATTTTGATGTGGAGCGTCGTTGATTCTTCGTGGCGATGATTGAAGCACGCAGGTGGTTCTCTTGTAAGAAATTAATGATTTGAGCTATTAAGGGAAAACTGGCAGAAGAATCTGGAAGAAAGAAACTAATATCGAGTGCTTGTATTATTATGATAGTAGCTCAGTCTCTTTGACTTCGATATAAAACGCTACTTTAATCGAGTAGAAATGGTCTTCTAAGCTTTGCTGTTAGTCGTAAGAAAGTCATAAAAGTTTGTTGAGCATTGCGATGACGAAGTGAACACTGCTGCAGTCTTCGTTGTGCTATATGCGGCGTCTTTCATGCGCAAGATTTACATTGACAGGTGGTGATAAGAAGGGTGCGGAATTAGATAATGACCATGGCGGTGATAGAGAAGATTATACATGGAAGACATGTGCAATTGCATAAAAGGATGTTGATTAACAACATAAAGATTCAAAGAAGACGACAAGAATAACGACAAGCCACGAGACAGCATATACGTGGGAGACCCATTATCCACACTGCTCACACAGGTTCCTCCAATCTCAGAAAAATCGCTCAGCATCATTTCCACAAGATGGAAACAGAGAAGGAGGATTCTGGGCGCTCCGATCATCGAACCAGACAGCCATGCTCTATTGTTCCCTTTTTCCTTTCTTTTTTCCTTTCATCAGGCACACTTAAAGAATCAATACATAGGATCTATGGGTCTTGAGCGCGAACTATCGAAGTGCGGAGCAACGTCCACCATTCAGAGGACGAGAAAATGACCGTCACTGTTGATTTGGGCAACAGTGAGGTCCCGCGAGGTCCGGCTGATTAGCATGCACGCCCGACGGAGGACGGTTAGGCCAATATTCACGTGGGGAACTATCGATTGAAAGCTTTGGTGCATTCATCCCCGCATGCTCTAGACCGTGTGCTGGTGGGGCAGTCTTGACAAGTGCATTTCCGTTTCGGAACGATGGAAAAGCTTCTTTCAGCCGAGGGAGCCGGCTTCCGCTCAACATTCTCGGTACCAGACTTTGGCCATGTCGTGCTTTTTAACATGAAGCATGGTCCCACAAGGCTGGATTGCGCTGCCATGTGACGAAAAAAGGGAGTTGTAGTTACAGAACCACTGCGACAATGGTGGGACAAAGTTTACAGCTGCTGAGACACTCGGCATGGTGGTTTGTCTGGGCCGGTCCCAAACAGTGACGGCCATGGCATTTCAGGGGTGGAAAGTCGACGAGGTTGTGGAAAGGAGGTGGATACTCAATAACTCCGGCGCACAACATGGTCGTGAAACGGTAAGGCAGGACGGTTGAAAGTGCGGGAGCCTAAGGTTTCCACCGTCAGCTCGATGGAACATGGATGCGAACTTTGTATGTAACGTTCCGCAGATAGCGAGGCAGTTTCGAAGCCCCACACGAGCAAGTTGGTGTTTCGAAAGAAAGACCGACGGCGTGCCGGATTCTGGGGGATGAACCTAGCACCAAAAGCCATGTGGCTGGGCTGGCTGGCACCGGACGAAGTCTAATGACAAAGTGCAAGAACAGAGTTCAACGTTGTTGATGATGAGGCTTGTCCAACACTGCATGAATGCAGAATGGTCCACGTGCGGGGACGGAGACGGGCCAGTCAGATTGCAGTGGCTTTTCCAGGACAGCGAAGGAGCAGTGCAGATGTCAGTCCAGCCCAGCCACGTGCATTACAGATGTAAATCTGGATCGTTGAGATGCACGGCTCCTTGCAGAAGGATAGCCGAGCATAGGACGGGCCCGGTGGTAGTGGATTCTGCAAGCGAGCCGGGAAGGGGGGGAGCAACAGATGGGGGTTCCCCTGAAGCTGCAGCAGCATATGCAGGAGCGGGACCGATCTTTGAGCTAGGGGACGGGAGCGCGGTGGAGCGATGGCGAATGGGCGGGCAGAGATGGGGAGGATGTACAGATGGAGTGTGTAGGTGGTGGTTGCGCCTGGGTGTGGAACAGTGGATCTTGCTCCACACGATCGAAACCACGATCCCCTGAGGGCTGGAGACTGGAGTCTAGGCCGCGAAGATCCGGGAGTTGCAGGATGGGGAAGTCAGACCATCGGCCAATGCAGGAGATTGCGGTTTGCGCAATGCTGATCGTCGCCGCGTGCAATCGCCCGAGTCACCAGCCACAGGAGGGGACACAGCGGTGCCGCGGTGCCACGGTGCCACAGAGCTGCGATCGCCGCGATCGTCCATCGCAGTCGGTAGCGGCAATCCAAAGTCGACCTCAGCGGGCGTCGGGCAGTAGTGGTTGTTGCTTGCTCGCACAGGATGCAGGATGCAGGATGCAGGCCGAGGCAGCCAGGCAGCCAGGCAGACTCAGGCGCGCAGCCTTGCAGCCGCCGCCTGACTCGGGCAGCGACTCGCACACCATCAGAAGCCACTGACTCGACCCAGCGACGACTCGATCGCAATCAGCCGGCCCGCAGCGAGCGTGCACGCATGGACTGGACCTCCACCGCGACCCAGCGCGACCCAGCGCGACGCCCGGCCCCCGCCGCCGAGCGCTCCCCCAGCAGCCAGGCACCCAGGCAGCGAGGCAGCCAGGCATCGAGGCAGCCGGATGTCTGCGTGAGGTCGGCGCCTCACTGCCGCGCCGTCGCAACCGCCGCCATATTCCCACACCGCATCGCCCATCCCCACCTCCGACACAGCCCGGCCGTCCCGCTGAGTGCACGTCTGGAGTGGCACATCGCGCGGCGCAATGTCCCGAAAGGCAACAACAGGCGCGTCCGGGGCTGTGAAGAGAGGGTCGAAAATTTTGCCTGCCTCACTTCCCACCGACCCTCGTGTCCGTATTGCCCTCGACCGCACCACGTGCACACCGCTCCGCTGCGGCGTCGACCAACCACACGCGCCTAAACATAGCAACCTCACACCTCTCAGCCATCCGCGTCCAAGCTCCCGTCGCCCGAAGCGCCATCTTCACCGTCCGTCTAGCGTGATTGCCCGCAGACCCTGACCGTGGCCTTTGTTGCGACCTCCCGTTGCGAGCGCGAGCGCGTGCGTGTGCGCGTGCGTGTGACGAGCGAGGTCCGAGAGCAGAAGAAACCTCGCCGTCCGTGGCCTATCCCGCCCTTGCTGCAAGTCACATTGCCCCGGCCGCGGTGGGGGCGCCGCTGATGATGAGCCATGAGCAACAGAAGCTGAACAGATGGCAAAGTGAGGCAAGCGCCATGCTGCGTCAGCTAGTCATGATCCACCGCGACGAACTAGGTAAACTGCGACGCCGACGACGACGACGACCATGACCCCGAAGCTCGGGCCTGAGCCGTGGCGCCCTCTGCTAATGAGCCGCCCCAAATCGCGCGGACCACACGCCGCCGCGGCCGTTGCGCCGCTGAGGTACTACCGCAGAGGGGTTCGCCCGCCCCTTCGTTCCTGGCTGAGGACGACGTCGACGACGCAAAACCTCTGCGAGCTCGGCGAGTAGTGTGCCAATGCCGCTGCCTCTCCCGTAGATTTCCGAGCATAGCCCGTGGGTCGGCATGTCCTACTACTGTCGACTGCGCCAGACAAGCCTAGCAACGTGGCAGCGAGCGTCCAGAGGCAAAAAGAACGGACCTGGCACCTACCGCATCCGCTCACTGCAGCTCTTGTCTACCTAGGTTATCTTCTGCGTCTGGCGTTGCATCATCATCCATTTTTTTTTTCTGGGGGGGTGGTTTTCCCTTTTCCCCGCTTCGTCCACAACCCGGGGCAAAGGGCCTCGGTGCGCTGGCTGGCCGGTCTGCGGTCTGGCTGGCCGGTCTGGCTGGCCGGTGGAGCTGGCTGAAGCCACATTGGAGATGAGCTGCCCCATCCCAACCCAAGCCACCTACGTC